CGCGTTGGGCACTTCAACTGAGTAGTCATAAAATGACTATTTTATATAGGCCAGGCAAACAGTGTGATAACGCTGATGCTTTAAGCCGACATCCCGTCGGTCCGCCGATCGAAACGGCTGACGACGACGACTGGGATGATATGAAAGATCGGAAATTTAGTACTCCAGCGATTAGAGTAACTACAATTACCGACCCCGCCGACCATGAGGAAGGCGAGGATAACTTTAAATATTACCGAGTCGAACAGGAAAAGGATCCTGTTATCGAGAAGCGCTTTCATGCCTTAGAAGGTAGAGCCGAAGGTACTCACTTAATTAAACGCGATCCGAATTTCGAACTCTGGAGCGGAGTTCTTTACCGATTAACCGAAAAAGATGGTCGTTTAGATCGTCGCTATGTAGTACCGAAGCATATGCGTGTAGATATCATGCACGCCATGCACGATACACCGGCAAGTGGTCATTTGGGACCGTTAAAAACTTATAAGGCGATAGCGTTGCGTTATTACTGGGACGGAATGGTCGCCCAAATCGATAAATACGTGCGAAATTGTTATCTATGTCAGCACAGGAAAACCGAACGGAAAGCACCGCCTGGTAAATTGCAACAGATTAAAATAGGTGCGCCGTGGTACCGAATGCAAGTGGATCTTAAAGGACCGTTACCAATAACACCGAGAGGCAATACTTATATTGCCGTAGCTATTGATGAATTAACGAAATTTGTAATCGCGAAAGCGATACCGAATGCGAAAAAGGAAACTGTAGCGAATTTCCTAATCCATGATGTATTTTTGCCTTATGGCACACCGCATATTCTTAATACCGATCGTGGAACTCACTTCCACAATAAATTACTAGAAGCGAATAATAACCGTTTAAAAATACAGCATCATTTTGGTGCTGCGTATCATCCTGTAGGAAGAGGACTTGTCGAACGCCAGATGCAGACAATTGCCGATTCTTTGGCGATGTACGCTGCAGATGGTCGCGAAAAGAATTGGGATACTGTATTACCGTACGTTATCGCTGGTAAAAACCGTGTCGAAAATAAGACGACGCATATGTCGCCGTATTATATGCTATATGGCCGCGAACAGGTTATTCCTGCAGATATAGCTACGAAAACTAATTTACCGACGGATCATGCATCGATTGCCGAATATATGGCCGATTTTCGCCATAATTTAAGTCGCGCGCATGAAATTATCGAAATTTATTTAAACGAAGAGTTTGTTAAAAATGCCGAACGATTTAATCGGAAACGTAGCGATGATAATTATCAAATAGGCGAATTAGTTCTTTTGAAAAAGGAAAAGAAAAAGGGAGAAGTAGAATCGTTTCGAGAAAAGTTTGGTGGTAGATGGGAAGTTGTCAGCTTCCCGTATACTAACGCCGTTGAAATCGAAAATAAGGATAAACCGGGAGAAACTCGCATTGTAAATTGCGAACGCCTCAAGCGTTATAACACTACCGAAGAGGATCGTAAAGATATTGTGTGCGTATTACCGAAAACCGCCGAAAATGGTTTAAATGTAAATGCCGAACCGTTTACACCAGCTGAAACTGCAGAAGTTACCGATAATGTTGAAAATAATAATTCAACCGAAAATCAAAGTAATATCGAAGCTGAAAATGAGGATAATCAGTGGATCGAAGAATCTACTAATAATACCGAAAATAATCGTAAAATAAATAAGAAAAAGCCGACGCGGCTACGTCTGCACGTACGCCGTGGCAAAAACGGATACGAACATGTAAAATAATAATTTTACAATCTGTGTGGTCCGTACCGCTCTGAAATAGAGTTCCCTTATTTCCGTGGTTCGTACCTTATCGATTTAAAATCCCCACTAAAAATGTGGTCCGTATCTCTCGTAATATTTACGCGAATAAATCCCCACTAAATTTCGGTTCATACCTCTCGTACTACTCTTGCGAAATAATATCGAATTATTCCCCGCTATATAGAGGTCCGTACCTCTTGACCGAATTATTCCCCACTGAAAAGTGGGAATAATAACCGCATAAATTAAAATACCGCTATCGAGCTGATATTATTATCGATTAATTACTAAATTAATTCTCGAATTAATTTCAGTAGTTAAATACCGAACTCACCGGCTTACTTGTTGTTGTAGGTACCGAAATGGACAGACAGCAACCGAACCGTCATCCGAATTCAGGTAATAATAGATCGAACGCTCAGAGATTGAGTATAATTTTTACCGATATTCAATCTGAAGATGAACCGGTTCAGATCGAAACTGTACGAGTTTCACGCTCAGTACAAACCGATAATGTTTTTATTACCGACTACGACCAGTATCAAGCTTTGATACGGCGTATGCAAGAAGATGATGGTGAGAATTTTCCACCAGAAGAATCGCCAGAAAATTTGCGTAATATTTCCGCTAATGAACAACCGGTACAAAATGTTGCAGTAATTCAACCGACTGTCCGCACGGTGGAAACACCGGCAGCAGTATCATTATTACCGATTAATTTGGGTGCTTCACGTAGTGAACCGCCGTCAGTTCAACCGGTACGAGATGTACAAATTCAATCGCAAAATGTTGGAACAAATGTGCCGATTGCACAAAGCGAACCTGCATTAAATCAGCCGGCACAAAATGTGCAAGAACCTACCGCGATGGCACAATCGACTCTCGGGATTTCCCGGAGTGAGCCACCGTCGGGAGGATCTCACGGGATAATTCGTATGAATTACCCGGTGCCGCATGAAATCTATTTAACCGAAACTCCTGTAATTAGACCATTACCGCCTGTGGTACCGGGAGGACCACAGATGAATGTAGCCAGCGTTAATATTAATAATCAGCGACATACTTTTCTCTTGGGACCGGGACAAGACCAGATGGCACTCTTGCGAATGTAGCGCCGTCTTCCCAACCGCTTATTCAGCAAAGAATTATTGGTAATAATGGAAATAGACCGATTTTACCGAGCCCGATACCGCCAGCACAGCCGCGTATGGTTGTTGCCCCACCGAATAGTACTGTAAGACTTCGACCTGCAACTGGGAATTTACCGTTGCAACATCGATATATTATTTCACCGACCGATCAGCAGTTTCCTGTCAGTACATTGGTACGACCGGGAGTTGTTAAAATCAGTACACCGACTCGTATGCCAAGTATTGTGGCAAATTTACCGGTATCTCAGAGTGGCACTATGCCAACAGCGCAAGCTGATCGCGTGCCAAAACAATCGGGTGATGGACAGCCGTCGCCACCTAAAATACCGCGGTTGTCTACACAGACAACTGATAATCACACTACCGAACCTGTTTTGCGCGAGTCTGAGCGCAGACAGCGATTGAGAGAAGAGCAGGAAGATCTGCAGCGACAGATCATACAGGTTAGAGATCAGCTAAATCGTAGCTATTTTGATAGCGATAACGAAGATGAACCGGGTAAATTAACTATCGATGATCAGACAGTTGAAGTACCGGAAGCCGATAGATCGATGCAAGACCAGACGGAGGAAAATATCGAACCTCCGACTACTCGAGTACCTTCACCGGAAATACCGGAACATATTCCGGTTGCGAAAAAGGCAGAAAAGGAGAAATCGCCGAAAGATTCGGATGATTCATCGCCATTACTTGTGGTTATTACACCACCGGAACCGACAGCAGATGACACTATGGCGTTAATGCTGGATGCAGCTTACGGGTTTTTCCGTGAGTTAAAGAATAAAGAGCGAGCAGCTGCATTTAACTATTTGTATCAGAGTTATCGAACTCACGTGAACCGAAACGCAGATCGTGAACAGTTTCGATTAGCTATTCAGGGCGCTGTTAACCGGGGCGAGATGCTCGAAGTATACATTAATTGGTCACCGACAATAATGTATTCACCGACTGATCTCCGTAGGAGATGGTACCAACATATGGTAATTAATACGCCGGAGAGCTTCCGGGAAGCCGTAGTATTTGCCGTGCGCGATATTCATAATCGTGCTGGATCTACCGTAGCAGAGATTGCTAATTATATTACTCTAACGATGCCGATGGCACTGTGTGCCCCCGCGCAGCAGTTTCCAATGATTTTGGAAGCTATTCACGAATTAGTGCGCCGGGACGTATTAGTCGAAATTACCGGATTAATGGTGCCGCGATACGCACTTACCGATTCTAACCGTACGAGAATGAGTTCGATTACCGGGTTACCAGTTAAAGAACTGGGACTTCCGTCGCCAGATAGGAAGCGGAAGAATGTAAAGATAGTTCAGCCACCGCCACCGCCTCCAGAGCCAACGTTAGAGACTCTGATTGAAACTATCGGTCAGATTGTGCGATCACGTCACGAACCTACTTCGGGGCGGATTATAGATTGTTTGAGACATCGGTATAATGCGGAAGCAGTAGTTGCTGCAATTAATCGGGCGTATGAAAATAGCCGGTTATTACGACGTTATAATTCCAATCGATTACTTGTGTATCACACAATTTTACCGAATATTTCATTCCTGCATAATTACCCACTGTTTGATGCGAGACAGTGGCAGGAAGTTGTTTTGCGCACAATTAGAGAAATCGCCGATCCTACTGGATCTACTATCGATGAAATAATTCAGTATATTCGCACGGTACGCCCTGATATGGGAAATCGTGTAGATCATTACGTTGAGTTAGCCGCATCCGAACTGGTGTTAGATCCCATTATAATTTCTCATAACGATCCCCAACGCGGAATAACTTGGCGAATTAATGAAAACGCGGGCCATGCTGGGTCTTCGTCTTCATCATCGCACCGCTAATAATTTAAAACCGTAAAATCACCGACTACTGTAGGATTACTACAGTAGAAGTTAATCGTAAATAAACCGAAAATGTCCCCATAAAATTGTGGTCTATACCTCTCGCATAATCGTTAGCCGAATTGCGTAATAATCGTTGATTAAATTATCGTTTAAATAAATTATAGAGTTACCGATTAAGTAATTGAAGATTAATGCGAATAATCTTCTTGTAGACCGAATGGAACCGAACGTGTGCGATCGCTGCAAGTATAACACGAACAACCGGAAATGTACCGACTGTCTGTTTGGACAGAATATCGATAATATGAATCCAGATACCGTTGTAACACGGCTGGTGAGCGAAGTGATGCATGCCAATTTGGATGCATACACCACCGTAATGGAGTCGCGATATGAACTGATTCTCCAGCGGAAACCGTGGTTGTTGGCGCAGATTAATGATGCCGTCCATGGGTTCGTTAATAGCCGAGCGGATCATTGGCAACAAGTGCCGGATCCAGGGAGAGCGCCGTCGCACGTGGCGATGCGATTTAACGCACCGTCACAACCGAATACACAGGTAAATAATTACCTAGCAGGTACTTTATTATCGGCAGAAGAGTGGGAAATGATCCCATTAGATCGATCGATTCCCAGTACGTGGGAAAATGATATTCTGAATTTTAATGTTAATTCACTGCAGGCGTACGCGATGCCGCAGCAATCGATGTTGAATTATCAACAATTTCCGCAACAGTATCAACCGGCGCAAAATGCGCAATATCCGCAGGCTGACTGGGCATTTAATCAGCCGCAGTATCAGCAATATCGTCAACCGATGCCGACGCAGGTAAATGACAAATACCTGCACTGTACCGTCTTGTAAATTATGTAAAATTCAATCTAATACTCCGTCTGTACAGCAGGCGACGACCAGTACCGACCCGTGGCTCGCTGAGCGCGGATATCGTCCGAATGTTGCGCAGCAGTTTGGTAGCCGAACTGCCACACAACAGCAGAATATCGAACGTCAGCCGAGTACGTCGCGTAATCAACCGGACGCGCGTGCGGGACTGATGAAAAAAGTAAGTAAATTGTCTTTGGATGAATCGACTACGTCAGCAGGGAATGAGTGTTTACAACCGTCCTCTGACAGTAGTAGCGGCAGACCAGTATTTGGTAGCCGCCATCGAATTGAATATAGTCTGGAACCGTCTGTGCATCATTCACAGTCGCGCAAGAATATTATAATCGAGGGTAGAGATTTGACCGAATTGGGAAATAAACTTATTTCTGCTGATTTGCAGAGACGAACCGGCAGACAGCGCAATCGCGATAATGTTCGATCGGCTGAATATCAGCAACAACAGCAGCAGAGCGCTCGACCGGCTGGAGATCAGCAGTCGAATACTCAGCGCAATGTGCAGAATAATCAACCGGCTGGAAATCAGCAGCGCGATGTTCATCGTCGCGGATACCGTGATAATCGTTCACTACCGATCGATCCTTCTACCGTACTGAAGGACGTAATGCATATTGTGAACAATGCTGAAATTTATGTTCACAAATTAACCGGCATCTTGGGAATTGCGAACCGTGAGGAAAACCCAGACGTAGCGCAATATGATCCACGAGTCTGTGGATTTGCTGGAAAGAATCGGGCTACGAGGCCGTATGTTAGAAATCGATTATGCTAACGTAGATTTAGTGCGATCGTTGGACGTGCAGAAATATGCGACTCGCCGTTCAAATTCATTGCGTACAGCGTTGGACATTAGTCAGCTGTATGTACCGATTACCGCTGTGGACATTGAGATTCTCTCTCTATTCCGCATTTTTGGAGATAAGAATACGGAGACATTTCTCCTGCAGTTTATTTTACCGGAAACCGACCCCGCAAAGTTTTATTTCTTCTGCCGGGTAGCCAGTAATTTAGACCGCTGTACTCGAAACCGAAATATCGATTGGATGTCAATTCCATACAACACCGGGCTAAAGACTGCAGTAATGTGCATCTTGGCCGCGCTGCTTGGAAGCCACAGCGCTCATAATTATATTTATAAGCAGAAAGACCGGCCAGAATATCGACAAATGCGAGATAAGATCCTGTTATTGGGTCAACCGAAAAGCGAACAGCAGGAGGCGCAGGAATTACGCGATATCCTTGCCGCCGCTGGCCAGATCGAAATGGACACCAATCAAGGTGGTCCTAATCAGTTTTATGACGATATGGACGAGCGGATGAAGCGATTCGCAGATCGTCAAAATCAGTACGAACATGGCGCTAGCTTCAATAAGCGGAAGCATGTGCCCGATTCACCGGATACTCTTTCGGGAAGTAAAACCGATCAACCGATATATAAAGTGCGAGTCGTGCATACTCCCGCGACACATAAAGGCAATGTCGCAGGAAATCGGTCTGCACAGCTGCCGATGGGAGTAGCAGGCGATTCAAGATCGTCACTCAAACCAACCGCCTTCACGGGAAACAAACCTGTGCTTATTCCGGGAGCGGTAGAAAAGAAGCAAACCGCAGCAGTATCATCTGCCCCAGCGTCGATTAGTTCGACGACTGTGAAATCAACAGGCAAAGTGCAAGGACAGCAACAATCGGCTGCTCCTGTGCCAACTGCATCAGTTCCAGCTGAACAGCCTGGACAATTGAAACCGGAAGAAGCTGCGAAATTAGCAGCGCTGAATGCTCGTAATGAAAAATTACTGAGCACGATATCGTTATCGCGTATGAAACCGCACGAGAGAAAGTTTTACGAAACTACTCAAAGTTTCCGCGACCATGTTGAACCGTCAAGCAATGAGTATGTTCATGGCATACTGAGCGAACTGGTAAATAAGAAAATCACCGATATGTCGAAAGACGAATACGACTTCTGTTCGGCCGAAATTCATCGATGGCCGAAAGAAAAACTTGCCGCTGGCCAGATGCCAGATAATTCATTCATTAAATTACCGACCGCGCCAAATGGCGAAGAGACCGAAGTTTTCCACGATACTGTGGACGAACCGTTACCAGTTGAATCGACAGTAGTCGAACCGGCACAAGGTGTGCTTTCAGAAGCGATTGGCACAGCATTAAGTGTTGTAGCCGCTGGTGTTGTTACCGAATCTGCGACTGCTGGCGCTACTGCTGACGTTGACGTTGATATGCTGTTCGATGCGGATCCGAATGCTGAAATGCTGGACACCGTATAAAAGCGGATAAAGCTGTGATTGGAGGACAACGATTCTCCGGAATGGATAAAGCATTATTGGAATGGACGCTCATTAAATTTGCATTTACTTTTGTGATTGTTAACCATAGAATATGCCGCCGTTTGTGGTCGCATTTTGATCATATTTTTGACTAATACCGTGTTCATGTGTTTTGTTCGATTCCCATGGGCTTCGGAGGGCCTCGCCGTTCCACCCGTGGCATGTCAGAGCAGTGGTGCCGCCGTATAGATGGGTGGAGTCGCGCCACTTCCGATGGGCTTTGTTTTGCACAGTGCACACATGCACGTGATTTTTGCTTTTTCGATTCACCGATCTACGATCGGTTTTCTCATTCAGTGATCAGCCTCGCTGTAGAATTCTACATTCTACAGCTCGACCGTGTTTTCCCGCATGAGATTGTGTTTTGGGCATTGTGCCTTTAATGTTTTCTTCGAAAACTAATAAAAGATCGTTTTGTGGCTGGTGTTTGTTCTGTTTTTCCTGAGCAGCGTGAGCACCACGCTGACAGCTGTTGCATTTCTTTGGAAGCAAACTGCGATGAGCCTTCCGCCTGCGTGACGAACGCGCCCAGGTTCGAGCCTTGATTATGGTATGTCGCTTTCTCGAAATGGGCAATTTTTAAAAGGTAGCCTGACGCAGTATCTCTTTTTAATTCGTGCACGACAATATTCTGACAGCGAATATCCTTATGGATAATTCCGTACTCGTGTAAGACTTTCAAACCTTTGAGTACTTGCGCGATGAACTGCGGAATTAAACTTGTTTTGAATGCTCTGGTGCGCATCATGGATGGCAGCGGAAATGTTACCATGCCGTATGCTAAACATACAGAGTACGTGCGTTAGCGTAAACCATTTTCAATGTATTAATTGTCATACCTTCGGGTGCGGTGAAAATTCGCAGCTCGCCGTCTTCCGGTCTAACTGCGAAATGCTCGAGAACATTCTGCGTTTTCGGTGTCACACTGCTGATCAGTATATCATACATCTGCTGCTTATTTTGCATTAATGCGCCTTCGGGGTCATAGTTCTTATCAACCGTTGATATGGCAGATGCCCATCCGGGTGCAAACGATCCGTTCAGTATCTCGGGAAGAGAGAACTTCTCATCATTCTTTCTGCTCCTATCTTTTTCCGCTTCCGACTCCCTGATTTGTACCAGGGTCAGTGCCTTTGCATTCGGATCGTACTCTGCTAATTTGCCCCCCTCATTAGCCATCTGAGTAGCTGTCTTAAGCTCATGGCGCGTGACCAAAAAAAGCTGATTCTCTGCGGCTATCGATCCGGTAGGTATAACAGGATTGAAATACACCATATTTAAGAGCTGTGAGGCGGTTGGTCGTAGAGTGGCGTTGTGCATGAAGCAGGCATCTAGAAACTTCTCCTCTTGTGGCCTAATCTGATGATACTGCTCAGCCGTAGGATACTGCGGCTTGTACTGCTCACTGAAGTAGTAATGCATATTTTCGAAGGTTGTTGAATGCGCATCCATGACAACCGGATGCCCATCTTTTTCTCTTTTGTGAAACACCGGCGGCTGGCCTCGCTGCATTAGCTCAACCAAGGTACAACCGAAGCTCCAGATATCGGACTTGCGGCCAACAGGCGACTTTTCATTCTGCATGGCGGTCGAAAGTTTCGCCATTTCAGGAGAAAGAAACGGTACAGTGCCGGCCGCATGTTCGACGCAATCAGGCGGTGTTGTATCACTATCGAAACACTTCATCATGTTTAATCCAGTAATCTTTAACGTTTCCTTTCCTTCGGACACGATCACATTGGCTCCTCTGATATCCTGATGAATAATCTTATGCTTATGGAGAAATTCTAAGCCTTGTAAAATTTTTCGTGCATAGGAAAGCACTTTGTACTCATCCGGAATTTTGGTCTGCATAAGGCTGTCCAGTGGTGTACCTGAAGTAATAGCACATGAGCGGACAAAGTAAAGTGTTCTACACTGTATAATATATATATGTATAATATAGAGTATAAAGTCAGAGACGAGCCCAGTTAAAAACGAGCATATTAAAAACAAGCAAGATCCAAACGAGCAAATCCGGGTTAACCAAAACATATTTTAAAGCGAAATGCGCACACATTCTCAAGTTTTTTTGCACGTTATTGGAACCCAACCTTGGTTACTGATTTGCACTTGAGGGAAGTGACCCGGTACACGTGCAAAATTCGTGTCATTCTCGTTTGTGCACTCCAAACACTATTTGCATCGTTTTAGTGAATTCTGTAGCCAAAGGATTTATATGCTTTGGTGTGAAAATCATTTGTAAGGCGCAGCATCCGGCTGGGGACTTCAGAGTAAAACAAATCCCGAAAAGTTTAAACGCAAGAAGGCGTACCAACAGCCTAATTATGGACCAATCTTCTTCAAGTTTTGCACAAAATCGAACTTAAGCGTAAAGATCTTTTTGACACAAAACCAAGTGTTCATCATGTTTTTCAAATTTTAAAAAATTGTAAATTTATTTTAAAATTGGAAAAAGTACCAGATTTTCGGTTCCGTAGCAACAAAGATTTTCGGTTCCGTAGATTTCCGGTTCCGTTCCAGTCTTTATGTGTACTGTTGTGCAAAACTTTACAGGAATCGGCCCATATTCAGGCTTTTAGTGCAGTACTTACACCTTCATGCCTCCAAATTCTCCTTAATCTTATTTCATCCCTATGTTCCCAACCGGTGCTGCTCGCACTTCCCGTTTTCACAACAACACAACAAATCATTCGGCACCAACATGCAATAAAACGATGCCAAAAAGGTTTTGGGAGTGCACGAAACAGAAAGTATTTTTACGTGTACCCGAATTGGCACCATGTATCCGGTCAAAAAAGCATACGACAGTAAAAATGTAAAATAATATTGTACCGCGTTGCATTGTCATTTATACGACTTGACATTTCTTGAGCCACTACATTAAAACTTTGATATGTCATTTAACGCAATCGCAAATAATTTTCTGGTATGCGTTCATTAGTTCGTATAAGTTACAGTCTGTACTGCAGAAAAATAAGCATTGCATAGAGTAAAAGGGCGCTTGCACCCCTTAACATATCAGCACCTTGGCAGTCTTCGGAGAGAATGTAGCAAGTCATCGAAGTTCCAGGCCGCCGGCCAGTATAATCGACGCCATAATACGCTTGCACATATTCGTGTCGCTGTCCGTTAATAAATAATTTGGCTAAATGTTGAATGGAGAGCCGAAGCTGTTCCATTTCGCTTTGTGCATCCGCTCGTACGGCTGGCCTTAATGTCAGTTCCGCCACTTCCGGGAACTGTGCAAGGCGTTGCAGATTATCTTTCGGAAGCTGTGCAAGCCGTAGCAAATAGTCGAAGCCGGCATTTTCGAATTGCTCCCCGTCTAGCTGTACTGCACCATCCGTGGCTTGTAATTCTGTACTTGGTTTTAGTTTGACGCGATATGTCACAGAACCGGGGGAAGACAATTAATACGCAACGTCATAAAGAGAAGCCATCGCAGTTTTGCGATGGCAGCAAAATTAGCTCAGAAAAATCTAAAAATTTTCCTACTTACTACGTAAAACTAAAATCAACAGCAGAAACAAAATCATATTGTGAGATTACGAGTCCTAGCAAATTGCTCGACGAGTTTCTCAAAACTTCAGCCGCAAACAACATGGACTACAATGAAATTTGGTAAATGGTGTGTTGTAGCAGCAGGCTTTTTGATATATGGTGCGTTGTAGTATGCACGGCGCTTTTGGCGAGCTCACTGTCTGTTTACTCTACGTTGCACACACACACGTAGATGAATCAAGAGCGCCCGTGAAATTACAGTATGAGTAATGGAGCTGCTTAGTACAAAGGCTGCGGCATTTTTGTTTGTTCATAGCTTCCGCAGTATCGTAGTTCGGTTATCTGATTTTGTTATCGTACTCGATATTTACAGAAATGGCGAGAGCGATAGACAGCCTTGAACATCATTGACGCCGGCAAATGTATTGCTAATTTCTGTTAAAATGCATTTAAGGTTCGTATTTGCCAGCTATAGTACAATTGTAATTTAAAGTTTTCAACACGCAGAATGAGTAGGGTTGTACACTCACCGCGAATACTTAAGCAACTGTAGCCGGTTATTAATAATCGTGAAGTTACTTCCCATTGAAAGTCCTTTTGCATGGGCGACCATGGCCAACATTACAGAGGTAGACAACCTTTTTTAACAATGATAATTTAATTTGCAACTAGCTAACTATACTGCTGTCAAATTGCAGTTGCAGAAACACGGATTATGCTGGCTGATCAACTACGAAAACACTACCAGGTGAGTTTTATGTTAGAGCAAATGCAAGCGGCATTCAAAACAGAATTGTTTTACACTTTTTTCGTCTGGCTCAAGTTCTATAAGCGTTCAATATATTTCGCCTTTCCATGAACAACCTAAGAAACCAAGTTTAACAACCAAGAAATTAAAATTTGAAGAGCATCTGAAACTGAAAACACCGATGCTAAAAACACCTTAATAAACAGTATTAGACACCGATGCGGTGTTTATGGAGCTCGCTAAAAATGATGTCTGCTATTCATTCGGACTGGAAATGTCACACCCCAATAACTGGGAGTGTGGCATGTCGCCGCACTCAAATTCGATATTCAACCCTTTGCCGCCAGACATACGGAAATTTCGGATTCTGACATCTTGCTTGACATTTTACCTTTGCGACACTTTGACGCCTGACGTCCGGCGGAAAATTCGTACTGGGATTTTTGAATTATGCGCCAATTCACCGCAAGTAATTCGCGCGCCTAGTTTTTATAGGTTTTTCACGGTTCCCAGACTTTTTGTTACCAGGGCATATTTTCCGGGTCCAAAACCCGAAAAATCTCATTTTTGCAGAAACATAGTATACCATCGTAGCATAATTACAAAAAAATAGTTTCGTCTGCTGAGGCGCAAAGGGCGTGGCTGGCAGTCCGCTCTGGTCGATTCCACCATGTTCCTCATAGGGCTTCGTTTTGATTTCCCAGGCGAAATTACGACAACAGCGTCTCACATGCATCTAGCATGTCACATATCTATATCATATGTACAACCACGTGTTCTTCGCGAGACATAATACTAACTGCTGGTGTTTGTGGTGCTCTTTCTTAGCAGTATCCCATCATTGGCCTGCCTGCCATGGACAACTTACCTTTACGCTCTTCCTTCTCTACTGGCACTTCTGCTCTTTATTGTCGTCAGACTATCCCCAGCAGTTTGTCAACATGTGTATATGGGCCTGAAACTGTCGGGAAAGCATTTCCTGCTGTCTCCAGTGCGCTTTGTACGTGGAGCAGCGGTATTTGGAATTAGCATGTATTCACTGTGGAATAACTTTTTCGGGCCGTATATTATGGGGACATGGAGCGACGGGTAAGATCAAAATTTATACATTACACTGATTACAGTACTTGATTTTCTAGCTTATAACTCCAAAAACTGGTGACCTGTTCGTACGTACGAGTACGAAAAGTACTCGTAATATCCACCATTACTACAAATTTCATGATGATAAGCGCGAAGTTTGTTGTTCATAGGACTGCAATGTTCTGTACCTAAACCATTAATAACATTGCATCTAAGTATATAGTACTAGCTAATTGTTGAATTCCTTAAATTTTTAGAAAGTTAGAACACGGTTGGTACAGGGCGACGAGCGATGATTTATCATGGATGCAAGTTGATAAATGGTTGAATCTGACCTTGTTGATACTGCTGCTTATTAAACCGATGAAGGTATTTATATAAGTAAGTGCACTTGCACAATATGCACTTGAAAGATCTGTAGAAACGCTGTTTTGTTCACAACTCGTCCCGGCGCTATCGCTTGCTGTGTTCATTACAATCCATGTACTTGTTATGACCTCAGCAAGGCTAGACTTACTCTCTTAATTTTGACGTGGGGAGGAGGATGTACCCACATCGTACGTACGATTCCCTAATGATGTCCGCCTTTACCAGTAAATACGAGTCGCCATGTTATTATCTGGTCATCTCTCTACCTGTGATTGGTTGCATGTTAAATCCCTAGCGATGTACGCCGTGTTCTTCTAGAAGTTTATATAAGCTTGAGTGATGCCTAATATCGGAAGCGGTCAGGAATTAGTCTCTGGATTTCTGATCTTCTTACTTTTCTGACTTCTATGTATTGAGGAAATACTTGTGCATTAGATTAAAGGGCAGTGTCTTCTAAAGGTTACGACTGGCGTTCATAATCAAGTTGCGGATTATAGCGTAGTCAGCCGCAGTATACTCGCGTCACAATCGACCTTCGCCTTTATCTGATCCTTGTATTACCCGAGACCAGAAGTGAGAAGTAAGGCATTCGTTCGTCTGTTCGTGTGTTTCGCAGGGCTCCTGATAGGGATTCCTGGTTCCTGTGTTCCTGTCGTTCCTCCATCATTCCTCCAAGTTGTTTTCGCTTACCAGTTTGAGATTTAAGAGTGCTCTACCGATTGAGATTTAGGCAGGGAGAAGACCACAGCCAATTCCCGTACGCAGTCACGTTACCGGAAGGTTGTACAAAGTCTTTCACCACGACAATTTAAATAAGTTATCCGTAAAGCCACTTACGTTTTGATCTTTTCTTCTAAGTTGTTAAAGAAACCAGTACAAGTACGGATAGTTCTGTTAATTGGAGTTTTTATCACTTCCCTTAACGAATTTGTGTTGCGGCATGATAATTCCGAATGATATTACAGGATTATTATCAGTTTGTGTGGGATTTCTTAAACGAACCATCTTGCCTTAAAACAAGAGTGGCCCATATTCTGTGTGACTGGGAATTTGTGGCTAACATGGTCAATTTGCCCTTGTTAGTTTACGAGTTTCTCATTACCGAAAGCACAGCATATCGGGAGCATCTCGCTGGATGGAGAGTGACAATCACAAGTAAGTGAAAAATTATAGCGTTTCCGTAGTTTCTTATGGGCTTTCGAAATCGCTGCAGTGTTATCTAATGCAGTACCAATTTTAACAGTAGAAATTCGAATACCGTTGTATGTGAAGGGCTTGCTCGGCTTTACTGTATGATTTCAACGATACATACATGGCATATTTTTTTGGAATGGGCTGTATTCACCCCTGCTGGTGATAGACGGACAGACGCCATATTTCCATTAATGCCGAACATAAAGTATGACGCTCCGCTTTGGTTGATAAAAGATCCGAACGGCTTGCGCATCCTTGTGGTAATAGCGCTACAAAGATTGCGCTACATGACATTTTTTCCATCTTTTTGGTGTTTTTGTATGATCGGCTCTGTTTTCATTCGGTTATTGTCGACGACTTTGCGCTACGCATAGCCTTTTTCATTGCAGGCTTGCAGTTTGTGCGATTGTTTTGTCTGACATGGCTCGGCGATGAGATGATATGTATAATGCGATGGTTACCCAACAAAACGAGAGTCTTTATACGACGAATAACGTGGATAATATGCTCATTCCTAAGCTGCGCTGCATGGATACAACTGGTGCATACACTCCAGATTAGCTGTCCTGGTCTGCTGTTTGCAGATGGAAACTCTTGGTGACCCGTGGTTATCCGCCTACCATGGACAACCAAACCTGACATACGGGAAAGTTGTGACCTTTCTGTATGGGAAACTGGTTTTTCTTGATGTTACATCCACCCAACTGGAAACAGTAACCGCTCAAATATCCGTCTACATTGTTCAGGCTGTCACTTTGGTAAGCTCACGTTGACCTTCGAGCAAGGCAACTATGCCCTATGACCTGTTACTATTGTTTGAGACATACGACTCATTTACAGATTTTTCTGGCACAAATGGTACCGGATATGTTAAAAGAGTTACCCGCTATCCTAAAGATCAGATCATTTGAAACGACTTACAGGAAAAAGGATACTCATCCGTACAGCAGACATTCTTTAATTAGGGCTAATGCTGATTTCTCAAAGCAAATACAAGCTGCGTGGTGTTGTAGATTTGTCGCCTTGATTGGCTCAATCAATCCATCCGATGTGGAGCAGTTTGCTGAGACCTTTCGTACGACGAATCCCGGGGAGAATATTATGGTGCTGTTAGAGTAGGTCATGTTGTGCACTATAGCGAGTTAACTGATGCACTATTCTCTGGTATCAGGCCGGATGTTTGCGGTGCGGCATCGGCAGAAATGCACACTGTGGCCGGACAGTTTAAAGATATCCTAGTTGTTGTCAACGGGTCCGTGTTCAAAAAGAAACATTTGGATAATGTGATTACGGACAAATGCCGGTGTGCGTTTTTCTTTGCTAACCAGAGCGCTCAAAACTTCACGGACGAAGACCATTGCAACTTCCTTCGAGTCCATATATTCAAACAATATCAACCAAGGACTAGAGTAATCGTCAAGGTTTTACTGTTCCAGAACAAGGTAAGTTGTAGGTCACCCCCTCATTGGAACCTGCTGTGCGGTATTCGCAACTGAGAATTTTTCTGAATGTATGTCTGATTTGAAAAAAGATTCCAGATACTGTGGTGAGTGTGGTCACATGACTTGAACCTGCGCAATAGGAAAGCATTTCGATAATGCAATCCGCCATTGTCAGTCCTTGTAACTTGCCATCTATCCTGTTTATCCACTTGCCTCACTTTGTTATTGCGAAGTGTAGCCGGCAGAAAGGTGGACGGGTGGATGGTGGATGTTCAATGAAATCGCATCCACCAATCTGCCGACCTTCGGCAGATTGGTGGATGAGCCGTCCACCTTTCTGCCGGATCACATCCACCTAACTGCCGAAGGTCGGCAGGTTGGTGGATGAGCCATCCACCTTTCTGCCGGATCACATCCACCTTTTTCTAAAGCCGTCCACCTTTCTGCCTATCCAACCCGTCGGTGTCGATTGATCTCACAACGACGCCATTGAATGCATTTAGGTCCACTGTAAGATCAATGCAAGCGTACACTGCTCCGGCAGAAAGGTGGATGCAGTTAATCAGATATTCCCAATTTCCCATTACTCTGTCTGAACGTCATGTCGTTCTACTTGCTTTTCTTCTCCGAAGTGATCTTGTTTTATTTCTGAAGTTAAACTAAAACCGTAAAGGTAATCGAGGAGCACTGTTGTCGCGTTGTCAATCAGCTAATCAGCTGGCTGTCTCTCAGCTCAGCCGCTCAGCCCTTCGCAAAAGTAAAGACCTAATCCTTTCATCTCGTTAAGTTTTTAGTAGATTTAACCAGTCAACATGCCAAAAGGTAAGAAAAACTTCTAAAAGTTATTCGGTATGCTGACTGGGGCGAATAACGAAAATTAGGACTGCTTATCTGCGAGAACCCCAATTGTACTGGCTGTCCCATGTTTATGGCAAACTTATAGTGCTCTCTAATAATCTCACAGTCTAACTGAAATTATTCGCAACAGACAGCAACTTACTCGGTGCGAAAAACTTCCCGCGAATGCTTTCTTATGTTCTTATGAACCATTGGAAAGTTGTTTGGGTGGATTTAGCCAGAACTGAACGAGAGGAAGGGTTCTGGTCTTCACTTTTTCGTCTTCGGAGGCAGGCAGCTGACTATCTGCACGGTGCTCCTCATCTAACTCTAGGTTTAAAGTTAATTTCGAAATAAAAACAAACCTCTCCGGAAAACAAAAACGAGTAGGATGGCACGTTCAGACAGAGTAACAGAATATCTGAGTGTCTGCATCCACCTTTCTGCCGGAGCAGTGTGCGCATGCATTGATCTTACAATGGGCCTGAGTGCACTCAATGGCGTCATTGTCACATCAATAGACGCCGATCGTTTTGTCGGCAAAAAGGTGGATGGCTCATCCACTAATTTGCCGAAGGTCGGCAGATTGGTGGATGCGATTTCATTGTACATCCACCATCCACCCGTCCACCTTTCTGCCGGCTACAAGTGTCCTGTCACGATCCTTTGCATTATGACTCCCGCACCGTTTCGTGTTTACCTGCTAAAGGCAAAAGCAAGCATAGTGTCATAGTTAGGGTCCCTGAGTAAAGATGTTATGCCATTCAATTCTTTGGCGTTTCCAGGGTTAAGTAGCGTTAAATGCTAGAGGCTAGGTAGCTGTTACCACCATACAGAAAAATTGGGACCATACAGAGTTATCGACTGAAACATGAGTGCTTAACGCGAAATCGCCATCGTCATGGATTTTCGGAATTCTGCTAAAACCAGAGCGCTTGAACTTTTAGACATTTTTTATTATAATTTCGACTACTTTCTGTCAGGACCCCAAGAACCTTGAGTGACCACGGTTGAAACAGGAACGGAGTTCAACTTCTTTCGCCTGAAATTCTGCTATCATGTGACCTTTTAGGCCAGACGCAAAATATTGGTCGTCGCCTTCGCTCTGAACTTGTGTTCGCCGACGTTCACCGCCACGCTTATGGCTTCCCTGCTCATGATTTCCCCGCGCCACCCCTCCACCATTGCCTACCACGTACACCGCTCTGACCATTCCCCCTCCTCGTATCTGAGCAGCGTCCACGTCACCATTTCGAGTCTTCAGCAACTTTGGTGGACTGGTCGAACTGCTGCAGTGATTTCTCCAAAATGCTGGAACTTTCGTCATTAGTTGTCTACTGTTGAGGTCATTTTCCTTCCATAGAGAACTGTTGCCTTCATGTTGTCTTCTAATACGGCGGAGGATAACGTGCAGTGGTATTCCTTGCTCCGCAGTTTATTGAAAAGTCAAACAGCGTTTCTCTAGACTCCTGCTTCGACTAGAAGTAGTTTGCCCATTCGATACCTTTTAGGGCTTTCTAGCCATTTGCATGTTCTGAAATTCTACCAAGGTAAAATCTGCCGGATTTCTTGGTAAGAACATTAAATGGACCGTTTTGAACGCCTTGGCATCCAGGGAGTGTGGTAGCACTCGCTTTTGCTCATCGGCATCTTAAGCTTTCTGTAGCTTGAAAAAGTTTTCGAAACTTGACCCCCATGATCCCCATAATATCATCTTTCCCAGCTGGCGAACTATAGCAAAATGGGCAGCATCCTGTCAGCGGCCATCGTCCACACTCACCCACACAGTACAAAACACTAATGCTGAAGTTACATGTTCACCACTAATAGGGCACCACAAAACACTCTACAAGCACCAAACATCCTTTCACGCAAAGTTGTCACGACCTCACAAGCACACCTGACTGATGTCACTGATCCAAAACAGAAGAGCGCGCAATAATGCATACGCGGTACTAACACGTTCGCATGTACACACTTCGTTTTGACACTGTCCACCTCAGAGATTAACTCGAGTACGCATTCTTTTAAAGTTCTGACTCACAAACTGGAAAGTGTGCACAAAATCTGCAGCCCTTAAAACGCAAATTAGGGAAATCGCAGTATATATGTGCTGTAGCCTGTAATTAGCCATATTAACGAAGTGTTGATGCGTATACCATCGTTTGGTTGTTGGCAGGAGAGGTTTCACCAAGTGCCGAACTGGGATATAGAGAACGATCGAATCATCTGCATAGCCGAAATCCAGTTCGCTTTGCTGGCGCTATTTTGCGCCGGGAATATCACAGATTTTCACTAGCTGGTTTAATCATTCAGACAACGAAACAGGACAATCTGTTAAAGCTGCCGTATTCGCTGCGCCATCGAAAACACCAAAAACATCAGATGAAACGCGAGCTGGGGAAGCAAGACGCACACCTAGTTTTGCCGCAGCGCAAGCCCGTAATGGTTCTGGTGCAGCGTTTGAAATGCAACCGTTTATTCAGCGTAACGGCCGAACTCCGGATGCCGGAGAAGCGGGCGACAGTTGTCAGGGCACCGTAATCAATGTCGAGCCCGAAAAATACGTAACTTATGACGAAGCAAGGGTAAGCTTACAATTATGTACTTTAAACATAGTTTTTCGCAGATTACTGAAAACGAGAATATTCTTCAGAGAAAGTTTGGGCACGAAGCGATATTATTGCCGTATTACAAGATGGTGAATTTCATCTGTATCCACGGAATAATCTCATTCTTAAAGACGGCGCAAAATTATTTTTTATTACCGATGCTTCTTCTGGACGAATTAAAGATATTCTGAAAGAGCTCTCCAAATGTTCGCATGAAACACCCCAAACCAGGCCATTATTTGTGAGGCAGGACATCAAAATTCCCATGAAAGCTCAATCGTAAGAGCGATACGCGCAATTTCAGCGGAATATCTTTTAGATCAGCGAGACATACTGTTAATATAATTAATCCACAATATACTCGTATTTCAGAGTTGAGCAAGGGGGTACAGCGGTATGCGACCTAACCGGCCAGTATAATTACTATCAAATGCCGCTAAAACAAATCCAGACAAAGGTGAGTACTAGAATGCTTAGTTATAGTATATATTTCCGTTAAACAGCTGATTCCCCCTAGCGACCGGAAGAAATATCTGGCTTATTGTCTACCCTTGCACAACATGTGGTGATATGTGTCGTGTCGGACGAGCGACCTTCAGCTATTGGATTGGCAAATTTTATTAGACCCTTACGCGCCGTTTACATACATCCACCACGGGTTGTTATTTTGGCTCCTCGCGATTTTTTGGAATCTGAGTGGCCAAATCTGCAGAACATTCCGGACGTTATTTTAGTGGAGGTAAGATGCTTGCCGCTTGGTAAGGCATTTTAGTGGAGGTAATGCACGGTCATAATAATTATTATCATCAAACGTTGCATTTCAAAACAATCACAAAAAGCACGAGCAGCGGTGCTTCACTAATCCCTAGTCATAAATTGAAGGTTTTAAAACACCAAAGCCATAAAATAAGACTGCGATAAATGAATTAAGAACTGTTAAGTAAGTGTAATTATAGAATATAACTGATAGAGTAACTGTAATAACAATACAAAGTAATTGTTAAATTCAGTGCAAAAACGCTGAGTGCTAACCTAGTTACAGAAACAAAAGAAACCGGAGCCACAAAAATTCCGTTCTTTACAATTCCAAGTTCTAAAAGACAGAATATTTCTGGGTTACATTTGGCGGATGCATTTTCTGAAACTTGTTGTCAGATATGTGCAGTATATACACTGACCTTTTGCATAGCAACATAGAAGTTGCCAGTCATTGTTGTGCTTCGCTGACATTCAGTCAGCCGTCAGCGACCTGCGAGTTCGATAATAAATATACATTTATCATCACGTCACGACAGTTTTCTTGATATGAGGGACCTATTTTTAATAGTTCGTAGTACACCACATTTTTGTCAGTGAAGTTCATCCTCAAAACACTCGTACTATGTACATAGTACAGATATATAAGGAGTTATTCGACTTAGAAGATATATAACCTTCTGCTTTTCTTGTAGGGTAGTCCACTCTGGCGAGGTCATCTAAGCGATGTTAGGATCCAGTCATGCCGAATGTGCGTTGTGGTAGATGCAAGCGAACGTCCAAAGGAGCAGGCGGAGAAATGGAATCAACCTAACGTCGACTTATTATGGCCCATATTACCCCAACACTTCTACCAGCATGTTAATGCTGTGCTTGTGACGGTGGAAGTGAAAGAACTTTTGAAGCGGTACCACGAAACAGATACCACATTACTGGACGAAGCCGCGTCTGGTGCGCTGCAAATTGCAAAACAATCCGCCATCCAAGCATGCAGTTTAGAAACAACTCTGACAAAAGTGAGAAACGAACTTCAAGAATTCCGGAGAAAAACTGACCATTCAGCTAAAGTAGCTATGGAAGATATCGAAAAAATATTAAAAGCTTTTGGTGAAACAAACGATAGGCTGCCGGAGCTTTTGAAACGAATCCGGACGTCATGTGATCTTGGTTCTTCAAACATTTACACGCAAATTGAAGAATTGTTGGGATATTTTCACCAGCTGCCAAGCAATAAGGTGCCGCCCTTACAAATCGCAGAAAATTGATATAATGGAAATTATCGAAGATTTCCATGCAACCAATGCCAAGAAGCTGCGAAATACGTTAACCGGTCTTGAAAATATTCTGCGGGGCCATGATCCAAACTTAAAAGTATCCGACTTCAGTACCCTGGCAGCATCCACGCGCCTAAAGGAGTTTCGCGAACAAGATGACAAGACGTCTTCAGAAAATATCGCCGCACTAGCTGGCGATCTGGGAGATCTCCTGTACCAAGCAGATGGAGTTGGAATGTTCAGTGCCATCGATCATAATTTTTTCATAACCACGAGATTAGGGAAAAGTTGAAGGCATTTCGAGCAAGTAACAGTACCACGGTGGAGAAGACTGCGCGGAAAGTAGCCAAAATAATCGCAAAGTTTTGTTCTGATCGAGGGCTGTTGGCTAACGGTACAGCCAAAATTGCAGGTTTTTTAAAACAGCTACGCGCCAATGATGAACGAATACCGGAGACTCTGCTAACGACTGTAAACGAATTTTTTTCTATAACTGACGTTTCACCAAAAATTTTCAAAGAGTTAAAAAGTTTGAAACGTTTGCATGAAGATGGTGATCTCACGCCGGGAACGTTTCTTGCAACTGTCAAACGGTTTTTTTATACGTCCTCCGAAGGAGATAATCGTTTTTCGAAGAAAGCGACCACAGAAATTAAGGAGATCATATACCGATTTTACCAAGACGACACCATTCATCTACAAGTCGCTATTACCGGAATAACAAACTGCCTGGAGTTAGCAGAAAATGACCGCTCAGCTTTAACGAAACTGGTCAAACAGTTCCGAGACATGTACAACACCTTTCCCGAAGAAATCCTCACCTGTACACGTAAGTACTAACAAGCTTCAAAAAAAATAACTATCGTCCGGTTGATGACATCTCGGCTGCAGGTTGTAATAGCTTCTCAAAGCGCTACTATGTATCTATAATATTTGAAGACTAGTTACTGTACTAGTTACAATTAATATAATTCAAGGCTTAACGGTCGTGTGCTCCCTGCATTCTGTACGCATTAACTGCTCTACAATTACCCGCATACGGCACAATACACTTGTGCGTCAGCTGGATATTTTCGCTTATTAGTGAGTAGTGAGCTTAGGGTCGGGTCAATACACGAACCTACTCCCTTCTCACATTGGGTATCCGTACTCGATTGGAAATCATTTTACCATTTGACAATTGGTTGTAATTTTATTACGTACATGTACAATTCTGCGCAGCGCACGTATCGTAACGCGAAATGGATGCCACACAATGGTCCGATGCTCGAGTTACGGGTGCAACTAAGAAAATTAATAACTGGAGAACAGATATCCCATATTGGTTGCAGGATGCGTTGTCCACTGATGACTGAGTAAAGATGTGCTGCTTAGGTTATTCGCAGAGGTTTGATATCATGATAAAGTAAAACTGCGTGTACTTCATGTAGACCACGAGGCAGTTGGACTAGTTTCATGGACCCAGGACGGAATTTCGGATTCCTTAAAGCCATACGTCATAGCTGACTGCGCCTCACCGAAATTCATCGACGCACTAATGCTGGAGTGCTACGAAGATAAGGATGTGTTTGACGTTGTACGATTACTGCTTCTTGGAGGGTACAAAGAGACGGCTAAGATGGCAGCTGACGCTAATTATTCTGGATGCCCTTTTGTTGGAAACCAAGCGGCGTTATGTAAAATGTCCCTGTCAAGCGTAACCGCATCCGATGGTCGCTGTCAACATGGTTTTAAGCGATATGACCCTAATTCATACGCCCCGGTTCAGGCCAGCAACAAGAAACCACGAAACGCATCCGACGAAAATATCAGCGTTGTAGACATTGAACCGCTCACCCAATTCGAAACCTTTCAGACCTTCTGCAACCGCGCTGCCGATAGAGGATATTTGGTCATAGGAACGGAGGTCCCGCATAATAAAATGCTGAAATCCGGAGCTGTGGTTAGTCAACATTATTATGTACTGCGCCGACCGTTCTACGTGGATGCACGCCAGAAGTTACTCGGCGATGCTCTACGATGCCTTGATCAGTATGCAGTAATAATTGCTACGGTGTATAAAGATGAAGTTGACTGTATAAGTAACGGAACTTTATTCCGAAGGTTAGGCACAACGGTTCCGCGCAGTCAGCTCGAAGCTCTGGAGTATCTTCCGACGTACATTTTAAAAGTCGTTGCAGAAGGAAGCGGTAGCCTGTCGAAGAAATTCTCCGAACTTGAATCGTCACAAACAGCAGATGTCACTGGTCAACGAAACTGGAAAGCCTTTGGACAACAAAGCAATCCGGAATGGTTTCTCGCATATTGTGGAATTGTTTTGGAACTTGCCAAGATTAAGCAGGTAATAACCGCGCAGTTGCTGCACTCACTAATTGCTCTAACGGAAAAGTTGTAAACTACAGAGTAGGCAAAATTTTATAGGCCCGCGTGTAATGGAAACACTGCGCAGTAAATTTATGTTGTAGCTTATTCAGTGGCTTCTCAGGAATGCGCCACCGTTAATTCAAATGTCAAAAACGTTCTGTAAACTGTTTAGGTTACTATAAATAACGTTCCCATCGACCCAAATAACTGCATACTAGGAGCCATACCTCTGTTGCCGAAAGGAATTTTTACGTATGTAACACAGACGTTCGGTCATCAGCGAGCCAACAACATTGTGCCGGTGGAAGCATCGATAAATGTTAACACGTTCTTCTATGAGAGCCCTGATATTCCCATGAATGCCGTGCAGTGGAAGAACATGGTGAAGGTCCACTGGCACTTACTATAGCTTGGCTTTACATACTGTCTTTAAATTTGAAGATGGGTTTTGGTACATTCAGTATCAGTGGCACTGGCAACTGCTACCGTTCAATGGCAACATTCTTAAGCGAAGCTTGCCTCAGATGTGTGAAATAAAGCGATATGAAACATTTAAAGCCAGATAATAATCATAACTCGGTTGTTGTCTGCATTTGCTACGTGGCATCGCCTTCTTATAAGCTAAGGCACAGTAAGTTAACACGAGAAAAACAACAAAACACATAAGGTAGGAAAAATTACCGAGATGATAAAATTAGCAGGTTATACAGGTACGTGAATAGTACAGTTTAAGGTAAAATTGGAAACAATGCGTGAATCGTAAATTTACAGCAGTAACAGCAGTGAGAATTTCCGTTCGATATGGGAGCAAGAGCAAGTACGGGGACTGTTTGAAATTAAGCCCTCTCTGCTTAACTCAACGAGCGTTAACTTGCTTCCAGTATTCAGCAACGCCTTCCGGAAGAGGAGCTCCACCTCGCGATGCACAATATGGCGAATCATCGATATCAGTGCACAATAATTTGCTCGTATCAAGTTCCGCGGCGTACGGCCGCTTGACTGGGTCAAATTGCAGACACGATAGAATGAAGCTCCGTAGATGACTAGGTATCCAGTCCGGAATTTCCGGCGGTTTTTTCATGGTATTGAGGTAATAGAGCACAGCCATTTCCAGCTCGATAGGCTTATCTTTGTCTCCTTTATACAGCGGTGGCTGACCACTGGCTAGGTGTAGCGCAACACATCCAAGACTCCATGTATCACACTTGCGCCCGGTGTGCAAATTATACGCCTTTTGGTCGTCTACCATTTCCGGCGGGAGAAATCGCCCATCCTCGCCCTGACGAACACTGATTCCATGCTGCACGGACGCGTTTCCTTCCAGTTCAACTTGCCGCATTAAATGAAAACCGCCAATTTTTAAGGTGCCTTGGAATGGTTTTTCGCTAAAAAATATAAGGTTACTGTTTAAATTGCGATGAACGATTCCGTGCCCGTGAAGATACTTGAGACCCTCCAGTACTTCCATGATCCACTTCCCAATCATATTAAGTGGTAAATAATGGAGAGCAGCTTGTCTCAAGTTTCCTCCTAAATATAAAGATATCATTAAATCTATCTACAGCTGTTGATTTTAGCACGAATGTATTTCACCTGGACAATGTTCCGTAAAAACTTGAAATTCCGCTGGAAATGATGCGTGTGAGAAAAACTGGCATCCAAAATGGTGTACCACATTTTTCGTGCCTTTTTGTAGCGCTCGTATTCCGTAATAATCAGCATGACGTTTTGTTCGCGCATCAGTATTTCTTTCCATAGTCAGTGCGTCAGTCAGTTTACCGAATGCCTTAATTTTTAAACGTTTCTCTTTTTCCACTTCATCGTCCTTGCCCATTAGCACAAAACGCCAAATATCTACGTTTTTCTCTTCATAAACTCCACCGTCGTTCCATTGAATATCGCCAAGTTGAACCGTCATTGCTGGGTCGCTTGGCATAAACGGATGAGTTTGTGCATTAGTAATCGTGAACTTCCCTTCGGCAGGCAGTTGCTGCTGATTTTGTGTAGTTTCCATGGCAAACAGGTCAGCTAATGAATACCCTAAATTAAGAAATGGCAGCTTCTTTAGATCTTGCAAACTCCACCGCCTAAACGGATCTGGTTCTAAACAGCAGCTCAAAAATTCTTCGCAGGCGCGTGGTACCGGGTACGGCAAACTAATTTCCGGGCCGACTGCAAGACCGGCTTGACCGGCACCTTTATAAATCTTCTTTAACTGTTGCAACATGTCACCATTATTGACTAAATATTCAGACTGGGAGTAACGGTACTGTCGTTTGATTGTCAATGGCCGATCACAGTTTATCATCTGGATCGCCAGACAACCAAGCGCCCAACTGTCCACTTTGCTGGGATCACCGACTGACGCTGGCATGGCGAAGATACCTTCGGGTGGAATGTATGCCACATTGAGGGAGCCCTCACTGATCCAGTTCGTCCACAATTCCTTTATGTTTTTACAACTGCCCAATACCACATAACCTTGATCACTCTCGAAAACGCCGGTAACATTTTCCCGGAAAATTCCTCCATGGTATGGCGGAAATTCTTTCGTCACTGTGACAGCGGTGTTCAGAATGGTGTAAATATAATGACGGATGGTTTCCAGGTCTTCTTCTGCAACAAAACATCCAACGAAACTAAGGTTTTGTCACGAATCTGGCAGGTAATGCAAATAAGCACGCAGAGAAAAGCGGAAACAATATAAATGTAGCCACCATAACTACGGCAGCCAGACTGCAGAAAAAGAAGAACCAAAATGTACTTATCATTAATGCTATTTAGAAATTTCTAGAGTAGGAATCTACAATAGGCTATATTTAAGTTTATAATTAACGTTTGATGAAGACTTTTGTTAGCTCGTGTAAATCGTTCAAACGTTCGGTTCAAACATTTTGGGTGGTTAAATCAAAATGCACATGACGGTTTTGCCGTGGAATTACTGCGGGTATCCACTTTGGCAGGATACGCGCGTGCTTGAAAATGCTGTACCGACTGCCTGGTACAGTCTACCTGTCTAGGTGATTACATGTTCGATACCCAACCAGGACCAACCCATCCGCCGTGATGCCGGCATGAATGAAATCAGTGGATTCACTGGATTGATGGATTGCTTCAATGGAACCGCCTCGTTGCAAGGGCAGCAAACCTCCACAGAAGGCTGATGCAGATATGCTGGAAGGTTACGACTTATTCAGCTTTTTGCTGGACTCAACAGGAAAATGTATGGTTTTTCATTGATGATCAACCATTTACCTATATTTACTTGAGACTGACACACAGATAAAGCGAAAACTGCTTTTGCAAACGGAACCTCTTTCTGTAGGTCTTGTGATAAAAATAAACGATGGGGCTTAGTTAATAAGTTTATGTCATAATTACAAAACGCATTTCAATTTTAAACCTTTCTTTAAAAAAAGCAAACCGCAAAAGTAAACTTTCTCAGCCATGCCAATTTACTATGTAGTTTTCGCTGCATGACGGCTACCGTTTTATTTGAACGCTGAGTCACATGTACTGTCGAGCTTTCCCTACCGGAACTGTGTGGGTATGTCTCCCTGATAATCGTGGGCGAACGGGAAATTTCGGTATCAAAATTGGGCTGAGCCGAAGTAAGTGGCACCGGTTGGTACTTATCACTTGATGTCTCCACATTATCAGCTCCTTCATCAAATTTCGCAGCGGTAAGCGTCGACGTCAGTTGGAGAACGGTTTCAGAAAGAGCCGCGGTTCCCCTGTTTAACTCGCGTTCACTGCGCGGGGCTATTGAACTAGAATAAGGTTCTGTAGCCTTCGGAATATCAACGTCAGATAACAGGTGTAACAAATCATTTGCCGAGCAGCGCTTAGTAAGTGCAAACCGCAAGCAAGACTCGATGCATTTAACTAACAATTGTAAGGCAGAGGGTACCGGATCAGGAGTCTTAGGAATATATCCCTTCAAAATCAGAGATTCATAAACATGGTCACTCATATCGTTTTCAGCTGGAATGGATTGTGTTCCATTCGTGAATTGTCGTTTGTAGCCTGGGATATTAAATGTAAATAGTTCCATTAAAATGCAGCCCAAGCTCCAGATATCGCTTTTGCTTCCGATTCTTTCTCCTGTGCGCTCTTTAACTAGAATTATTACTTCGGGTGCCTTGTACCAGATTGTATCACCAAAACTGCTTTCTTCTGTTAGACTATTGTTATTTTGTCGAAATATAATACAGTCCAGGCCACCAATTACAACGATTGGCGGTTCGTTTGGTGGATATCGGAAAAATATTTTTGCTGGGGCCAGGCGTCCGTGCACAATTGTCCTTTCATGTAGATAATTTAGTCCAGCGGTTATTTCTCTTGCGTAACGAACTCCTGTTGCCAACTCCAAAATTTTGTTTTCTTTTTTAAGCTGCCGGAGGAATTTTTCAAGGTCCCCTGTGTGAAAGACAAAATCGGAATAGTAACTACATGCAGCTTCCAGTTTGATCATAAATTTTTGACATACTCGAGTAATAATCCATTAGTACTTCGACGCATATTACGTCTTGTTTCCGGTTTTTCTTAACGGTAACTTGGAAGTACGTTGCAAGATTTGGGTGCTTCAATTCAAGAAGCGTCTCACAGCGCTGGCGCATTGGTGAGCTACCATGCAAGTCGAATAACGGTGCCACATAGCTCAACTGGATTATTTTTACAGCTGCGGTGTTCTTTCCTGTCACAGGAATCCCATCGTTGATCTCTACTGCACGTACAGTGGCAAAGTGACCTTTTCCTAAGCAACCATCAGTTCTGAAGCTGTACGAGCAGCGGACGCCGACGGAGAATCCCACGATGAACACGTGGTCCGAGAGTTGTCTGCACGTGGGGCGTTTGCTTGCTGATGCACAACATGCTTCAACGAAATTGCGGGCGTCCGCATTGTCATGTATACTGCTGACATCAGGTTCGGCCTTAAAATCGGACAACTGCGATAGATTGCTAACGAAATCGGCAAACTTTCCGTCAGTTTTGAAAATGAAATTTTTGTATGTTCCAGTTACTGTGTCCCGATACACCCAGTCCGGTGGGGATCGCTTATGCATTTCGATCACAGTACAGCCTAAACTGAATACATCCGTTGCCGTAGTGATTTTGGTTTGCTCGGCACTACTGCCGGGATATCTCATTTTCTGCATTTCCGTGGAGGCAAAATGTGAAGACCCCTCAGGATAATCTTGTCGATCGCCATTGTGCTCTTCCCGCGACGATTTCTCGAAATGAGCGATCTTTAGAATATACCTGGCTGTAGGAGCGTCAACAGTCTGAACAAGAATGTTTGAACATCGAATGTCTTTGTGAATGATGCCATGCTCATGCAATACTGCTAGACCTTCCAGAATTTGGCCGGTGAATAGGGGAATGAACGATTTCTTGAATTTTCGTTCCGTTATAAACTTATCCAGGGGCCTGAAGCTGCCTAAAACATTTACGGTTATGTTCACGTTCACAGCTCTTACACTTTATGCCAGACATTCAAACCTTCGCTCTCGGTAAAGACCCGCAAGCCCAGGCTGTGAGGTATGGCTGCGAGATGCTTGATAACATGCTTCGATGTCACCTGCATTCGAAGTATCTCGAAAACAGCTGCTTTGCTTGCCATTAGAAGTTCGTCGTTACCGCCTTCCGAGTTAGTCGTAGAAATGAAAGTGACTGTGTACGGTCTACAGTCTCCTGTGCTGTGTGGAAGCTGTACTGCCGTTTGCAGTAAATTGAGGTTATCATGCACTGCTTTATTCACGGCAAGATTCCCAATATTTTTAGGAGAATTCACCCCAGGTGTTTCGGTTTCCTCCGCATCTTCAATTTGGGCCAAAGATTGCACTTCATACCGCTTTACGACATACCGCTGCATCTCAGCACTTCTGAAGTTCGCCATGGTGCGAGCAAAGTAATTCATCTGAAGAAGCTCATTACAATTTGGCCGCTTTACAGGATCCTTTTCCAGGCATTTATCGAGAAAGGTAGCTGCCTCCGGCGTAAGCAAGCTGCAGCTTCCCTTACAACCATGACCGCAGATGTCGACTGTGGGGTACTGAGGTTTATATCCAATACGGAAATAATAGTACATATCCTGAAAATTATGGTTGGAAGCAGTCAGTACGACGGTATCGTGGCTCCTATCGGCTCTGATGAAGCGTGGCGGTTTGCCTTGCTGCAGCATCTGTATGAGCGTGCAGCCCAGACTCCAGATATCCGCTTTTCGGCCAACTGAGTTGCGCTGGTGTGGTTGTTTTGCAGACAGAGACACCATTTCTGGCGATACGAATGGAACGGTACCGGCAGCATTCTCTAAGCAATTCGGGGGCGTGCAATCTCCCGAAAAGTGTTTAGCCATTGACATTCCCACAATTTTGCTATGTTCTTTTCTTCATTTACCATAACGTTTGACCCATTGATATCGCGATGAATGATGTGGTTTTCGTGAAGGAAGTTCAGTCCTTTCAGGATTTGTCTTGTGTATATAATAATTGCGAAGTCATTTATTTTTGTATCGGTTCCGACATTTATTGATCCCAGCAACTCGTCCAAGGGCATTCCTTCAAACAATAATCAATATACAGTGTACACTAAAAGTCTATCAACTGACCGCTTAAACGAGTATTTCAAAAAGCACGAATTCAAGCGCGGATTTGAAGACAAAATAAAGGAAACGCTGCAAATTTAGCAACATATCTGTATAGATAAAAATTCTCTGAAGAAGATTTGTTTTGAGAAAAAAATATCATGCCACCGTGAAGGTTAGATTGTTTAAGGATAACGGCGCGGTATTCAACTCGTACTTGTAACTTGTATATCCAAAAGATTAGGAGAAAGCTGCGCACACCACGTTTTACCACCAAAGTCTCCGCACACGACCTTTCACCACCACCTGGCTACGCACACCACTGTTCGCACCACGTTTTGTCTCAAGCCACCATTTTTGCGCCACCACCATATATATTAAAATATCGGCAGTCTCGGGACACCACCTTATACTCGTAGTTTCGAAAACATACGGTGCTCCGTCGTACAGTCTGTATATACGACTAATAGGAGCTATGCTGTATTTTTTTTGTGCGTGTACGGGAAGTAGTACTTTACTTAAACTACACTGTATTTAAATTACAATGTTTTGGTTTTTGCTGCCAACGGTGCGGGTCAACCAGTGTTTCTGGGCTTGCTAGCGAAGGAAAGATTAGTAAACTTGGAATTGTTTTGTAAAAAGTTTCAAGAAGGCACATCCTACGTGGCAGCAAATTGTTTATACATCAAGGCTTTTATCGCTGCGTGTACTCCTATCAAGAAGCTACAGTAATTTCGAAATCCGGTGGTGAGAATAAGTGGAAATTTGTTCTGACGATTTTCGGGGATACCTGAACAAGAACTAGCTCTGCCAGCTTGCTTTCGGCAAGTTTGTAAAACCGAAAAATTCGCTAACTATAACGGAAGCGGCGGCAGACGAGTGGTATCAAAAAAGAGGAGTCAGACCGCGAGACGAAAGAGCTGCCTTTTTTCCGCCAGTAATAACAATTAATTGAATTTTTTTAAAATAGTGGTGTGCAGAGGCTGTGGTGGTGTGCACTGTGCACTCTGCCCTTGGTGGTGTCAGGAGATTTCGGTGGTTTTTGTAAAAAAATTAAAAGATAATAAAAAGTGGTGTGGCCTGGCGGTGGTGTTTCGTGGTGTGCGGAGACTTTGGTGGTGAAACGTGGTGTGCGGAGTCTTCCCCAAAAAATTTTGATACAGTGCTCTGAAAACATTTTGTGCGCGTAACATCCGGTGTTGCTAACATGTTACGAACTGAAGTGGATGCCTGAAATCATGCAACTTAAGTTAAATCATTGTGTCACGCACTACAGATTAGGTTAACTTCCAGTCTTCTAGAAACTTCGCTATAAATCACATAGGTAATTATGTGTCTATGACAAGGAGTCAGAAATAAAACCACTTTCATGCCATTCTGTTTTAGACTTTAAATCAGCTTCAGAAATTCTGTAGCTCATTTTAAAATTTAAAAAAACTCCCTACGAAGCGAATCATCGAATTTGGATAACTTTTGGCATCACTTTGTGTTTATTTCCTAATTTTTGAAGAGACGTACGTCTTCAGATCTAGCTTTGGCTGACTAAGCTTCTGAACGTACTTTGTATGGCTAAAATTGAGGATAGTCGGCCGGAATAGCGAAGGTCCTAATTTAGAAAAAATACAAAGAGTGTCCCTCTGTCTGTTACTGAACCTCTGTCTGTAATACTGAAGTGTTTCGATGGCGTCATTGGTGACTAGCTATTATGACGTCACTCAACTCATAACATTGTCAAGGTAGTCCTGTACGGAATTGCATTTATGTCGGCATGAGGTTGCCATGAGCTATGACATTCGGTATTGCTTACCAACCGTTTTTATACGTGTCGAAGTGGAACATCCAATTTCCAAGTTGGCTAGTACGTTGATATTCGTTAAGTACTTGTAATATACCAAATAATTTCGTAGTCCCAGCGGCCTATCCTCTAGGTGATGTCTGATTAATAACACAAATTTAAATATATTTTGAAATTTTATTATTAAAACTGAAAGTGGCGTGCAATTGGTTTTGGTTCAGTGTCGTCCTCACATAAGCCACAAACAGCACTTCACAGAGCCACTCTAAAATTTTCCGTAAAGCCGCTCAGTGCGCTCTCCGACCTTTACCGTCGCAGAAGTTCCATTCAACAATTCTATGCGGGCTATATAAGTCTCTTGCGTTTTATATAATTTCTGTTGCAACTTTTTGATTTTACGAGTACTTTACCTGGGCACTCTTCCGCTAGGATATAGCAAGTTCTGATCAGACCGGCTTTTCGAGAGGAATAATCAACGCCATAGTATCGCTGTACGTAGACGTTACGTTGTTCTTCCGCGAACGCGGTGACTAACGGATGGATTGCGGCACATAGCGCTTCCACTTCGTTTTGAGCATCAGCGCGATCCGACGCTACTGTAGTTAGTTCAGCTCTTTGGGGTAGCGATGGCATTGCTTCCAGTCCGGCGAATCCAGATTTCTCAAAATGGTCACCAAGCAGTTTAAGGTCGTTTTTCTTTGGATGGTATGTATCATCCTTTCTTTCGAGATTTACCGAATACGTTGTCGAATTTGCCGTTGAAACTTTGTACTGAAAACCAGCTGCGTATACTGATGGCATTCTGCTCAGTGGTGAAAGTCAAACTAAGCCAGTTAACCGTGCTAAAAAAAAGATAGAAAATTTCCTTTCGCTCAGTTAATTTATGAACAATCTACAAGTTGCACTGTGCAAGTGATACATTCTTGTTGAGCTGCAGCGGTTAAGCATTTTTAAGAAGGTTGTACAACTCTACAGCCAAGCATGAGAAAGCGACAGAACATTCAAGCAAGATGCTTATCTGTAGCCGTAAGTCCGTGACTGAGAAAACCTGACTCACTATGTGCTGATTTTCGAAGCGGAAACGGAGCGAATGTTGGTGCACTTAGTATAACGTTACACGAACATCCACTTCGTTTTGTTAATGTTGTAATACAACATTCCTGTTTAGCCGCTGGCGGTTATCATTAGCTCCATCGGTTTATACTATTAATGCCAACTTGCTACTGTAGATGTTGCGTTGCTGGAATTACCGTTGCAAACTACCGGCAAGTTTGAATGCAGTCTATACCGATCGTTTGATTAAAGGACTTACTGTGTGGCAAGTCAGTTATTATCTGTTGATTTCGGCTTCTGAAAAATTTGGTTGAATGAACATCAGAATAATAGTAAATTTTAGTTTTGGTAAAATATGCTAAAAGCAGTGTAGGGAAGTGACCACAAGATCTAAAGCGCCAATATAAATGGCTCCGGACAACTTAACATCAGTCGGAACATCGTTGGATACTGGCAAAGGAACGTGTAGTTTCGGGCAACCTGGATTATGCTGGCTCATAACACTGGATAACGCAACATAGTAAGAAGTTATTATAAGAACTCGAATTTAACCTACATTTTAAACACGAAATTACCAACTTGCCTGAATGGGTCTTGCTTGTAGCACTGCTACATCCCTGGCCAGAATTCCGTGGACGTACTACGCTTTCTGTTTTGCCAGCCTGTTCGGGATTGGAATCTTGATTATTATCCATGGAATCATTAGAACTCCACGCTACATTTATGGTTTGCTCAAACTGATTTGCCGGCATTTATTTCTCTCGCCGATTCCTTTTACACGAGGACTATTAGCATTCACTCTAAGCATGGCCTCGTTATCCATCAACTTTTTTTGGCCATACATGTTTTCCACTGATGAGTAAGCTCTCATTTTTACCTGAAGGAACACTAACAATTTTAATAATTAGATAATATTTCCCCAGGAAACTAAACCATCAATGGCACTCCGCTCTGACTACAGAAGATCGGAAGCTGGCAAGGATAGATTTCGCGCTTAATATAGCTTTGCTGGTCCTTCTGATTTTGAAGCCCATCAAGGTTTAATTATTACATATTCTGTGGACAGTCTGTCATAAAAGTTCACTGTTAATGTAAGAAAACGCTGTTTTCAACGGTTTAGTTCAGACGCAGGAAGGATGGCTGGGTGCCCTTCATTCCAACCGGGAAGATTTATGTGCGTTTCTGTCGAGCTGCTGCAACGCCATCACAACTGGCGGCCAATGTCTTTTACCTTTTGCGGGACTGGGAATTTGTTTCCAACATGGCCAACCTTCCGCTGCTATTCTATGAAACGTGTATTGTTGCTTGTGTTGATTACGCCGTGCCCGGGATGTGGAAAGTGGCAGTCATAAGTATGTTCCTAATTTGTAAATAGTGACTGTCACCGCTGCAATCGCCAGAATTCACTTTGCAGGCTTACAGTTTCTTCGACTGTTTTGCTTGATTTGGTTTTGTGATGAAATAATACGCATTTTCCCGAATTTGCCGCTGAAGATTGGAACGATCATGAGGAGAATAACATGGATTGCGTGCTGCTTCCTCAGCTGTGCAGCCTGGATTCAGTTGGTCAGTAATAATGTTTTTAAAAACAGTTCGTACGCAGGTTCCCGTTCTATGTATTTCTCCACTTAGCATATTAAGCAGATCAAGATTTTTCAAGAAACTTGACGGTACGCGTAACAGAGTGGCGTGGCGCGCCGTCGATAAAGATTAGCGTGACCCATACTAAGCATCAATATGAATTCAACGCAGTATTTCGCCGTATTTCGCGCCTTTGAGTTGTTCGATGAGCTACTAGCTATATTATAGTAGGTCGTATGTAAGTTGTACAACGTCTTCGATTTAGCGCAATAAAAAAAACGCTGATCTCGAACGAGCAGCCCATTGGTTTAGGTCTTTTTAGGACATACATACTTGATTACCGAATCCCGTATAAACCGTGTATATGTCAGTGATTCCAGGTACTTTCGGAAGTCGGTCTGTTTAGATGCACAAATATGTGTTTGCTTTTAAAAGTATATATTCTACATGCATTAACATTATTGACTATAAACGAATGATTGAAAGAAACTTGTTTAAGAATCCAAAACATTTTGTTCAGGCTGCTAAATGACCTTTAAACTCCGTTATTGAGTACTGCGCAGTCTGTAATGTTTGATGATTTGCACCAAACCCCAGTTGTTCTCGCATTAATATACGGTAATACAAGTACAAGCGGAACAACTCGACCGTGCGATGTTGATATCGGAATGCAGCTTTTGCCGGTTTCTATTCGAAATTTTAAATAAATGTTGCTTGTATAGATACCGTACTTTTGCCAGCCTACTATTGTTAAACTGCATTGTTAATCTTTAGGTGGAAATTCTAGGCGATTTTTGGTTGCCCTCTTACAACGGACAACAAGATTTGTCGTACGGGAGGGTTGTGACCTTTCTCTATGGTAAACTGGTATTTCTTGATGTGACAACGCTTCAGCTACAGACGACTGCCGCCAAGGTCTCTGTGTACATTGTTCAAGCTATTACCTTGGTGAGTTATGAAAAACGATAACCTTGCCGCCGACCGCCGACAGTGGCTAAATGAGTTATTTGCAGATATTTCTCGTACAAATCATACCGGAGATGCTGAAGCAGTTACCGAAAATTTTGAAAATACGCGCATTCGACACCGTTTATCGAAGGAGAGACACGAAGTACGACACAGCTGTGATACTTGCTACTGTCATATATTATACGTACATATTTGAAATATTCAATGGCTCATGTTTGTAGATATGTAGCGTTGCTGGGTTCCGTAAATCCCAGCGCTGTGGAGAGATTTGCAAAAAGATTTCGATCAACAAACCCTGGCGAAAACATTGCAGTATTGCTCGAGTATGTATGCTTGATCCGTCCGAACACTATTCGTATAGTTCAGCGGAGTTTTCAGATTGTCTTTCATCTGATTGTAATGAACTTGATAGACCGGAAGCATCAGACCCTGCAACGGAGGAAATGAATACAGTGGCCGGAAAGTACCGGGATATTCTAACCGTTGTGTCTGGTTCAGTTTTCAACAAACAAGATTTAAACAATGTCATTTCAAAACATTGTCAATGTGCATTCTTTTTCGCTAATGAGAGTGCGCCGAACTTTACCGTCGAGGACCACTGCAATTTCCTGCGTGTTCATGCACTGAAACAACACCACCCTCAAGTTAGAGTGATTGTGAAGGTTCTTCTGTTCAACAACAAGGTTCGTGGTTTCAGCTGGTGTAAGTTCAAGCGTTGACATATCTTATATCAATGATATGACATTGTGTGAACGATACGTTTTGACCATAAAATATTAACCAAAACCCGGTGCCATGTAATTCCACCGTAAGTCATCACTAACAAAGTTGTTTCCTACACGGACACGTTTCGGAACGTCTTCGGGCAGGATACATGGTCGAAGTAAGAACTCCTGCCGGACAATTTTCCGGCATGCAAGTCCTTACTGCGACCAGCCTGTTCGAACTCTGTACACAATGACACACTCGGATTAAAGTTTATGGACCAATGACACACCCTGACTATGAGTCTATGTCGAAAAGGCGGAAATAATCGAGTGCACAAAATTTACGGAGGAGATTGTTTGAGCCCCGAGGCCTACCAGGCCTCAGTATTGTCGGTTGTTATTTACGTTCTTCTTCTTTCCTCAGGAGCGATTTTACGACATACCGAACTGGCGAAAAGAAACCCCAGATTCTTCTGTTCAAGTCGATGGAATCGTCTGCACGGCCGAGCTTCAATTTTCACTTTTAGCTCAACGTTACTTCGCACCGGGAATATCACAAATTATTTATGAATGGTTCTCGAAGCCAGCCAAAAAAAGAAAAGGGATTTGGCAAAGTATACGAAAGTACTGGAATTCCAGTGCAGATACAAGGCCGGGAGTAGCTGAAAATGTCGAAAGATGGCTCGGTCGGTCTGGTCGACAAACCATACGCTCTATTGTTTACCACACATCCATGGAAAAATCTATCGATAACCGACGCCCTCGTAGTACGGCCAGCACGAATGCTCAAGACGTGCCAATGCAGCAAATTCACAATGGAGTGGCTGCAAATGATAATCCTCAGACTCCTTTAAATGAAACCAGACTTGATATAAACGGAACACCGACGCTGCGACCCAAAACCATTAGACTTTACAAAGACATAGAGGTACGTCAACTATTTATTTTTGATTTTGGTCCTTTTTAATATTAAATTACTATGGACTTAATACACGTTTAGTAAGTGTGTGGCAGAGCACTTAGGTAACTACTTTAGTAGTTGAAGGCTTAGGCTGTTGAAGCATTACTTTATACAGTTCTTATACTTTACTGTAGCCTGTATGGTTGGAATTTTAAAAAAATTTTCTGCTCTGTTATTGCTTGGTAGAATTACTGTACGTAGAGTTAGAGTTATCGTACTTAAGGTTTCCATTAAGAAACTTCACATCTGGTGAGTGATCATTTGAAGACCTCATCCGAAACTACCAACATGATACCGTTCTCTTGCCCTTAAAAGGGTCAAGAAAAACCTGATCAGGAAGGCAAAGTTCTAGTAACCTCGATTTTGGCACAGAAAAAGAAATGTCCCGTTACCGGTTGACACATCCGTCATTCGTAACAAAATTTGAAAAAGCGACCAATGGTATGGTGAAATGATAACTTGCAAGATACATTTTGAAAGCGTTTAAATGCATGTAAAAGTGATACTAAAACCGTGTACGCAGTACACATTAATACCCGTGCAGACTGCTAAAACTTGTTCCCCAGCATCGTGCACGCAGCCAAACCCGTCCGTCCGGACACCCGTGCATCCAGGACCCGGGTTTGCCCGTGCACGCAGCTTCGACCTTCTTTGTTTAACATTGAATGCTGCAAGCTAAGCAATATTTTGCAGGATAAGTTCAAAGAAAAGGGCACTTTATTCGCCGTGCTGCAGGAAGGCGTATTTCATTTGTATCCTCGAGAAAACCTGATTGTGAAAGACGGTGCCAAGCTGTTTTTTATCACTTCAGCTTCCGTTAACCAGCTGCAAAAGACGCTGTGCAGCAATTGCTTTGACAGCAAAAAAATAAAACTAGGGCTGGCATGCGATCAACCTGATAAGGATCTCGTGACACTGCCCAAATCCAGCACCGGAAACATGATTCCGTGGCTGAATACTACGACTGCAGCGTGAGCGTTGTTGCGCTTCCCATCACGTAACATGACACTATACGCCTGTGCACCTTTATTTAGGATGGAGGAAAACAAACATGAAATATGGGATCCATCCGGACAGTTTAGACACTACCAGTCGCCCAAACGAGCCATTCCGTTAAAGGTACACTACGATTACTGCAGATTTTCCGATTCTGCCGGGTTATCATTGCATTCTTACTGTGTGCATGGTACAGTGTGCGGACGAGAAAGACAGTGAACTGTCAACACTGGAACATCACGTTGTAATTTGCGTTATCTCGGACAGCAGCTCAACGAATCCTATTGGACTCGTTAATTTCATTAAACCGCTACGCAGTATCCATGCAGTACCACCGGTCGTTGTCATACTGGGCGATGCCGAGTTCTTAATTGCAGAGTGGGATAGTCTGTCCGATTTCCCTAATATCTTTCCAGTCAAGGTAAGCATGTATCCGGTATAGAAGTGTGTAATGTTACATTGCTGTTTATCATTTACAATGACCGTGGAACGAACAGACTCGTATGATATGCATTCAGAATTCCCGGTTCATTAACTGCTTTACAGTAATGAAATTTATCGCAGCTTTTTTTCTGTCACCAATACTGCATTAGTTTCTGGAATATGAAGATCCAGTTTGAGCATACTGCAGGGTACCCCATTAAGCGATAACCACCTTCGAGCCATAAATGTTCAAGCTAGCCGAATGTGTCTGGTGGTCGATGCCAGCGAGCGTCCCAAAGAGGAATCGGAAAAATGGAGCCAGTCGGCCAATGCGGACTTGGTACTGCCGATACTCCCTAAACATTTTTACCGGCATGTCAATGCAGTTTTAGCAACTGTGGCTATCACAGAATATTTAAAACGATCGTCTGAAAGAAAAGATCCCTTGATCGAACATTCCCTGAAGGTCATCGAAGAGATACTGAAGAAATGCAACGTTCTTGAAGGCGAACTACAAATAGAGGCTGCGTTGTCAGTAAAAGCGCAGCTTAAGGCATTCCGAATGCATCGAGACCAGTCCACCGAAAAGACACTGCTGGAAATGAATAATCTTTTGGAAGCTACCGAGGAAGCAAGAAGCGAGCTCTTGGAATTTCTGAAAAGAATTCGCCAGGCAAGTGATGCCGAGACCGTAATGCAACGGCTCGCAACAGAATTGTGTCAAGGCGTTGAAGCAGTGCAACCAGATGCCACAGCGGAGTTAAAGGAAATCGTAGAAACATATCGAAGGGAAAATCAGCGAATCGTTCAAGAAGCTACTGAAAGGGTACGCGCGTTGATACAGACAGTCAAGCCCCTCAAAGTCCGTCACCACGAAGACGTCACTGACTTTATCCTTAGCTTTTCTAACATCACACCAACCAGGCAGACCATCGAGTCAGCCATCCTGGATTGTTTCAGTAAACCCACAGCAACAGATCCATTACCGGAACATTTAATAAATGATGTGAGCGGAGCCTTGCAACATCGAAACCAAAGGGCTAACACGCTCGAGACCGGATACCACAATTTACTGGTAACGCTATGCGGAAATAACGAGGCTGTAATTCAGAAGGCTGAAACACTTCTAAGGGGAATACGATGTGTACATGACCCAACGCAAGAAAGATGCACTAAAATTATGGAAGACTTTACACGATCATGTGGCAAGATGTCGGAAACGTCGCACTGGAAGTTACTGCAGTTGGTTGAAAGATTCCGCGAAGAGAATTTCGATTCTCTTCAAAACTGTGCCGAACAGATTGGAGGGATTATAATAAATCCGTTTTCCGAGGAAGCAAAGTTCGAGCTAATTCGGTTTTTGAAGCAATTTCGGGAAACTTGCGATCCGCTACCGGAGGAAATCCTTACTTGCATACGTAAGAGTATTTCTAGCAGTTTTGTTGCTAGCACTTTAAGTGACACTTTTGAGGTTTTTTGCCACATACCGGTATTTCTGTTCTTCTGACGCAACAAAATGAAAATACCTTGCATCCCTCCCTCTTTTTATGTTGGTATTCAGCTAGGGCACCATTCTAGGTCATGGCACGGTTTTGCGACGCTTCCTTCCGCTATAGAAAAGGGCTTATTTACCGATGCAATCTGTGGCAGTAACGTGCATCGTGTTTTAGCCTTCTTTTAGTACAGCAAGGTACAGCGTGCAGTAATGATTTTTTTAATCATTAGACATAACTTTTTGTAACAGTACATACAGGTGCAGTTGATACAATTATACCATATAAAATGCATTAAACTTAAAGAAAGGTTTGCAAAGTTGAAGTACGGAGTGCCAGATCTTTGCGACGTGTAACGATTGAGTGAATTTTATGCCTTTTCAAAAATTATACAGAATTATCTTTAATAAAAAATATGAGCAAGCGACCACTACTTTTTGTGTCTCGTGTGTGCGTAATAATTGCATAAAACAATAAAATTAATATACGTAAATGACCAGAAAGGTAGTGTTAAGGCCGCTTGCACCTTTCTCATGTAACATCAGCCATACTTTTTGTCACGCAGACCACGAAGCGGTTGGCCTTATCTCGTGGAACCAAACCGGAAACGGACACTCAGCGAATCCGAAAGTGTTGGCTGACTGCACCATGCCCACTATTGTCGACGCTTTCATGCTCAAATGTTACGAAGATAAAGACATTTTTGATGCTGTGCGCCTGCTTCTGTTAGGATGTTACTGCGACACTCCAAAACATTACCCGGAAAAGCGTGTTAGCGGATATCCTTATTTAGGAAACCAGGCAGCATTAAGCAAACTGACTTTTAGTTCCACCCTATACAGCACCAGACGAATTTGGAGAGGATTGCGAAAGTATAATCCATTGTCGGCTGATGTGGATCGCTGCCCACTAAACGGCCAACCAGATACCAACGAAAAAGCTGAACTGAGCAACGGCGAAACCCTGCAATCTTTATCTCAGACCTTAAAACAAAAGAATCTTTTAATTCTTGCTCCTGAAGCTTCCTGCCTCAAGAGGAAAGCTCGGAACAATCAGCACTATTTTGCCCTTGAACGACCATTCTACGTCGTGGCGCGCCAGAAGCTGTTTGCGAAGATCCTTGTCTCGTTTAGGTACTGTAAGCGTTGCCACCTGGCTGCCAATTGAACCGCTATGTGGTTATTCTGTCCACCCGCATTCTAAAAACTACGGTTGGTTTGTTACAGCTCGGATCTCGATGAAAATGCGGATAAAGTTCTTTCGCTAGAATTTTTACCTCCTTACATTTTAAAAGCGGTTGCGGAGAAGAATTCAGGGCTACCGAAAAAGTTCAGCACCTATCATCATCAGGACTGGTTCTTTGCGTATTACAGGGTTATGGATCAGGCTGCTAAAAGTTCTACAAGCATACCAGCGGTACGTCGGGCCACTGACAATAATGCAGCTTGCAAGCGTAAACATACGACTTTTGTTTTCATAAACGATACTGCGATCAGAAAGCGGTTATAAAGAAACCTAGGAGTTCTCCTAGAATATCCTAGGAACAAACAGGCGGCGACCGGCTTTGAAGTTGCAATGAAAAAACATTAAATATATTCGACATTTTCATAATTTTAATCAATTCCGCTGTATAAATCTGTATCTGCATTCCACAGTAAAAAATAATTACTAATTAGCTAAAAACACAAGTTTTCCCGTGTTGGACTTAGTCAATGCATAAACTGGACCTTAGACAGTAAATAGACTGCATTTCGGCCAGCCGGTCGTGGTTGTTTGACTAGCCCTAACCCCAAGCCAATTCGCTGATGCAGTTTTATAAGAAGGCCATTTCATTTGTTTGCCGTTGTAACCGGCAAAACCGTCCGGGTGGATGAACCGTCTGCCGGACGCTTTTTCCGGTAAGCCGGCAAAATCGTCCGCCTCCGAATATACAGTCCGGCAATACCGATAGTCCTCCATATACACTTCGGGTCGTTCACAAGATCAAACAGAGCATAAACAACTGGGTGGGCAACATTTCCGATGGACGTTTTTTGGACTGCCGGACGGCTTTTCCGGTTACAGGCAAAAGCGGACGGTTTTGCCGGTTACACATGTGATCTCGGGCAAATTCTCGAGCGCAAGTATAACAGAGACATGCTATCCTTGTAGAGAGGCCACTGCAGCCAAGTTTAATAGGCAACATGGGCATAAAACTCGCAAAAGATCGAGCGCATCGACGTTAAATTCAAGTTAAGAAAAATTGGCAAAGGAGAAAACTCAGACTGTGCATTTGTTGTTAGTAACCATTATGATTAACTTATCAAAGTGGCTATTTCACCCCAGTCTTTGTGGCAAAATAGCTAAAGGTTATTTTGCCACACCGCAGAATACGGTGGTATAATGGCCATAGCCATAAGTTATTTTGTCAGCAAACCGTACAATTCTCGATAACAGTTATAATGTTCATCTATTCTGTACAGGCTATGAAAGCAGCCTTTGGAGAAATGAGTCCTGATCCTGCGAAATATCACAAAGCGACTGGACTGCCTAAGCTACCAAAGTCGGTTTTAAGTTTTGTTTTGGCCACATATTACCATAAAAAGCTCAGTCAGAAACCCTCTCCAGAATCAACAATACCAGCCAACGAATTTTTCTATAAACGAAATGCGCCGGTAGAAGCAGACCAAATAACTTGGAATGACTTAGCGCTCCTTAAGTGGAATGATTGACTGTGAACTTCTTAAATCATGCTAATTGATTTTGCAGTAGATTTGGCTGATAACATCAGGACGTATCCGTTTCCTAAGTGAAAACGCAACCACTTAGCTGATTTTGCCGCGCAGAAACATAAACTGAGTCCAGCGTGAGTTCGTCTTACCGTAATGAACGACAAGAGCGTTTAAATGTCATAGTTATTCGAATGATATACCGGTTATATAATTATGCGGCCCAGTTACGAACTGCAGAACCAAACCCGTGCATAAACAAATGCGAAAGGTTCATTTTGCATAAATGCATAAACTCGCGCATAAATAAACCTGACAAGTTCATTTACATAAAAGCATATCCGAATGCGAATTTGCCACCTACACGTAGGTAGAGCAAATTTCTTGGATGCGTTTTTGCCCCTCATAATATACAAATTTTCCCCCTAAGCAGACATGTCCGGATACGAAGTCCCCATACATACGCGACCACAACTTCCATGAACGCTCGGACATACATAGCATGAATAACTGCAAAGGACAAAATGCAACCTTCTTTGAAACAATAGTTGGAAACGAACAGGAGATGCGATACTAGAAATGGATTTACTTTACTGGGACATTTATCAGAATTATTAATTCTGCAGCACGAGGTGGTAAAGGAAAGGAAATGCAGGGTAAGGAAATGCAGCTGCAACTCGCGCCTTGCGGTAATCGCAGATTCGTTTACCGATTAGGTCAACGTCTGAACTGATAGTGACTGGTATCCGTCGTCGTCTTGAGATGAGCGACCCAAGTTATCTTCTTTGTTCCTCAGCTGTTCCAAAAGGGCTTTAGCGGAAATTCTGTTAGCACTTTTAGTTTGAAAGCAGGATTTAATAAGTCCAAGCCAGTGCTGAGTTTGTAAAGTGAATAATGATTCCCGAATCCATGGAGTATAACCGTCCGTTATCAATCTGGGAAAATCAACGTCGGAAACCTGGTCACCGGCTACAATTGCCGAAGACTTCGTGTCTTTTGTTAGCCACATATCGTGCTGATTGATGACGCAGTTAACTAGCTCTATTATAATGCAGCCAAGGCTCCAGATGTCCGTTAGCTGATCAATCGTTTCTGTTGAATCATTCTCGAAATATCGAATCATCTCCGGTGACATGTAACGGATCGTTGCATGCATATTGGTACGTTTGTCAAGGGAATCTAATGCCACACAGGAGTCGAGGTCGCCAATCGACAGTGTACGATGCTGACCTTTACCACTTCTTACAAGGACGTTTGACGGTTTCAGGTCTCCATGTACGATTTCCCACGGCTTCCCGTGCAAATAGCACAACCCGTCCGTAATTTCCCTTACATACTGAATGGCTGATTGTTCAGGTAGTGTCACACCCCCAACATCCTTCACCCTTCTCAGTAACACCGATAAAGTATCATCTGTAACAAAAGATGCTGGGCATATATATTGAGCATATATACAGGATATGTACTAGCGGTGGTTTTTAACCACATGAGCGCACCGAGAGAGCGACAGTACCACTGGAAAATGGTATTGGATTTGTGGAATTGGAAAAGCGTGACGTACGCTCTTCGTGGCGTCTGACAGATTTTATGCTCTTGACGAAGGCTTAATGGTAACATCTCGCCGCGCTCGATGCAGATAAAGTGAGCATTTACACAGCATATAATTATTATATAAACTGACCGTTAGCGCATTCGAGGGGATGGCAACAGCTTTGCTGCCTAGAGTAGGCAATTCCTGTACGACTACATACTGCCGCTGGCCGGCCGGATTATGAGGTTGTGGCTATGCATGGTGCTTATGTCCAGCGCTAGGTTTAGCCATACGCAATGCCGCAACGTCATACTCCAGCCGGCTGACGGCAGCAACCACAGGGATTGCCTGGGTAAGCTATTCACATTCCCCCGTATGCTTATAAGATGAGACTGTTACGAAATCGACACTGAGAAGTTTCTACGGCTTCGACATACCGTTGTAGTAATCCATTAGGAACTCCAACCTCGTTCCTTTAGAAGACTGTAACATTTTAACTGCATGGTATTTAACCAAATGGCTATGATTAAGTTGGATCAATCTATTGAATTTTGCCAGCAGTACGGTACGATCTTTAATATTCCATGGGAGGACTGATGTATTCAAGTGCGCCACTTTAACGGCAACGATTTCGTCCCTTATATAGTTTCTTTTGTCTTTAATTTTTGCTTTGTAGACGAAGCCGAATGAGCCTTTTCCAGTCCAATCATTGCTGCTGTAACCGTATACGCAGTCGCTACCAGCGAAATTACCGGTATTTCTTCCTGGCTCTCGGATGTCACCGAGTGGTCACTTAGTGCGCAATATGCTGGTGAAAGCATATCAGTTGTCTCCGAAGTACATACCAATGCTGATGGTAGCAGCCCAAGGCTGAAATCTTCTTGAATCTGCAGAGTACAGTTGCTAAATACTGGCGTCTTAATGTTATTTAAATGCCTTCATAGCTTGCTATCAACATGATGGCGCAGCCCTGCATCAAAACGAAACTACAGTACTCGTACATTCGCAACGATTGCTCCAGTCCAAGGTAGCTGTATGCAGTACCACACCCACAGATACAATTCGCGAAGCTACCTCACAGGTGAGTAGAATTGCTGTATCGAATCAGCTTCACTTTGAATTTGAAAAGCTCATAATTATTGCGCAGCGGAGTACTTATATGAAGGACGTGAACGCACATAGGGAACTCCAAGGAAATCTTAAACCATTCTTGAATTTCAGAACAGCTACAGGCCGTTTCACCTCACGTCTGTCCGTTGTACAGTGAATCTGCATACAAAAACCAACCCTACTCCTAATTCCTAAAGCCTTAAACCGATTTATTGGCTGCAGCCGAGTGCGCATCGTGCGAGTGTATGGAAATACAGATCCGATCAACGTTCCGAGCTACCTGTAGTTGGCGCTGATTGTATGTTATGGTAAGATTATATGTATGTATAGGTATATGTACCCGGTATGTACTATGTAGATTACTGCCAGTCTACCACAAAATCGGGTTAGGCTTATACCAACCACGCATAAAATCAATTTTGACGTCCATTGTGAACCGATAAGAAACGGAACGTACTCAGTGTTTCCTGATACAAGATAGGCCTAAAGCCAAACTTTCGAGTGCAGTGGTGCACAATCATATTATACCCGATGGGGTCTGGGCGAGTATTACTTATAAGCGCTGTGCGTTTTCGCCACTCAACCAGTGATCAAGTTAGTATGACCTGAGAGGATTTTGGCTTTTATACTTGCATTATTTTGCTCCTTTGTCTTTAGTGTCGGGCAGATTTACGAATGTCTCCTGTGACCTGTTTTTACACCGAATTAAACGTACGTATACCTTTGTAAAAACATAATATTGTAGGTTTGCACTTTGCGCTTCATGCTTACCAATATAAGTTTTCTGAGGAGGCCATCTGCAGAAATTCTTTCTTCAGCGCTAACACTCAAACAGCTTTGTATAATTTCAGCCAAACGTGGTGGTATAGATTCATCAACATGCGGTACGTATCCATCAAGGACGAAACTTGTGTAACGAAGGTCACGGAAGCTTGCGTCTACTTCCACGGTTTCTCCTGTAGTTCGATTATACAACTTCGGTTTATGACCACAAGGCATATGGTTGGCCATTACTGCAAAAATGCAACCTAAACTGAAGGTATCGGTTTTCCGTCCGATTCCGCCCTCGTAGCCAAAGTTAACGAAGCGTGTAAGCATCTCCGGAGACATAAAACGTATTGTCCCGCGGATATCTTCACAATCTACCGAATGTGTTATGCTTGACTGCATTTGGACCGCTCCATCCAGGCTGCCGATCGAAAGCTTTAGCCGATTATTTTCTTCGTGACTGATTAGAATATTGAGAAGACTTAAATTTCCATGTATAATATTGCTGCTGTGCAAAACTGTTAGTCCTCTGGCTAACTGTACCATGTATCTGATAACCGTTGCTGACTGCAGCCACTGCTCGTTTTCCTTGCAGGTTTGTAAATAATTTGAAAAATTTCCACCTGAAGAAGCAGAAATCGGAATAGAGTTCAATAGACCTAGCGGTGTTTCCAGTTAAGCCATAATAATTACTATAATGCAGTTGTCGGCATATACCTGAATAATAGTCCATCATGATTTCCACTGTCCATCCATAGGGGAATCGGTTAACAGATATTCTATGATACACAACGAGGTTATCATGTCTGAGAGAAATAAGTGACCGGAATCTTCTGCGCATCTTTGCCAAGTCAAAGGATACCCGGTCTTCAGAGAAACGAACTACTTTCACAGCGACAGTTTGTTTTCCGGTGTAATCCCCTCTTTCCGTGACCATTGCTTTGAAAATCGTACCAGTTGAACCTCTTCCAACATAATCCGAGTAGCTATCTGCATAATGATACTGACACCGTACACCTAAGACTTCTGCTAGGGAATCCATGTTTTCTTCACTCGTGTAATCAGGCGCTGCCGACGATTCCAAAACAGCCGCACTGATCGGAGCAGCCGTTGGCTCCGGTAGATGTTCCTCGCACGATGGAAATGTTGGGCTAGAATGATGAGTAGAATCCACTCCTCCAGCATCAGAAGTATCAACTTGCGACAACAGCTGTAACAAAGCTTTCGCGCTGCAGCGCTCGATTACGGCAGCACGAACACACGGCTCAATGCAACTAATCAAGTCCATAGAAATAGGTTCAGCCAGAAATGGAACATATCCATCTAAAATCCGCACTGCATAAATTGAATTCGGAATATCGTTTCCTGCTCCAGCTCGTTCTGTTCCCTTGACTAACTGTCTTTCGTAGCCTTTGATATCATATGTAACAAGAGTTATAATGATACATCCCAAGCTCCAGATATCGCTCCTGAGTTCGATTTCGTCTGATGGACTTTTGATGGACATTCGCAGCGCTTCTGGTGGCATATACCGGACTGGACATTGAAACCTGCTTGTGTTTTCCACATTGTCGTTATTTTGACATAGCATCGTATAATCCAAACCACTAATTACAACTGTTACAGCCTCGTTTGCGTGACTTCGGTAGAGCACTTTTGTCGGAGACAGATTTCCATGGATAATATTTTTTTGGTGCAGATAATCTAGCCCAGCTGCGAGCTCCATCGCATAGCGAATACATGTTGCCTTGCCCAATCGGTGCCTCTCATTGTCCAGTTGTATTAGATGCTGATTAAGATCTCCTATAAAATAACGCTTTTACACTTATTTATTAGAAGAGTAAATGTGGTTTTCCTGGCAGGTTCCTCACCCACCTGAGCAACAGTCCATCATAATCTCAAAAGTAACCAAATCTTGTTCTCGCTGGTTTCTTACGGTCACTTTATGGTACCCGACAATGTTACGATGTCTAAGCTGAAGAAGATTTTCGCACCGTTGACGTAGCGTTGAGTTTCCGCTTAGAGCAAACAACGGTTGCGCTAAACGCAAATGAAATATTTTAACAGCTGCAATGTCTTCAGTAAAATTCCCGCGATCGGTGATATTTGCTTTATACACTATTCCAGAGAGACCTTCTGCGTTCCTTCCAGTACCGTGAACGGAGTACTGGCAACTGCTTCCAACGGAGAATCCTACAATGAATAAATGCTCCAACAGTTCCTTGCATGTTGGTCTTTTATTTCCTGGTATAAAGCAAGCTTCCACAAAATTACGGGCATCGGCATTGTCAGTGATGTCGGCGACATCAGGTTCAGCTTGCAGATCGAGCATCTTCCACAAATTAGAGAAAAAATCAAGACTGTTTGCATCTGATTTGAACATAAATCTTTCGTTTTTCCCGCTCATTTTATTCCGTTATACCCATTCCGGTGGGGATCGCTTATACATCTCGATTATGGTACAGCCTAAACTGAATACATCCGTAGCCGTGGTGATTTTATTTTGTTCCGAACTGCTGCCGGGAATCATCAGATTCATCATTTCTGGCGATATGAAGCGTGATGATCCCTCCGGACAAACTTCTCGAGCGCTGTCATCTTTTTCCTGCGACGCTTTCTCGAAGTGAGCAATCTTTAGAATGTACCTGGCTGCATGACCGTCGATTGGCTGTACAAGAATGTTCGAACATCGAATGTCTTTGTGGATGATGTGAAGGTCATGTAATACGACTAGTCCTTCAAGAATCTGGCTTGTGAAGTGAGGAATGAATGACTTCTGGAACTTACGACTTGTCAAGTATTCGCTAAAAGGCACAAAGTTGCCTAGAAGGAATACCATAAATTTGTTCTATTAAATTTAAAGAATTTCATGCACACCCAATTACTGTACAAAATAATTATAAGCCAAACCTTCACTCTCGGTGAAAAGCCGGATTTCAAGGCCAGAGGGTGAGTACGGCGGCAAGATGTTTGATAATGTGCTCCGACGTGAGAACGCTTGAGTGTGTGAGTTTCTCGAAGACGCTTCCTTTGTTTGCCATTAAAAATTTACTGTTACCGCTCGGCGATTCAGCTGGAGAAATGAAAGTAACTGTGTACGGGATTTTGTGGTCTTTGACTGTGCCTGGAAGATTTGTTGTCGTTTTCAGTAAATCCAGTTCATCCCGTGTCTCTTTGCTAATGGTAAGATTCACAAATTTTTTAAGGTAATTCATCATAGTATTATTTCTTTTGGCTTCTTCTGTGTCTTCAACTTGCGCTACTGAATCAATTTCATACCGCCTTACTACACACCGCTGCATTTCTCTGCTCTTGTGGTTCGGCATGGTGCGAGCGAAGTATTTCATCTGGAGAAGCGCAGTACACAATGGCCGATTTACAGGATCCTTTTCTAGACATTTATTAAGGAAGGCAATCACATCCGTTGTAACCAAACTGCAGCTTTCCGTACACCCATGACCGCAGATATCAGCTGTAGGATACTGGGGCCGATACCCGACACCGAAGTAGTAATGCATGTCCTTGAAGTTATGGGTGGAAGCAGTCGGAACTACGGTATCACCGCTCTTATCTCTAACTAAACGTGGCGGTGTGCCTTGCTGCAACATTTGTATGACGGTGCACCCCAAGCTCCAGATATCGGTTTTTCTACCAACCGACGTGTGCTGATTCGACCGTTTTGCAGAGAGAGATGCCATTTCCGGTGATAAGAACGGCACCGTGCCGGCAGCATTTTCTAAGCAGTTCGACGGTGTGGAGTCTCCCGAAAAGTGTTTAGCCATCAGCAATCCCTTTATTTTTACCGTGCTAGTGGCTTCGTTTACCATCACGTTTGATCCTTTGATGTCGCGGTGAATAATGTGGTTTTCATGGAGGAAGTTCAATCCTTTCAGAATTTGTCTTGTGTATATAATAACTGCGAAATCATTTATTTTCGTATCCGCGTCAACAGTTACTGACCGCATCAGTTCATCCAAAGGCATTCCTTCAAATAACAGTTATATTAATCATATTCGACCAAATTGTAGCGAAACTGCTCTATGATCAAGTGAATATGAAAAATACGGTTTCCATCGGTCGGTCACCGCAACTAAATGCACGAGGGACGTATATGCTCACAACGCATATACAGCTCTATCGCACCAAGTGTGGACAGTTGCATAAAACAAATTTAAAAATAATTTGGTACGTCATTTTGTTTATTATTTTGCACTATTCTAGTGTAGTTTTTTATTGCGGATCCAGAAACATCAAAGCCAAAGTCTTTTGATGTGCCAGTAGGGAGACAAGCGGTATTTTAGAGGAGGGGGTAGCGGTCATTTGTTTCTGCTTATGAATGCTCCTGGAAAAGTATCACCACTTAAGATTTTTGCGTGCAGTTTTTTGAAAGTTATTGAATGATCCACAAGGTGTCTGTTACGCGCAATCAGAAGCATCCTGCATAATCACTGTTTGCGGTGATCCCGGGACAAAGTGGTTCTCCCATAGACTTCTATGGTAAAAAGGACATACCGAGAAATGCGGTTGCCTAGCACATGGAGCTGAGTGACCTCGAACTGATAACTTCCATGAACCAGTCGTGGGTTACGTAAGTTTATTTTAGAGTGTTGACAAATATCAACAACACAGGCGAGGAGGTATAAGTGCCGGACGGATGGTAGAAAAAACCATTAAAGCGGCGACTAAAAAAAGCTAAGACTGCTGCTTAATCTTGCTGGAACGAGATGCCTCGGGCTTACTGTGCGGACGAAAAGCTTAAAAAGGACGCCCAGTACCTTCTGAATGAGATTTTATCAAGAACGGGTGCTTGCGACATTCGGCGGCTGTTCGGCGAAGGCGCAAAGGAGGTCATCCCCGTATTTAACGGGGCCCGTCTTAACTTTGCAAAGGTCACGCAGGCTTCATGGAATTCGATAGGTATCCTGCATATATCGCAAGAGCCTTGGTTGCGAAACAGCCCAAACGTATTAATTTTGCTTTGCGGCATCAGTGAAATTTTCAAACAAATTTTAAGTCGGAAGATGGCAACCACTGTCAATGGGTCGAGCCACATTTTTAAACCGGTCGGTTTTGGTTTTTATATCGCAGTCAATTAGAATACGCTTTCAGCAGGGCAAACCAAAATGAAAAACATGCTGAACACATGCAGCAACCATATCAAAATAAAATAATTATAAATTTGTCGACTCCTGGCCTTTAGTGATTTTTGAGAAAAAGTGTCCACACTTGGTGCGATAGAGCTGTAACTAGTGATGACCGTCCGTCGGTCCCAGCAACCTAAATACAAGTATTTCGCTAGGCTCACCATACGACTATTCAATACAAGGGGTTGTTGTGTCCGACAAACGGACACTTTTCAGTCTTTTCTTATACTTACTCGACTGTTATAGGAAAAATATTGCTGCATAATTATATGACAATCGAAGCGTTTAAAATAGAGCATCTAATAGTTATTAATAGCTGCCCTTTAATTGTTGCCATCACACAATAAGGATCAATGCACTAGTTGCATATGATTCATCATTGTGTGCTTATTTTCTATTATCACACCCGAGCCACACCCCATTGTTAAATAACGCTCTAGATCTTTCTTCATTGTTTTTATGCTTATTTGATCTTCTGTTCCTGATGATAAGAGTATATAAGCAGCACTGCGATGCTGCCAGAAAATGCACTCTGTTCATTTGGACTTTTCAACAGTAAAGAGTTGCCACTAGCTGCTGTTTTGTTGCGAGTATAGTTGGTTAGTGTTAGTGCCATCTTCCACTATTCCCTACCATCCCGGATAGTTATATAGCCACATTTATACTCGTAACACGACCTTCGCTTACGCTTCGGTCAGAACCGCAACACATAAAATCCCGTTATGCTGAAGTGCATTTTGGAAATAAGGCGCTGATTTTTATCAGCGCTTTAGTGGTTCTGTAGATATAGTTACTGATACAGTGATACCCAATACTGCCGTCATACCAGTGAATCGCCATTTCGTCGACGAAAATTCCCCAATCGCCACTAAGTCGACCAGACACGATGTCGACCCGTCATGAAGTCGAACTAGCGTTTTTTACCGTACATATTAGATTTCTATGATTCTTAGGTCCTTAACTTTCTTAGGTTATCTAGTGTTTTTAGGTTTCTTAGCCGTTGCCGTCGTGGCGGTTGGCAAAGTTTTATATATGGAACGTTTCGTACCAAAGAAAAAAACTGGAACGTTTTTTTCCTTCTTGTATTCACGGTAGTCATCTGTAGACAACCTGTAGACACCCTGTAGACAACCTGTATACATCCTAAGAAAACCTATGAAACCAGGTGACTATAGTATGTCTACAGTGGTGTCTACGGGCTGTCTACGGATGTCTACCCCTGTATACAGGCAGTTTTTCTTAGGTTCAGCTCGATACTCTGCCTGTATACACCGGTAGTCACCTGTAGACACCCTGTAGACAACCTGTATACATCCTAAGAAAACCTAAGAAACCTAAGAAACCAGGTGACTACAGACTACAGTATGTCTACCGCTGTGTCTACGGCGGTGTATACAGGCAGAGTATCGAGCTGAACCTAAGAAGGGCTGCTTCTATACAGCGGTAGACATCCGTAGGCAACCTGTAGACACCGTTTTAGACACTGTGCATACGTCCTAAGAAACCAGGTGACTACCGATAGGTCTACAGGGTGTCTACAGCCTGTATACAAGTGTCTACTGTGACTACAAGGAGAGAAAAAACGATTCACTTTTTTTCTTTGGTGCGAAACGTGCCACAGGTGGCAGGTGTATTGATTATAGCAATTAGTCATAGGCCGCTCCGAGTCCAAAGTACGGCAAATAGGAACCTAGGTTGAAACAAGTGACCAAATTAAGGGGCAAAAAGCGCCATAATGTCGTGCTAGTAAATTTTAGAGGTTGCTGACGCGTGACATATTTGAACTGCTCGGTCTGGAAGGGTGACATGGCTTTGATTTCAGGAGGATCAGCTTTTTATTTTGAAAGAATCTGAGCAGAAAATGAAGACTTAATTACGGAACACATTTTAAGTAGTGGTTGCACTGTTTTGAACGAGATCTGTGCAAAGCCAAATTCTTTTGCATGTACAACACAAAATATTGCAACGTAAATGGAACATGTGATTCCTTTGTGCGCGTGCTATTCTAAAGGAGAGGCACCTTAAAGTAAAGAATGTCAAAATAACTGGACATTTTTTTAACCGGCGCTATTTTTACAAACTTTACCTGGGCAGTGTTCTGCTAGAATATAACAGGTCCTAGTTAGTCCAGCTTTTCCAGAAGTATAATCAACGCCGTAATATCGCTGTACGTTGACATTGTGATGTTCTTTGGCGAACGCGGTGACTAAGGGGAGAAGTGCGGCACGTAAAGCCTGAATTTCGTTCTGGGCATCCGCGCGATCTGACGCTATTGTCGTTAGCTCAGCTTTCTGCGGCAGCGCCAGCGCATTTTCCAGTCCATCGAATCCAGATTTTTCGAGATGGTCACCAGATAATTTTAAATCATCTTTTTTCGGAAGATATGTATTATCTTTTCGTTCGACGTTAACAGAATACGTTGTTGAATTCGGTGAAGAGAATTTATACTGAAAACCCACTGCGTATACCGATGACATCCTGCTTTAGCTGCTTTAGTACTATAATAATATTCAAAATGGGCCAGCTATCGTCACGATCGAACGCAGAAAAACGATTTTGCTCAACCAATCAATGACTGTTCATAAACTGTACGCGCTGCTGGATCGGTTTGGCATAACGTGCAAGCATCTACAGATACAATCATACACGAGGAAGCGACGGGAAATTTGAACAATATTGGTATCTTCTTTGCTATTAAAAACGATCGACTCACAATGTACTAGCTTTGAAAATGAAATTTACGATCGTTTAACTAACGTTGAACAAACAAACATTGCTCTTTAGCCGTTCGTGCATTGCTTAAGACTACAAACTGAGCTTAGCGTTGCAGTCTAACTAACAAATGCAAGCAAGTACCAAACTTAACGGAAGTTGACGCCAGTATAATATTTGTATGTAAGTAAGTACATAAATTTGCGTTTGCACTGTAAACAGACAATCAGATACCGGTTAAAGCGATAACGTCAACGTTGGAAAAGTGTAATAATTTAAGTAATTTCTTGATTCTTACAGTCAGTAATACATATTGTACTAGGGGCCTTCAAACACTGGTGAAAATCTGAAAGCAGAATGGTCGAAGCACACGCATCGATAATTCCATGCATTAACTTATTTGCACTGCTTATCGCTTGGAGATTACTGTCAAGCGATCAAGGCAACCTGTAACTATAGCTGTTGGCCTGTAGCTGCTGGTCCTTGCAGGATACCGGCAAATTTGAAATGAAGACAGCTTCAATTACTTACCTATATTATTTACTATGCATTCATGCAGTCAGTTAGCCTTCGTTTCTTTGCCGTTCTTAAACCTTTTGTTTCAGAAATGCATCACCGGGAGAGCCAACTAGACTTTCTGGAGCGCTGTTAATATATGCCAACAGCAGACTGGAACCACAACTATAAAGTTCCAAAGCGCCGAAAAGATGGCTGTGGCCAATGTATCGCTTGCAACATCTCCGGATACTGACAACGGAACGTGCAGTTTTGGACAACCTGGACTATGCTGGCTCATAACATTGGATAACACGACACTGGCCAATACAACGTAAAGATCCGTTCCTAATTATTATGCTTCTTAAGCGCGGCAATGCTCCAATCAGTTTATCGTAACCAAATTTCTAATAAATCCCATAATAGAATAATATTATGGTAGTGTGTAGCGCAGCTTACGGTATTTGCCGGCATACCGGAATAACCGAACGCAAACACAAAACTATACTACTCTATAACAGCGGCTACTGAAATATAATTTGTAACTTGCTCGCGTTTATGTTTGCAGGGTTGCAGCATCCCTGGCTAAAGTTCCGTGGACATATTACGGTTTTTGCTTCGCCAGTCTTTTCGGAGTTGGAATTTTCATATTATTCCACGCAGTTATTAGAGTTCCGTGGTACATTTACGTTTTCCTTAAACGAGTCTACCGGCATTTCTTGCTGTCACCGATTCCTTTCTTGCGGGGATTATTCGTTTTCGCTCTAAGCATAACCTCACTGTCAAACAATTTTTTTGGACCATACATGTTTTGGACTGATGGGTATGTCCTATTTCGTCGCAAAGAAAAATCTTTAATCCGTTTTTATAATCGATGACACTAAGCACGCCCTGCTCGTAGGAAATTAAACCATCAGTGGCACGCACCTCTACCTACCGAAGACCGGAAAGCGGCTAGGACCGATTTCGCTCTCAATATCGCCTTACTGATGCTTCTCGTATTTAAGCCCGTCAAGGTCGGCTATCATTTACAACTTGTTAGTTAGCGTTTAAGAAAAACGGAAATAAAATAGATCTAACAAAATATCGTACCAATGCTTTAGTTCAAATGCTGGAATGATGGCTCGGTGCCTTTTATTCCGACGGGAAGAGGTTATTCACGGTTCTTCCGAGGTTTTTGCAAGCCAGCACGATTAGCAGCCAGTGTTTTTAACCTTTTGCGGGACTGGGAATTCGTTTCCAACATGGCTAATTTGCCGCTGGTGTTTTATGAAATATGTATTGTTGCTTGTGTCGATTACACCATGCCTGGCTTATGGAAAGTGGCGGTCATAAGTAAGAGTATTAGGGCTGTTACTGATAGATTTGTCAAAATTAACAGATAATGTTAATTTGCTCTGCAGGCTTACAGTTCCTTCGACTGTTTTGCTTAATTTGGTTTTGCGATGAAATAATACGCATTTTTCCGAAGTTGCCACTAAAGATTGGCACTGTCATGAGGAGGATAACATGGATTGCCTGTTGCTTCTTGAGCTGTGCAGCATGGATTCAGCTGGTTAGTAATGCTGCTTTAAGAGAAAATGGCGGGGAACATCTGTACATGACGGCGATGACGCCAATTTAATTCAGCATATGTACAAGCCCGGCGCGGTGATTTAGGCACAGCGGAAAATTCAGGTTCAGTCATTCATGGTATAACTAACCTCCATATCCCGGCCCATCACTCCACACTTTTTACTTCCAGACTCTGTACGAGCATTTGGCATGGCGGATGCACGTCAGAATTTAATATTATTATCGTATGAGCATAAAATATTTGTCGTAAAAATCGAAGAATTTGTGAGTCGAATTTATCATATTACTGTAAATATAATCATTCATGGGAAAAATTAAGTTTATCATTGCGATAGTCGTAGTGTAGTGGCTATTTTCTAAGGGCAATCATCGAGCTTAAATTTGAAGCACCCTTTACGAAAGGAATTTAAATCACTCGATTTGTACACGATGGCTATGTACGAGTACAGTACATGACTGAACGCAAAAACTGTTTAAAAGTGCGCTTTCGCGCACTTTTACGCAGTTTTTGCTGCGTTGTATTACACATGTCTTTGTAGAACCACATGGTTTGTAGTTTGTACATGTATGGTACATGTGTCGTAAAAGTTTGAATGGGTTTGCTGTGCACGTTACTTCTATCCGATCTCCTCAACACATTATACAACTAACCTAAGGACATGAATGTGATTACAAGACGATTAGTCTCAAATTTGACAATTTTCTAATTACGTATATGTTGGAAGAAATGCTATGAAGTTTTAGTCTGAATTCGTCTCCAAGGTTGTCTGCCCTATAAAAAACTCTTGAGAATGTTGCATAATAATAAATTATAATTATTTTCCGTCTTAGATGGAAATTCTGGGCGATTTCTGGCTACAATCTTACAACGGACAAAAAGATTTGTCATACGGCAAGGTCGTGACGTTTCTCTATGGCAAACTGGTTTTTCTGGATGTGACTTCTGCGCAACTTGAAACGACAACCGCAAAGATTTCCGTGTACATTGTTCAAGCCATCACCCTGGTGAGCTGGGGAAATGATAACGATGCCGGCGACAGTCACTAAAAATAATAATTTGCAGATATTTCTCGTGCAAATCATACCGGAAATGCTGAAGCAGTTACCAAGAATTTTAAAAATTCGCGCATTTGACACCGTGTACCGAAAAAGAGATACAAAGTACATACTATAAGGTGCTGTTTGTAAAATTTATCGAAATTACTTAGCGGTAGAGCTTTGTAGATATGTCGCATTGCTGGGTTCCATAAATCCGGATGCCGTGGAGAGGTTTGCAGGCACCTTCCGATCAACAAACCCTGGTGAAAACATTGCAGTTCTTCTAGAGTACGTTCAAAATTCTCCAGCTGTGCCCGTCCTGGTTTTATAGGAATGCTAGGCGGTAACCTTAACATAAAAAACAATATTGGACTATGTTTTCATGATTTTATAGGCCAGAAGCATCAGACGACGCAACAGAGGAAATGAATACAGTGGCAGGAAAGTATCGGGATATCCTGACCATTGTGTCAGGTTCAGTTTTCAAGAAACAGGACCTGAAAAACGTCATTTCAAAGCACTGCCAGTGTGCGTTCTTTTTTGCTAATGAAAGTGCGCCAAACTTTACCGCCGAGGACCACTGCAATTTCCTGCGTGTTCATGCACTGAAACGATACCACCCTAAAGTTAGGGTCATCGTCAAGGTTCTTCTATATGAAAACAAGGTTCGTGATTTTAGTTGTTTTCTTGTAAGTCTAAAATAGAGTAATCAGCTAAATGCTTTAACGATTACGGCGTATTTTAATTGACCAAAAACAAGCGTGCGACAAAAGTGTCCGGCTTACGGGCAGAGCGTAAAAGATGGCGTTGGCATCTGCCGTTACGCTACTGTAAAATATGGGAAACGCCAAAATGATCGTGCAAGCAGATTTGGCCCGTTTCCGTAGTTTATGATCACAATCAGACAATGATTAACAATTAGCCCGGATAGTCACGTGCTCATTTATGGAAACACGAACAGGAAATCGAGGTTCTCGTGTTGTTTTAACCTTCGCAAAAAACTTCAAGTCCATTAGTTTTTTAAGCCCTGGTCCTTGTATTTCTACGGTGGTTTAGGCTTCCTTCGGTTTTCGTGGGTTTGGTAATGTCTTATACTTGGTATTCCTGAATTTTCTCAGATTTCCTTAGATTTTCTCAGTATTTCTACATTTTGTGCACGGTTCTATTAATCGTCGGATTGTCATCAGGAGATTTTGTGTGTTTTACAAATTATCGGGTAAACATTTTGTCGGTTAGCAAAAAGGTCGTCAGCAAGTCTTCGGTATTTAAAAGTCCGTTTTCGGTTTTTACAAATGGCGTATTTGCATAGAAATAATTACTGAGGTTATAGAATTTTTACTCCCGGGGTCGACTCATAGTCTGATTTAATCGGCCGGGCGGCAGGGCGAAGACACTCCGAAATATGTCTGCGCAAATAATTGGACACGCAAAATTTACGGATGATGACCTTTGGGCATCGGTTTGTCGGTTACCCACTTTTGCCATATATAACATTTTTCCACTTGCAGGAACGATTTTATGACATACCAAACTGGAGAAAAGCTAGCGCAGATCCGTCTCTTCAAGTTGATGGCATCGTCTGCACAGCTGAAATTCAGTTTTCACTTCTAGCTCAACGTTATTTTGCACCGGGAATATCGCAGGTTGTTTACGACTGGTTCTCAAAACCACCCAAGAAAAAAAATAGAGTAAGCCTAAGAAAGTTGTGGCGCTTCCTGAAAACGTTGCGGAATTCCTATGCAGAGCTTAGACCATCACTTGCGGAAGGTGCCGAGAAGCGGCTTAGTCGGTCCGGTCGACAAACCATCCGGTGTATTGGATATCACACACCCATGGAAAAATTCCTCGAACCTCCACGCCCTTTTTTAGCAAGGGTTAGAGAACAAGTATTGCGCTACGCACAAAGTGTACAAATGCGGTGCTGTCCGCCGGAGGTACAAAACACGCCTGCCGAAGAAACACCTCTCCAACAAGTCCAAAATGAAACCACGATCGTCGTACATGAGCCTCTGAATCCAAGTCCTAAGAAGATACAACTCTACAAAGACATAGAGGTGAGGCCACTGTTGTTTTTCTGAAGTGAAGAACGTCGCACGCTGCACAAGCACTTTCTGTATGTTGCAGGCTAAGTTCAAAGGGAAGGGTATTTTATTCGCTGTACTGCAAGAGGAAATATTTCATCTGTATCCCCGAGAAAATCTTATTTTGAAAGACGGTGCCAAGCTGTTCTTTATTACATCCGCCTCTGTTAATCTGCTGCAAAGAACACTCTGCGAGAATTGCTTTGATAATAAAAAACGACAGCTAGGCTTGGCATGTGATCCGGAATCTGTCACTGTGTGCACAAATTGCACCAAAAACATGATTCCGCAACTCCAAACGATGACTGCATCGTAAGTGATGATTACGCGGCTGCATTTTGCCTTCGCAATCCCCCATGAAAATTATGTCTGTCCCTCCTTATTTAGAATGGAGGAAAATAAAGATGAAATATGGGATCCAACGGGACAGTATCGGCATTACCAATCGACCAAAGGAGCCATTCCGCTAAAGGTATGTTGCGATAATCTGCAATTTATGCCGTCCCGTTTTGTCATCCCTAATCACATACTGGGTAAATGGTACAGTGTGCTGACGAGAAAGACAGTGAATTGTCCACACTAGAACAACATGTTGTGATCTGTGTTATCTCGGATCGAAGCGCAACGCCTATTGGACTAGTCAACTTTATTAAGCCGCTACGAAGTGTCCACGCAGTTCCGCCAGTTGTGGTCATTCTGGGAGAACCCGACTTTCTGGCTACAGAATGGGACAGTCTTCGCGATTTTCCTAATATATATCCAGTCAAGGTGGGTATCTCCATAATATTACATATTTTCCTGTAAAAATCTCATTATCGCTCAGAACGGCCGCGGAAACTGATCTCTGGTCTCTGTCATGCCTTCAGGAGTGTCTGTAGTACAGCTGGTATACCATCAAATAATTTGTAACCCGGTAGGACGGTAAATATACAAGTCAGTCTGTACCTTTGTAGAGCGGCAATGGCCTAATAGAACTACGTACTATTATCACTATTATGTAGGCGGTGGCGGCGGCTTCTAGGGGCATACCATGCTTACAAAACATCGGCATATCTCAGCAGCCGGCCTCACACCTACTGAAGTATTCTGAACGTGAAAAAGTAAACTACTGTTAATTCAAAAAAACTCAGAAAAGAGGCTTCGAATAAAAATCGAAATAACACTTACAAAATATTTAATCCGAGGGAACAAGCTCTATAGGAAAATTATCTGTAGTACAGTGTGTAAACATACTCAAAATTTCTGGATAGTGCAAGCAAATTAGGGAGCGATCAGCATTTAAAACGCAGCTTGGCCCGTGGGTGCCGGTTGCTCAAATTGTATGAAAGTGTTCGGTTGACTAAACTTCGTTTCTGGATGATGAATGAAAATGAAATCTGAACTTTGTGCAGGGTACCCCGCTTAACGATAACCACCTGCGAGCCATAAATATCCAAGCTAGCCGAATGTGCCTGATTGTGGATGCCAGTGAGCGCCCCCAAGAAGAATCTGAAAAATGGAGCCTTTCGGCAAATGCTGATCTGATATGGCCGATACTCCCCAAGCATTTTTACCGGCATGTGAATGCAGTTTTAGCCACCGTAGCTATCACGGAATACCTTAAACGAACGTCGGAGCGAAAAGATTTGTTGATCGAACAGGCAGCGAAGGTCATAGAAGAAATACTGAAGAGATACAACATAGTTGAAGACGAATTAGGAACACATGCTGTAGCATCTGCCAAAGCACAGCTTAAAACACTTCGGAAGAAGCGAGACCAGTTCGCCGAAATGACTATGGTGGATATCAGTAAGCTTTTGAAAACGACCGGCGAACAAAGCGGCGAACTATTGGAATTCCTTAAAAGAATTCGCCAAGCAAATGATACAAGGATCACTGCAAAATGGCACACACAGGAACTATGTCAAAATGGCGTGGAAATGCAGGAGGAACATCTGACAAATTTGACGAAAATCATGGAAACGTACCGCACTAAGAGCCAGAAGCTCGTTCAGAAAGCCGTTGAAGAAATTACTGAAAATTCAAAAACACCGATGCCGCAGACCAACGAGGCAGTTAAGGGTCGTCGCCATGAAGATTTCACCGAATTTGTCCTTGGTTTTCAAGACGCCCCACTGACCGTACAAACCGTCGAGTCGGTTGTCCTCGCGTGCTTTAATCTGCCTAGAGAAACGGATCCACTTCCGGAATATGTTATTAACGAAGTTACAATACTATTGCAATATCGCAGCGAAAGTGACAGCGAGCTCCAAAATGGCGCCAACGAAACTCAAGAGCTGCTGGCAACGCTTTTTGGAAGAAATACTGCTGTAATCCAGAAGGCAGAAACGCTTTTAAGAAGAATACGCGGCGAATATGACCCAATGCAAGAAGATTGCATAAAAGTTATGCAAGACTTTGCAGATTCGTTTGATACGATATTGGATTCGAATCTGAAACAGATATTCGAACGATTCCGTGAAGAAAATTACAAATCTTTACGGATTTGTGTAGAGCAAATCATCGGAAAATATAATTTAATTCCCGAGAAAGCTGAGTTGGAGCTGATCCAATTTTTGAAGCATTTTCGGGAAGCTTGCGATCCGCTACCGGAGGAGATCCTTACTTGCATACGTAAGATTAATGTAATTTGTAGCAGTAGATTAACCGTGCAGCAGTATTTATTTAACTGGCAATTGTGAGTTCGTGATGTTTTATCTGGTTAGCAAAGCGCAGCATCGCCCTTGCCAGGTTTATCGGTAGAGAAAATTTCGATTTCTTATTTACAGTACATAATTATATTGTACAAAGGTCAACACTAATGCACCAGCTTTAACCCAGTGAAAGTTTTTAAAGAAATCCTGGTTTCCTACTGACAATCTCAGTTTTTTAGTGTCAGGGTTACAGAAGCGAATAACGTGAGCGTTTAAACCAAACCGAAAATCAAAATAGAACTTTTTAATGAATTCACTGGAAATATGTGATTATGCTAAACAAGCAATTATTAGTACTCGTACTGTCGTACAGTCGTACTAAACACCATTCGCGCCTAGCCGGCATTCCGATTTTCTTGTCGCGTTTGTATTCTCGATCTTTTTCAAGTTGAATAGAATTTCAACTGAAAAGGAAAAAAGAAATTTAATTTGTTTCAGTAGCTCCGGAAGAAGAAGTCCAATTTTTTTACGTAAAATGTTTAGCCCTGAGATCTTCGAGAAACCTTTGTCAGATAAAATGAGCTAAGGATCTGGTATGATCAGATGCGAAAAAGAGCTTCACGGGATAAAAGACAGCTTGAGGGAAATCGCTCGTACTTGAAGTATTTAGTTGAGGATAAGGTCAAATAAATGTAAAGCTTTATAATTCATTAAACAAATTAAGAAATTGACCGCCTTATGAAACGAGGAAACTAGAAATGATTAGTCAGTCTAATTCAGCTGGGCATATGCAGGGCGTACTTGGTGTATCTGCGGATACAAAATCCAGTATCCAGATAACGGTGGTCAGAATAGCCGCTCTCATGGTGAGCCAGCGAAAAAATAAATATAAACGAAGCACATATACCGTATCGCACGTTTTCAAATTGTAATCACCGTTGTCTGTTGTTGCATAATCACCGTTGTCTGTTGTTGCATTCTTGCATAATCTGTTGTTGTAATCACCGTTGTTGCATAGTCTGTTTATCGGCTACCCTTATGATCTCGCACTGCATGGTACAGAACGTGTTCAAACCGTCTCTCGCTTAGGCGATCAAAATGACTCGAAATTATGCAGCATGAACTTTCATTTTTAACTTGCAGATCACGATGCCGTGGGATTGATCTCGTGGAGCCAGGCAGCTGGCAACTCAGCAAAGCCGAAAGTGTCGGCTGACTGCACAAAGCCAAATATTGTCGACGCACTGATGCTCAAATGCTATGAAGATAATGACATTTTCGATGCAACGCGCCTGCTTCTCTTGGGGGGCTACTGCGATGCTCCAAAACAAGACCCGGAAGGGCGGGTTAGCGGATGTCCTTATCTAGGAAATCAGGCAGTATTAAGCAAGCTGTCTTCCAGTTACACCAAGTACAGCAGCGGGCGAGTGTGGAGGGGACTAAAGAAATACAATCCATTGTCCGCTGACATCGATCGATGTGCGCTAGGCGGTCAACAAGATAAAAACGAGAAGGTTCAATTTCATAAAGACTTATCCATGAAGTCTTTATCCGAAAAACTGGCGAAGAGAAACCTATTAATCCTGGCCCCTGAATCTGCAGTCCATAAGAGAGAAACTCGGAATAACCAAAATTATTTTGCCCTCGAAAGACCATTCCATGTTGTGGCGCGCCAGAAACTGTTCGCAGAGGTCCTCGATGAGTATGAGTAAGAATCATTAACTGCTCGAGCCGTCCAGTTGCACACGTGTTTTTGGTTTCTTTCAGCTTGAACCTGGAGGGGGATGCGAATCAAGTTATTAAACTGGAGTTTTTACCTTCTTACATTCTGAAAGCGATTGCAGAGAAAAATTCTGGCCTTCCTGCACGGATCAGAAACGATCAACACCAGGACTGGTTCTATGCATATTACCGAATCATTGATAAGGTTGCGAACCATTCAGAATATCAGTCCCCGGTAGGTCGCATCAGTGGACAATGCAATTTGCGAGCGTAACGTATCACCCCTGCTTCTACAAAGTACTAAAAGAAGTAACAGGAAAGATGTTATAGGTAGAAGAAGGAAAGCAGACATCGTTCTACGGCTTTTCTCAGACAACGTTTAAGCAGTAGTTAGGGGAAAATGCAGCGGCTGTTTTGGGTACACTGCGTCCACGTACTGACAATATGAATTATGGGTTTTTTTCAATGTTTAAAACTTATTCATTTTAATTAGTGTAAATCTGCGCAGGCTTATTGTCAATGCGTACTGGCTGACTAGCCGATTAAAACACAGGAAAGCAGATGTGTTTTAAGGTTATAACTAATGATGAAGGTTATAACGAATGAATATGCAGCTAAAATTCTGACTGCTGGCCGTCTTAATTGCAATATGCACAGGCGCAGGTATAGATAGTCCTCTGCAAAAGCAACGTATGAAATCCCCTGTAGATCCAAACTGAAGTTATTGTCTCATGTCGCCACCAAAACGATCCTAAATTGATTTTTACTATCTATATTTACAGACTCTGAAAGATGCTTTTAGCAAAATGAGTCCAGACCCGGCTGCTTTTAGCAAAATGATTTCAGACCCGGCGGAATATCACAAAAAAGATCAAGCGGATAAACTTCCTATGTTACCGAAGTCAATTTTAAATTTTGTTTTGGCCACATATTATCACAAAAAGCTTGGTCAGAAGCCTTCTCCGAAGTCAACAATACCAGTTAAAGAACTTTTCTACAAACGACAGGAGATGCATGATGATAACGCCACCCACATAACTTGGAGTGACCTAGCGCTCGTTCCATGGAAAGATTTCCTGTAAACTTCTTGAATCACACTTGTTGGTTTTGCAGTTTTGTTACTTTTGCAAGCATCACATACTTAATAACCAGTTGGTTGCACAGCGATTTAGTTTTTTTGCGCAGCGGTTAATTGCGATTTGAACGAGCGGCTTTCCTAGCCCGTTGGGAAGGCTTATCTAAGGACAGATGGTTACGTTCAGTGCAGTCAAACGTTGATCGGTTGTTGTGGAAATTCCACATATGCTGTTTTCGATCTGCTGAGTTGCTAGCTGAACCGCACCGAGCGTAACCGCCTTCCATTTAGGTCATTATGATCACCGGGCTAGAACTGCCGCTCGGTAAGTTGCTGTAAAAACTAGGCGTCGCTGTGATATACGGACGTACCGTATACGTATGAAGTTAAAAGCTGCAGCCGGATCGGTTTATAATTGTCCGGAGTGCCGTGATATGGCCCGTGTTTTTATATTCCACATTTGTGCATAGACTTGTAACCGTTAAAACGCCTGCACGTCTTAGAAGCCCGGTGGACGTTCTGGCTCTTAACTGTCCAAAACGTCTGGGGGTTGCTAAACCGTTCGCCGTAAATTTAGCCCGCCCTGCTTCTTGCGCATATCAATGTAAATACTGAATCCGCATCCGGACCGTAGATTCGTTTCAGGACACTTTTGTCGGTATATACAATTCGTACTCTGCCGTTTCTGCTGGTGTAAATTGGTTTATTGTCCTTCGCTACGAGGCAGCACCTCCTTTACATAGCGGCCACGCATTATCTACCGATCAGTTGTTCACACATTAAGACATTTGCTGTAAAATTCGTTAGCACTAACTGGTGTCGTTTCGAAACTGTAATGAACTAAACCTACAGCGAGCTGTGGTGAACAGAAAAGATAAACCTACAGGTATTACATGTATCCGATTGTTGATACACCGCGAACACCGGCTGACTCTCAAGCGATTGACCAAAAAGCCCAGAAAAAATAACCTTCGAGCCGCATGAAATGCTGCTACTGGAAAATCTTCACAAGTTTTACCCGACCGATGGAGAACAAGAACTAGTCATCGGGCCGGTAATTCCGCCCGTTCCGAAAATGCCTTCTACATGTAAGAATTTCCTGGAGCAGTCGCTCAGTATTGACGCAGCAACTCGCTCCTATCTTACAATCCTCCGAGCACATCCATTCGTTGATTTGAGCAAATCGTTGGATACATTTTGTGCGCGGGACATTCAGGGTACGGAAGCGTACTCAGCGAGCGAGGGCACTATAAGAAGAATTGATACGCGCAATCACCTGTTTCTCAGACGGAAATTCGGACAGATGGCGGAAATTCGGTGGTTTCCACTGCTGAACAAAAAGGGCCGAAAGGGGAATTTTGCACTAGAGGCTGTTGTTGAAAATATGCTGCTGGCACGGCAAATGAGAGAACCGGCTACTTCCAAGCTACGAATGCCAATGTTATTCACTTCTTGGGATGGCAGTTCGCTGCACCCATGGATCCAAGAGGCATGCCAGAGTTCCAAGTGTTCGTCGAGCTCTCCAGGGGTTAATGCGTCACGTCTTAATTATTATTTTTTCAGTTGACGCGGTTTTCTTCAGTGCAGATACAACTTACGAGACATTTTTACCATTTCGGAATAATGCACTCCCTAAAGCGTAATCAAGTGACTGTGTATTCTATAAAGCGTTCGTGTAAAGCATGTAAAGGTCACTGTGAGACAGGTGGCGCAAGAACCGGTTTTCTGATTACAGACTATCTGTTGTATACTGGCGTTCTTCCTGTGATCAAAGTTGTTACCGGCGTTGCAGTTGTAACTGTTGGCAACTGGCAGTCCGAAGGCCTGATGCAGTCCGAAGGTCCGAAGGGACTCAGCCTGATTCCTCCATCTCCTTTAAAAGGAGACGGCTCCGTCTCGCATTGACAAAAGCTGCAAACCGGAAAGCCCGTGTTTTGTTTGTGTTTGAAGGCGGGAATTTCAAGGAAGCCGCCACACATTATGTACCGATGCATATGATGCAGAAGTTTTACGAAATGCTATGTGGCTTAGATTTTCTGCACGGAAACCGCATCTTTCAACACAACCTGAACAGTCGTATAATCTTCTTCACGACAGGCAACTTTACGGGAACCGTGAAGTTCGGAGACTTCCATATTATACGAAAGCAGGAGAAAATTATAAATTCAGGCATACCACCGATACCCGCTGCGGCAAGGACGGCCGCTTTATCGCTCCAGAACTGGCTACCAAGTGCGACGACTACGATATCGGGTGCTGAAGCGATATGTGGAGCGTTGGGTGTGCGGCGCTCTCCCAGCTGAAGGGGAAACCGCCATTGAGCAATGTGCTTCGGAAACAACAGTCAGCCCTTAAAATTGGTGTACTTTACCGCTTCAATAGGGATAAAACTCACACCGGAAACCTTCTTAATATTCCGAATTCGTTACCTAAAGGCTCCCTTCATTTCAATCCGAAAAAGCGGCTGCTGGCGTCCGAACTGCTGGCAAGCAATGGGCTGCTCTCGAGGTTTGACAATGATCCAGATAATCCTTCGCGCTACCAGAACCAAGAAATAAAAGCTCTATCGCAAGATACGCTCGATTACTGGACAGGAAAGTTACTGCATAGAATGAATAGCGTACGATAACCACAAGCTGCTTAATTTTCCCTAATTTTTTGTTTTAACTTTTGTGCCGTCCTCCCAAAAACGTTCTAAATAATCTTTGTCGTCTTCCAAAAAACCAAAATATAACCTTAATGTCGTTTAAATTCTTGTGGAAATTCTAGCGGAGTGCGCGACGAAAGTGATTGGGCGTTTGCGGGTAGAGCAAGTCGACGGAGCGGCGGCATAGAAGGTGCAGGTGATGACCTCACCGGTTCGAGTTTCCGGTATCCCCACATCCGCCCGACTGCCCCCGTTTAATTCATATCTAGCAACAGAGCAGTTGCGAAAGCAATAAACACGGTTATATGCCACCATGCAGGGTGGGTGGGTGGTTAAAGAAACAGAAGAGAAAATGAACACTCTGGTAGAAAACGCATAAGTCAGCACGATTGCTCGGGACAGAATGCGAAATGTGGAGCAGGCCGTCCGCAAAGTCGGCGGCAACTGGATCACGCGCTTCCGGCGCCGACAAAGAAAGTGGACTGAGCCACAAGTAACAAAGCATACAGGGAATTTGCCACGAATTTAACTACACTTAGCTAGCTAACTGTTCTTTATAGTAGTATCTTAGTATATTTCTCGTTGCTGGCATGCTTCGCCTTAAGGAACACTTAAGGCAACAGCGCAAATTAAGCAGCTATGGAGGAAAGACGAAAAAAAGCTGCTAGAGATACATCACCGCAGCGTTTATCGCTAAAAGCAGGGAAAAAGAAACCTACGCACAGCAAACTGCTTTCCTGTTTTGTGCATTCTGAGCGGTGACCTCTGGATGGATAACCAACGGCTGCAATCTTCCGATCAGGTTTCTGACCGTAATTGAAGTTCCTGCGTAAGGTCACAAGGAGTACGAATCCACAAATCTTCATTCATTCTTGTTAGTTGTCTGAAGATTGTCCTTAGCGAAACAACGTACAACTGTAGTCTCGTTTTTGTGCCTTTAATATGTTGAAGGCTCTGACCTTCATATGTGCAAGCTCCCAATAACTCTGGGCAAAGCCTGTTAACATAGTCTCCGATGGCGGCACTATCCGTGTTATTCTCGGTCATTTAGGTAACAGGTCACAAGAAAGCTGGTATCGCTTAATTTTATCTCAATTACTCTGATATAAAAAAAGTTGCGAACCAATAAAATGTTTTAACTTAGTTTGTGCATATTTCTATGCTAAAATAATTTTGAATGATAGAAGTAGTGTTTGGCGAATTGACAATACAATATTCACGGTCGTCGAAATTAGCGACGCACGCGCGTGCCTGTAGAAAGATCTGTTTACTCAAAAAACCGGAAAAAACGTTCTTTTTTTACCGTAGCCAAGAATAAGATTAACGAGTTTCGGTTATGTCTAGATTAGAAAACGATCACGATGCTGTAAATCTTACTTCAGTGTTGTGCGAAAACGGGTATTTGACCTGAATTACGATGTATATCAGATTACGAGCTATTGTTCTCATTTCCTAGAGATCTAAAAATTGGAAAGCTGGCAACAGTCATACGTGTCACCCGATTGTGCTCCACGACAACTGACAGCAGACTGACGGCCTTGTGCTATAGTGCTACTACGATAAAGGCAACATATAGGCACAAGGTGTAAAAGTACTGTTCATCGGAAGATAATCGGCTATTCTGCTCGGAGGTTATTCTATTGTAAATATCTGTACATGTACAGAGTACAGATAGTATTCGGTCTATACGAGTATCTCAGTGTTTTTTAATGTTTTGCTACTTATGGTTAGTAGCTGTACACAGAAAAACATTACTTAGCAAGCCGATTTTACGTTTCACTATTCAAGTAAAAGTAAGTAAACTGCAAAACAGAAAAGTAAATACTTAATAGTAAGTCAAAGTAAGCGTAACATCAAGTTGTGCATACTGTACAGAGTAAATTATGCCACATGCTTGTCCAATCGCAGGGAATCATACAGTATTTTGTATGTGATAACATAACTATGTGATAGAATTTTCTTAGGTTCTGACAGGATTGCATAATTTCGAGGTATCACGATATCAGTGACTCAGTATCAGACAAATGTATGTTCATCATTGATGACTACAGAAAAACTCATCAATGAGCGCTGCACCTACAGATGTGTGTGGCGGCGCCGTAGGTTCGGCACAAAGTACGGCGCCGCCACAAAGGCACAACTCAAACTATGATAATCCGCTGTTGTTGCACAACTATGCGACTGGAGCTGTGTGTTAAAGAATACCGCGAGCATTTCTGAACCAAGTAACAATGTCCATTCACGTTGTGAAAGATTGCTGTTTATTATTAGTTTATTACACGCGGCTATCTACGCAAGTGCAGCGCGATATTCCCTACCACAACGTACATAAGGTATGTACACCGTTGACGGTTGGCATTGGCACGGAGACACCTGATTAATTCAATAACGACATCATCGGAAATCTATATTTATGCATGTGACAAACCCTATTTCGTTACGCTTTCATTGTTAACAATTAAACTGCGGTTTTCCCATACAGATACAACCCGCAACTGTTTGATCGTCTTTTGCATGATTCAGTGTCCACCTATTCGTTGTAAAAAGCAAATCATTAGAAGCTTCAAAATATGCGATAATGCGATGGAAAATCAGGGTGCCAAAGTAAATTCGGAGCGCCCGGGCCCTATAAGAATAATTAATACGCAGCTGCATCCACTCTTTCGCGATACAGTGCAGTGTCGTCTACAGATAGGAGAGATTCAGTTGGTTGACAACCCGGATATTGTAACTGGACAAAAAGTGGAAATCTGGCAATTCCGACTGTGGAACGAAAACGTCGAACGGGAAATGTATAGCAAATGTTACGGCAGGTTGTTGAAGTTGCTGAAAACAACCTACTCAGAATGTCGGGAAACTGGACGTCTGCGAGCCGATAGTGCGAATGTGGTTCACTTCTTTGAATGGGGATTTACTTCTCCCTTGAAGGCAGGAATGCCGCCAGAGTTCCAAGTGATTGCCGAATGGTGCACAGGTTAGTATCTCGTATTATGATTGTTTTATTGTAAGAAGCCGTTTTTTTTCAGTACAAATTCAATTTAAGACAATATACGAGTACATATTTGCTTCTCAATAAACTGCGCTGCTAATGCAGAAACAAGTGGCTTTGCGATCCTTTAAAGTTTACGAATGTGAAAGTCTGACCGTCAGTGCAAAAAATTTGGCGCAAAACCGGTTTCATGAGTGAAAAATATGGCGTTTTTCTTGCGACCAAATTAGGCGTCAGCGTTACCATTGAAATTTCGGAAAGCCGATAGTCTGACGGTTCGAAGCAAAGGAGATTGTTGTACGCGTAGGAATACGTATTAACAAAAAAATTAAGTATTAAACAAAATAATATTGTGCAATAATTTAACAACACAAGTTCATGTTGACAGTAGCTAGCTAGCACGATAACTAAGTAGGAACTAGGAAGTACGACGAGATCTCCAGAAATACACGGGAACAAAACCGTTGTTAAGTAAGAAGTGAAAAGAATCGAGCGCCATCGCTTGGCTCTTTCGTCGGATGGCAATCAACTCGAGGCGATCCGAGACGAGGCTCGGCTCGATGTGTTTGCCATCTTACACCGACAAAAACATGAAACCGGCATGCCAATGGCTTGTTTGTGGTTGCAGGGGGGAATTTCACGGATGCCGCCAAGCATTATGTACCGATCCATGTGATACGGCAGTGGTTGTACGAAATGCTGTGTGGCTTGGATTTTTTACACAAAAACCGCATCGTTCATCACAACCTGCACAGCCGCATAATCTATTTCACGCAAGCGAACTTCAAAGGTACCGTGAAGATTGGCGGCTTTAACCATCGGCGACAGCTGGAAGTGGGTCCGAATGATCTGGCGATAAGGGGCGACATCAATTCCTTCTCCGCCGATGACGGGCGTTTCGTTGCTCCAGAACTGGTAAAGGTGTGCGACGATTACGATATCGGGCGTCGCAGTGATATCTGGAGCGTCGGTTGCGTTGCACTGCATCTGCTAACCGGACAACCGCCACTGTACGTTGGAGCCAGAAATCGACCTATCAGACTGGAGATGGCGGTTCTGTATTGCTTGAACGGGGCAGACAGAAGCCCAGATGAAAGACGGCCCTTCATTCTGGAATCCCTGCCAAAACGTACCAAGGACTTCGTCCTCCGGTGTTTGGAATTTGATCCGAAAGAGCGACCACTGGTGTCCGAACTGCTTGAAAAGAACGGACCGCTTTTCTTTTTCCATGCCACGCCGGATAATCCTGGGCGCTATCAAAACCAGGAAATGAAAGTTTTACCGCGGGATACGCTAAATTACTGGGCAAAGGACATTAAAGTGCCGTTCGGTGGTAAGTCACATATCTACAAATGAGAGCAGCCTCTGTGCGCGTTATTGGAGCAGTAGCCGATCAGAATTACCGAAAACCGAAAATCAGTACCCGCATCCTAAATTAATTCCATAATATAACTGTTTAGATTTGGGAGATGATATGCGCACAGACGATTTGTATCTGGATGTACAAGAAATCCGGGAATGCATACACGACGTTCTCCACAAATCCTTTAATACAGGAAGTATATATCTGGAGAACATTGGTTACTACAAGAATGGTGAATCCACAATAATTTATTCTCTTAAAAACACCACAAGCAACTTACTCTCTCTATGGAACAAATGGCTGGAGGAGCGATCGCCCAATGTGGCGTATATCCCGCCGGAATGCTTGGCCGCTCTCCCGCATTCAACGGGTGATACCAGCAAAGTGGATAGTTGGGCTGTCGGGTGCCTGCTGATACACTTACTAAAGCGCGGACAGCCGCTGACTCTCAAGCGATTTTTGCGAAATAGCTCGGAAAAAGTAAATTTCGAGCTGCGCGAAGAGCCTCTACTGGAAAGCCTTCAAAGGTTTTACACGACCGATGGAGAACAAGGACTGGTCATTGGGCCGGCAGTTCCGCCCATTCCGAATACGCCCGCTGCGTGCAAGGATTTCCTGGCGCATTCGCTCAAAATTGACGCAGCAACTCGCTCATCTCTTGCAGAACTGCGCGCCCATCCATTCGTAGATTTAAGCAAATCATTGGATAAATTATGTGCGTTAGAGAATCAGAGCGCGGAGACGTTCTCAGTCGGCGAAGGCACTATAAGAATAATTGACACGAAGAAGCATCCGTTTTTCTACGATACAGCACTGTGTCGTCTTCAGATAGGGGACGTCCAGTTGACAGCTAATCCCGGCATGGCCACTGGGCAGATGGCAGAAATTTGGCGGTTCCAACTCGCGAATAACAATAAAAATCGGGAAATTTACGCAAAGACTGTCGAGAAATTGTTGAATTTGCTGGAGGCTACTGATAAGGCAAATAAGAGATTAGGTTCCTTGCAGAACACAAATGCCCATGTTACTCGCTTCTTTGGATGGCAGTTCGCTGCACCCATGGATCCACGATGGCTGCCGGAGTTCCGAGTGTTTGCTGAACTGTGCAGAGGTTAGCGGTTTTAGTCAAAATCATAAGTATTATTATTTAATTACAAATTAGCACGGTTTTTCTTTACTACAATTACAAATTAAGACGTTAATATTGTTGCGATTTCGCAATAGTGTACCGCTTACAGCGTAAGCAAGTGGCTTTGTGTAAGTATAATTGGCGTCCGTGTAAAGTAAAGTATGTGAAAGTATGTGCAAAAACAGATAGCGCACAACCGGTTTTCTCTAAAATCAATAAAGACTGAAAAATTGGCTTTTTCTTTCGCCAAATTCGGGCGTCAGGTTGCCAGGTTGCCGTCATTTGGTCACTGCATTAACGGCCCGAAGCAAAGGAGACAGTTTAGTTTTGCATTGCGAAATCAGGGTCTGATTTGTGTTTACAGGCGGGAATTTCCAGGATGCCGCCGCGTATTCTCTACCGCTCAATATGATACAGAAGTTGTTGTACGAAATGCTGTGTGGCCTGGATTTTTTACACAGACACCGTACCGCCCACAGCAATCTGAACAGTCGCATGATATTCTTTACGGGAGCAAACTTCACCGGAACCGTGAAGATTGGAGGCTTCCATATTGTACGATTGCGGGGAGAGGATCGCACAATCAGGCCTAACGTCCGTGCTTCCTCCGGCGAGGACGGTCGCTTCGTCGCTCCGGAACTCTCCTACACGTGCAACAATTACGATATCGGGCGTCAAAGCAATATGTGGAGCGTTGGCTGTGTGGCGCTGCACCTGCTAACCGGAGCACCGCCACTGTACACCGGACATAAAAATCAGCCCTTATTGCTAGAAGAAGCTATTCTCTATCATTTGAACACCTTTGGAAAACTTCCTAATATCCCGAATTCGTTACCAAAATGCGCCAAAAACTTTGTTCTCCGGTGCCTAAAATTTAATCGAGAAAAGCGGCTGCTGGCGTCCGAACTGCTGGCAAGCAATGGGCCGCTTTCGAGGTTTAACAACGACCCAGATAATCCGCGGCGCTACCAGAATCAAGAAATGAAAGCATTATCGCAAGATACGCTCGATTACTGGACAAAAAAGGTACTACTTAAGATGACTAGTGGGCGATAACGGCAAGTTGGTTAATTTTCCCAATTTTTTTATCAACTTTTATGCCGTCTTCCAAAAATGTTTCCATCATTTTTACCGTCTTGCAAAATCCGAGACATATTTTTTTGATGTCGTCACTTGTATCTCAATATTATTTCTCGTTGCAGACACACCCCGGCTTAAGTAGCACAGGAAGCAGTAGCGCAAAATTAGAGCATCTTTGGGAGGAGGACGAAAACAGAAGTGCTAAGGATACACCACCGCGGCATTTATCGCTAGAGAAAAAGAAACATAAACACAGCAAACTGCTTTCCTGTTTCATGCGTTCCTAGCGGTGATCCCTTGATGAAAAGCGTTCGTTGCTCATGAATTTGGCTGAGAATTAATTTTTGCCTTCTGGTTTGCCTTTAAAGGAGTTTTCTACCAATATTATCGTGAACTGCTATCATAATATTGTGATAACGAACGGCAGTAATCTTCCGATCAAGTTTTGGATCATAACTGAAGACCCTGCGTAAGGTCACAAGGAATACGTATCCACAAAGCTGCTAGTTCATTACTCATAGTTGTCGTTATCGAAACATTGTGCAACTGTAGTTTTTTTTTGCCTTTGATATGCGCACGATGTGTTGCATGCAACATACTTCGATATTCATGCACTCTGGTGCTCTACTCCGTTTGCAGTATTTATCGAATACCTAGCCACTTACAAGCCGTCCCCTTCACAACCATGCATTTTAAACCCATATGCCTTAAGGTTATGGCTAGATCAGAAGAAAAGATCACTATGCTGTAAAACCTTATGTTAAAATGCTACGTTACGTTAAAGACAACTTTGGAAGCTGCCCGGCTTTTTCTGCTCGGAGGTTATTCTAAATGCACACACACATGTACAGATACCGTTCGGTCAGTTTAGTGGCTCAATGTTCGGTCCATACGAGCATCTCAGGTTTTTTTATTGTTGTGTTACTTAGTAGCTGCAAATAGTAAACCTTACTTAGCAAGCCGTTTTTGCGTTAATACTAAGCAAGTAAAAAATAAACAAATCGCAAAACAGGAAAGTAAATGGTGAGTACGTAATAGTAAGCGTAGCCGCGTCGTGAAAAGTAGTGCAACCTGTGCCGATAGTTTATCACATTTTGTGATGTGATAACCTATGCAATAGGAATCTTTTAGATTTTGATAGGATTGCATAATTTTCGAGGTATTACGATTCAGTAAATCTGGCACTAAATCAGTATCAGATGATTGTGTAGTTATCGGTGAGCGCTCTACCTAAGTGCGACGGCGCCACGCAGGTTCGCCACAGAGGCATACTTACTTAAACAAACTGTGATAATATGCACTGTTTTATGCACAGCTTGGCGCTTGGAGTTGTGTAACAACAATGCGGCTTTTCTGAACCACTTACTCTATCCGTACTCTAAGCAACAATGTCCAATCACGCTGTGGAAAATTGCTGTTTGAGTACGTAGTTTATCATACACCGATCCTCGAAGGTGCAGCGCGGTATTCTGAACGTAAGATACAATGACACGGAGATAACTGGTCGCTTACTTAGTAATTCCATATCGATATCTTTGTGGTTGCAGGTGGCAATTTCAAGGATGCCGCCGAGCATTATCTACCGGTTCCTGTGATACGGAAGTGGTTGTACGAAATGCTGCGCGGTTTGGAGTTTCTTCACAAAAACGGCATCGTGCACCTCAACCTGCACAGCCGCATAATCTACTTCACGGAAGCGAACTTCAAGGGAACCGTGAAGATTGGAGGCTTTATCTACAGGCGACAGATGGAAGTTCCAGGCGGTCGGGCGGTCAGGAATGGCCCCAGTTCTTTCTCCGCCGAGGATGGTCGCTTCATAGCTCCAGAACTGATTAATGCGTGCGACGATTACGATATCAGTTGTCGAAGCGATATCTGGAGCGCTGGTTGCGTTGCACTGCATTTGCTAACCGGGCAACCGCCACAGTACCTTTTTGCCAATAATCAACCAATCAGGCTGGAGTTGGGTGTTCTGTATTACTTGCACAGCAGCGCCAGGAACCCCGATGAAAGACGCCCATTTATCCCAGAATCCCTGCCAAAGAAAACGAAGGACTTCGTCCTCCGGTGTTTGAAATTGATCCGAAAGAGAGACCACTCGTGTCCGATCTTCTTGAAAGGAACGGACCGCTTTTCTTTTTCCATACCACGCCGGATAGTCCTCAGCGCTATCAAAACCAGGAAATGAAAGTTTTACCGCGAGATACACTCAAAATAATGAGAATTCTGATTTCATAATCTGATCCTACTATCCTGATTCTGATTCCATGCCCTTGCACATTGCATGGAATAGAAGCACCGCGGTGCTCGTACAACATGCGCGAATCAGCGTGACATCAATTAGTCCACCTTATACATATAAGCGAATCCTGTACCAGTTTCTCGTTAGCGCAGTCACCTGTACCGGGATCAGGAAAAGTGGCGTCCAGAGACTTGGATTAGGTATCTGCGCAAAGCAGTAGAATTACCTGACAATCGTACCCATGTGCGATCCATGACGGCAGAAAATCCGGATTGGATTTAGTATAATAGACCGCTCAGCTACACCGGTAAAAATAGCCCAGAGATACACACATGGCACATCTATACAGACCTTTTCAGTTTGTAGTACGTACCAAATGTACCCATGCCAACGTTGTGTCCATAAAATTGATAAAATGTCAATGTTGCCGACCGGAAATAATATTTTTAAGAACGTCACCGGCAAGACTGGGAGATGAAGGGCCCTGCGATAGATGGTTATATTCCATTCAGTCGGAAAATGGAGCATTTGATTAGTGCTGTTTAACTCAACATTTAAACAGAGAGAGCAGCCTGTAATTAATCGCAATACTGTCCCGGAAAAGCCGAAATATCTGATATACGAAATGCTGACAAGTGAATCCATTGTATGGTTGGTATCCATATTTGACGGAATAGCGATTAATAAAGACTCATCGCCGTTAAACACTCGTCGTTCCACAACGGTACTGAAGCGCTAACCGCAAAGATTATGGTTAACGCATCAGTTTTGTTTTTCATACCAGCATTATTAATGATATATTATATGCCAGCATCATGGACACCCACGATGGCCTTCTACAATCCGTCACTCTTATTGAAGATCGGATGCATCAGAATTTTCTTATTTTGCTTCCTCCTAAGACTGAAGTGGAAGAACTGGAAGCATTATCAAACCAAAGGTGACGCTCGATCAAGCACCGTTTCCTTTGTAGTTGAAATAGATGGCGGCATATGCTATGCCATGGTCTTCTTCCATGGCTCGGGAAATGACTTTTGAAAAGAGTACTGTATGTACAAGTGTATACTTATACCCTTATACCATTGGTAATATATTAAAATCTATTTGAAAGCCGACGATCGAAAGTGATATTATGCGTTCACTTTGAAATCTGTGCAGATCTCTGGATTTCCTTTATGCGGCGTACTGGAGATACAGTTATTGGGTTTTACGCGCATGTACATTTATTTGCCTTCTGCTGACACTGTCGGTTAATAACAATTACCCGTAACTCTCTTGACGGATTTGTACGAACTACAGCAGATTAAAGTAATTAAAATAGATTAAAGAAAATTAAAGTTGTAAATTATTGCACCCGTAATCACTCGATCTCAAAAGTGATTCCAGACTTTTCTTTGTTAATCGTAAGTTCTAGCAGAAATACTGAAATATGGATAATCGCAAACTGCCCATTATGCGACAAGCATTAAGCTTTCGCAATTGGTGTACAGAGTACTAACGATTTCGGGTAAAATAAGTTATTAAAAATATTAATTATTTTATAATACTAAAGTAAACTGTAAGCACGTACCGTAGTTAGTAAAAGTACGCATTTATTGTTAAAATTAATGATAACTTCCGCTTTGTGACACTGGGGGCTGTTACATAATAAAGATGGAGTCAGGCAATTTGGATGGTTCAAGTTGGCCCGACACACGACGGCAAAATAATAATATGACTGCTTTAAGCACACCATAAGTCAACCATACCTGCTAAGTGACTCAACTGTATCGACTTTGAAGCTTGAACACATTGGCCACCACGTCCCGACCTCACTGGTCAGTGGTCACCATACGTTTACCTATATGTGTACGCAGAGTAAACTGTACCACATGTTTCTCCACATCGTATTAATTTTATAATGTGAAATAACATACGCGTAATTACTATATAACAGACATCATTCATTGGGTTATTTATGACAGTATTGCCTTAATTTCCGAGGTATCATGATGAGTGATGACGTCAGTATTACAGAAATGTGTAGTCATCGATGAGCGCTGTAACTGTTTGTGCGACAGCGCCGTATGTAAGTTGACTAAGTTCGCCACAAACAAACTGCAACAATCTGCTGTTCTATCTTCACCATCACAACCATGCGCCTAGAGGTGTGTTACAAGAGTACGGCATTTCTGAACCACTACTATAAGCAACACATGTCCAATCGCGCTGTGGAAAATTGCTGTTTGACAAGTTTATCATACACCGTAACACTGCTGCCTTTGAAGGTGCAGTGCGCTGTTCTGTACGCAGTACGCTGTAAACAACAACGTAAGAAACACCGTGATGGTTTGCAATGAATTGGAGGGAGCTGCCTAATTTACGCAGTACGTTATCAGCGGGGATTATATTTAGGCAGTATTAAATCCTTTTTCATTACGCTTTCATTACTCTTAGTTTGTGGTTGTGGTGGGTGATACAACCCAATCCAGTGCATGTGCCAGCGTTTATTACGCAACGCACGATAGGTGTAAGTCAATTATTATTCCTCTTTTGCCTTATACTTCAACTGCTCGCTTATAAACAAATCATTGGAAGCGTTACATGCGATGGAAAACCAAGGCGCCAAAGTATATTCGGAGCGCACGGACTCCATAAGAATAATCAACACACAACCGCATCCACTCTTCGGCGATACACCACAGTGTCACTTCCAGATAGGAGAGATCCAGTTAGTTAGAAATCCGGACAAGGTCACTGGACAAAAAGTAGAAATCTGGCGATTCCAGCTGTGGAATGAAAATGAAAAAGCCGAACGAGAATTGTATACCAAAGCTTTCAGCAAGTTGTTGAACCTGCTGAAAACAACCTATCCAGAATATCGAAAAATTGGACGACTGCGAGCTGACAGTGCGAACGTGGTTCGCTTCCTTGGATGGCAGTTTACGCCATCCATCAATTTAATTTCGAGACCGGAGTTTCAGGTGATTGCCGAATGGTGCACAGGTTAGTATTTCGGGTTTTTGCTGCTATAATGCTATTAGTTTGTAGTGGATACTCTTTTCCTTCGGTACAAATACAATTTAAGACAAATTATTCCCTTTTCGCTAAATCTGCTGCTGGATGCATAATTAAGTGGCTTTGTGTCCATATAAAGCGTAATGTGAAAGCCAGGGGGTCGACAAATCAGGCATCTCGGTGCAAAAAATGTGGCGCGAAGCCCATTTTCCGAGCGTAGTTTGTAAATTAAAAAAACTGGTGTTTTCCTTCCGACCACAGTAGGTGTCTATAATACGTATTAATGGTAATCTGGTAATCATTTTGCTGAAGTTTATAACCGCAACATAACAGTCATGGGTAATGTCACTACGGCCACGGCCGTGTCACCATGTCATAGGTAGGAAAAAGCAATACTACAAGTTCATGCTGACGGTAGCCATCTGGCACGATTACTGAGTACGACCACATCAATGTACAGAAGTACACCGCAACACAACCGTCGCTTAGCTTAAGAAGACATTATACCATTGTTGGATTACCAAAATGTCGATTTTCGAAAATTTGTAGCTCTAATCAACTTGGTCTGGTCTGGTCTAACTAGGCAACAGGAGAATTTACAAGAACACCACTGAGCCATTTCCGTATTATATCAACAAAATCTTGATTCCGGAACACAAATCTATTCCTTGTGGTTGCAGGCGGGAATTTCAAGGATGCCGCCAAGCATTTTTTACCGATCCATATGATTCGGAAGTGGTTGTACGAAATGCTATGTGGCTTGGATTTTTTACACAGAAATCGCATCATTCACCACAACCTGCACAGCCGCATAATCTACTTCACGGAAGCGAACTTTAAGGGAACCGTGAAGATTGGCGGCTTTAACCATAGACGACGGCTGGAAGTTCCAGATGGTCTTGCGGCCAGGCATGACCCCAGTTGTGTCTCCACCGAGGACGGTCGCTTCGTTGCTCCTGAATTGGTTGATGCGTCCGACGATTACGATATCGGGCGACGAAGCGATATCTGGAGCGCTGGTTGCGTCGCACTGCATCTGTTAACCGGGCAACCGCCACTGTACGTTGGAGCCAGAAATCGACCCATAAAGCTGGAAATGGCTGTTGTGTATTACTTGAACAGCAGCGAAAGAAACCTTGATGAAAGACGGCCCTTCATCCCGGAATCCCTGCCAAAAAGCACCACGAACTTCGTCCTCCGATGTTTAAAATTTGATCCGAAAGAGAGACCTCTGGCATCCGAACTGCTTGGTAGGAACGGAGAGCTTTTCTTTTTTCATGCCAAGCCGGATAATCCTCGGCGCTATCAAAGCCAGGGAATGCGACGCTTACCGCAAGATACGTTAGATTACTGGGCAAAAAACATTAAAGTGTCGATTCCTCGTCAAGGCGCTTCCTCCGGAAGCTTCTTAAAATGTTGTGTGAGGTAACCCTAATTTCGAGTTGGCATAATTATGTTATTTTTAAGAACCGAAGTTATGTGCATGACAAGAAAACTCGGCGTGAAAGTTTTCGAAGTTTTCATTTTATACGATAACAGCAGTTTTAAAGACTGTGCTTTGGCGCCTACCGCCGTGTTTGACGTTCTACATGTATACGTACTCGGCATAAAAAGTTCTTTCAGTGTGCATGTCTATCCCTTAAAAAGCTGTTATTTATACTAGAATACTGCTCCATTCGTTACATGTTGTACTTAATGTGGATTTGTATTAAACAGCCATAATCCTTATTCTGGTTTGATATTCTGATAATTCGATTCCATTATTTCCACACCATTGCTTGCTTCAAATACAGGTACCGGCACGGTGGCACCTCATGCGCGACATCGAGTAACGCACCTTGTAAAAGTGGGTTCGTAATTGCATTGCCAACCACAGGGTAGGAAACTACTGCTAATGATGCTGTTCACAACAACATAAAGATAAGAATCGGGGTGAAGGTGGAAAGAAAACGGTGTCAAAACAGAAAGCGTTGAGTACGGTGGCTCTTTGCTATCGCAGTTGCCATCACATGTGTTTACGGGCTTGACCCAGGAACGGCACCAATCGAGCCGGAAACGGCAATCTTAAAGATAATAAAAAAGGCGCAGCACCGGTACTGATTTGTACGTGTAACATCTATAAAGAAAGGCAATAATAATTACTCGCGCTAGTCGTAGGCTATCTTGATAGATTAGTAAGTACTGCACAACATGCATCCATATTACATTAAAGACGAAAAATTTAAAGTACAGTACCCGAAACCATTGGAAATTTAATTTTTGCACTATCACGCATTCAGACTCTAGCTGAATAAATGGAAATTAGAAATATTGTGCATTAAACTTTCGGATTTGTTTTATTATAAGCGAGATGTCGGTTAAAATAATATTATTAATATTTAATATTATACAATATTAATTTTTAAGTTTAATTAGTGCGCAACTGCGCACGTAGTAAGTAAAGTAGCCAAGGAATACAGGTTTCGAACAAAAAATCCGCACAACAGCAAATCTACCAATCCTGAAAACATGATAAACGAGACTAGCGAAAGTCTAAAAGACAAAACCCCGCACATGTCACACAAGCTAGGTCACTGTTTAGCGGTCGAAACGAAAAAGCGTTGAATTAACCCGGTCGACACCATGCATGCCAATTGGCACAGTGGCGACCTTCACTTTCTGTAGCCGAAGAACATGCAATACTAGACGTCTGCACGATTTTATTGTAAACCAGAGATGTTGAGAAACATTTTAAAAAGTTAGACACCAAACAATCCAGTACTGGTAGAGACCATTGGGCACCTGAAGTTCACCAAAACCGAGCTGAAAGGGTTCGCTGAGGTCTCAGCTCCCGGCCTAGAGACACTTGCATCAGAAAATTATGCAAAAAAACACACGGCAAGTTTGCGTAGGACCTCGTCAGGAAATGAGCAAGTCATACATACATGGGTGGACACCGTCCGTCTACGGTCCTTAAAAAAATCTGTGCCAGATTTGACACGCATGGGTTTGATGCTATTGTATGCCGAAATTTTAAAATTCTGCATAAAATTTCTGCAGTAAGGTAAAGATTGGCACCAACAATCAAAAAATCACACTAAATCAGCTCGTTTTAACGATGATGACTTAGTGGTCATCGAAGTGACCACTGGTCACCCAAGGTAAAAAAATCGGAAAAATTACTTACTATTAAGTAGTATTGGTGTATCAATACTGATAATGATACTGTATTCGACAGAAACATTGCTTATAAAAGCTGTTTTCTAGATTTTTCAGCGCACAGCGTACTTGTGTGTGCTTTGATATACAAAAATGTGCAGTAAAGATATAAAATCAAAATTTTCTTAGATGGTTTCTAATGTCGTATCGGATATGACGCGAGCATGACCGGCAGGCAGGCCCTTTAAACCGCTTATATGATGTCTGTTGCTCGCAGATATTGAATTATGACGCGTTTTATCTGTACTGCATAGTGAGCATACTTTGCAGAGTTTGAACAGGAAGTGTACATTGTACAAAACAGGTAAACGCTAGCAGAAAACTCAAAAGCGTTCAACACCGCATATACGAAGACTACCGGTCAGTTCACGATTATTGTCAATTTCTGCAACCGGTTTTGCTGTCACAGTACAGATATTAGTGGATTGTGTGCAGATTGTTGTTCCGGGTTAATAATAATAATAAAACCTAATTGTAAATCTAGTCTGCCAAAACTGCTACTTGCAGTGGACACGTCCCTATACAGTACTGAGTGCTGCCCAGTTTGTAGCCTGGTTGCCAGTCGCAGGGTACGTTAATCAGTTCTTGCACGTTCGCGATAGCTTCCGACCGAGTTTATGGCAGTCGTAGTCGAAAATAGCGCATTGTACTGCAAGCATTTCTGTAACATTCAGACCGGCTGAAGCACCACAAAGTTTGTTGTAGTACGTGCTCCCTTCGACTTAACTTGTTCTACCGCTTGCATAATGTGCCTGATGCTGTTTTCCTAGATCCCTGGGTGTCAAATTGGTTTTTGGCAGTATGCTCGGCATTTTATGTCGTGTTCACGGTATCCCAGCTCAGATAGGTGGTTGGGTCATTTTTTATTTGTGCTGACCACTGGTCATCTTGCTGACCATTCGTATCATTCAGTTGCATAACGCTTTTTGAGGTCTTTTATTTAAGTTACACCAAGTTTTGATGCGATTTTTCTGTAAATTGCTATTAACATTAAACTGTACTGTGCCTTTTGGCTCAGTTCCCATGCGTGCCATTTTGGCATCGTGGTGCTCTGCTTGACCTATGGTCACAAAAATGCCACAAAAAATTATTTTTCTTAATTGAATTATTTGATCGTGGAATACCAATTTTCCAATCAGTATTCCCACTCCTTCTTGTACCCGGCGTTGGAGGGTTAATAACCCCAGATCACATCGTGCGCAACAAGCAGAAAATTCATCTCCTGACTTCCATGTCCCATTCGCCAGTCCACAGAGCTCGGAAGATTCACCGTTCAGGAGGTTCATGAAGATAATCATTAAAAATGCGAGTTATAAAGTAAAGTATAATTTCGCAGGTATTCCGGCACGAGCACCGGAATACCTGCGCCAGCGTATCAGCATATAGAAATCCAGCGCTGGAACGCGGCCTCCGTTCAGGGAACAGCTCCACCGGGAGCAAATTTAGATCAGTTGTTCTCTGTTCTTAGACCTCCCGAGGCTGTTTTCTGCTGATCGAGTGTACTGCGTTGTGATGTTAAGTAATTGCTTTCTATAAGCTAAATACGATTAAACTACGAGTATGTTAAAAAAAAAGTAAAGTAGTACTGTAGCACTACAACGTACTTAACAATACCTTCCGCTCTTGACTGCGTGTGCTACTGCCCACTGGGAGGCAGTTACGGGGTAAAGGTAAAATCAAGGTAAAGTTGGACCGACCACACACGATCGCAAAAATTAAAAATACGGACCACGGTGCATAAAAATTTCAGCAGTTTGTTTGCTGTTTGCTTTATGTGAACCGTACGCTGAAATTCTTCTGTCCGTCAAATATTTAAAAATTTATCCGTTTCATCTGAGTATTTCCTGATATATTAGCAGCACTTTCTCCCGTTTTAATGATTCCACCACTTGAGAAATGTTGAATCTTGCCGCAGCGAAGGATGAGCAACGTGGAGACGCTGAATATGGCCTTGCCTCTTAAGTACGGTTTAATTCCCCATTTCCCCGTTCTCAACAAACAGCTCTGCACAGAGCGCGAACAGAACTCTACTTCACGCGCCGTTCACTAATTTTATTTCTCTGCTGGTCTGACTAGCGTGTTTCCCTTCCTGTGTTTGCAGGGATTGCGAATTCAAATGGCGCTATCGTAAAGTGTACCCTGGCACCTTCCAGACCCCCGCCGCCCCTCTACCCCTCAGCCAACCCCGCCGTCCACGCCGACCCACCCCCTCACCGTCCCCAGCGCCCATTCCCCAGTCAACCAGCACGGATTTCTCCACGGCTGCTGTTGCTAGGCCCATGGATCCGTTCCGTCAGTTCAACGACAGTGTGCAGGATGTCTGGTCCACGGAGGACCCCGAGGATGTGGATGTGCAGCCGGAAGTGGAGCGGCATGCGGGATTAGTCCCGGCGGAGGGGAATTTCAACGGGCTGCGGACTCCGGGGCGCATGAGCGCCACGAATCGTTATTCATCGGAGCATCTGCGCGCCAAGGGACTGCAGCGACTGGCCATGCAGGCGCAGGGTGGGGTGGCGTCCGCGGGCAAGGGAACGCGGCCAGGTACGTGGGGGATTTTTCAGCGGGTACTTCGCTATTTTTTCGCGTTGTCGTACTGCGCTGGAATTCAAATAGGGACCTTAAACATATTTTTTTCCATAAAAAATTGATAAAAATAATAATTGTCTTCCTTAAGTTATATTGTTTCTGTTTTTTTTTTTTAATTTTTATTGTGATGTTTTTGACTTTTCCCCAGTGCGAATTAAGTAAGTAAGTTCCTCTGAGAAACCTGGATGCGTATTTTTCTACTTATTTTGAAACGATTGCTTGGGCTTGTGTGGTATTTAATTTAGTTATTCAGTTTATTTATTATTGTTAGTAATTTCTAAATGATCTTGTTTAATTGAATTTTTTCCTGTGCCAAGGAAAAATCCACCCAGATTGCGCAATTTTTAAAAAATTATTTTGAAATCAAGCTGATCTGCGGTTGTTTGGATTACTAAACGCTGAAGCTGCATTTTTGCGTGTGATTGTTGCGGTTGTTTCCAAGTGGCAACGTGGCTGCTTGATATTTAAAAATCCAAAAACATCCCTGAAAAGTGGGACAGAAAGTTGGTTATGTTATACAAATATACAGTCGTGTGGTTGTCTTTCCGGCAGCATTATGGGAATAGGTTTTACTTATAGCTTTGCAATTGACTTTCTGTCGCTTTATTATGGGAAATCAGTAAAGTTTGTTATATTTGTTTTGTCGGTTGATTTTGTTTTTGTAATTATGAAACAAGTTAAAATAACATAACTGTATCAGTATGTATTTGCTGTACCTCACTCTTTTGAAAAATTTGTTACACAAAATATCGCCATTTTATGAATTCAGCGAAACAGACAGAACGGTGGATTAAAGTAGTGTAGTGGCTGGGTATCTGGACCGCCGTTGATGCACTACTGCATACGAGATGTCACCGGATGATTGTATGGAAAATGTAGCGGTTTAAAAATTTTCAACTATTTTTTCTGTAATTTGCTTACGGTGTGGGACAGGTCTGGCCGTCCGCTCCGTCTCCATGGGCTTCCCCCTGACGCCGACGGCCACCAGCGACGCTCCCCTGGAATACTCCCACACCTCCCCGCTGGAAGTTCTCCCGCGGCAAACCCAGAAAGCCGATAAATTCCTCAAGCTCCTGGCGCAGAAATCCTTCGATCTGGAGGATCTGCGCAAAATCAGCTGGTCGGGGATCCCGGTGGAGTTGCGCGGGCGGATTTGGAGGATCTTGTGCGGGATAGCGCCGCCCGTGGGTGACGCGGTCAAAGTGGCGGAGTCGTTGAAGCGGAAGCGCGATGAGTACGGGAGTTTGGTGCAGGAATATTACCCGAAACGGGAGGATGAACAGTATAAGGATACGTTCCGGCAGATTCATATTGATGTACCGCGGATGTGTCCGCTGGTGCCGCTGTTCCAGCAGACCCATGTCCAGGTAAACAGGCGCAGAGAATTAATCTCCTTTACGCAGTGAAAATAATAAATAAAAATTAAATAGTAATAAAAATAATCAATAAAAGATGATAAAAACAATAAATTAACAATAAAAACATTAAATAAATCATAACAGAAGTAATAAATAGGTCATATTAATAAAAATAATACAAAACGATTGGTTTAAAAAAATTTGTGAATAATAATCGCATTCATGGTGCTGCCATGGAAATTATCGCGTTGCTGTTTTTTTGTTGGTTCAGAAACTGACTGCAAAACCTTCGATCTTATTAAGTAATGTTTTGAAATTGGATCTTGCTTCGCTTTCGCTTCTGTTTTTATTCGTGACTGCTGGGGGAATTATTATTGTTTAGCTAATTTTGGAAATTGCTGTAATCAAGTTATGATTGTCTTGTGCTATTCGAACATTTTTTTTAAAAGTATAAAGCATTTAAATGTTTGGATACATCAGTAACCACTTGAGAGCACTAGCGAACCGTAATAACTACATAGTTATCGTAGTGTAAGGGTTCTTTCCGAAGTGGCAAATGCTTGAAAATTAGTCTCATTGCTGCAAACATGACGCGCGTTTAAAATACAACATTTTTAAAATTGTAATTTTTTGGCGTGAAATGTGCATGTGTTTGTACGTCACTCAAAGTTCTCGGATTAACATTTTCATCAGTCAAATATTGTCAAGTATGTGTCCTTTAGTTATTCGCCCTTTGGTTTTCTTCATAATTCTTTTCAAAGTGTGTATGATGTTGAATGTTCTGTTATATCTTCAGGTTCTCTCCTAAATGAAAAATTAACGCGAAATAAACCTAAATAAATTCCTGATAAATTATTCTTTACTTAACTATTTTTTATGTAAATTTTAGTAAAATTTTTTATGGAGGTATATTGTATCTGACCGCAGGAGCTCTTCGAGCGTGTCCTGTTCATCTGGGCCATCCGCAACCCGGCCAGCGGCTACGTGCAGGGCATCAACGACCTGGTGACGCCCTACTTCATGGTGTACCTGCGCGACTATATTCCCGTCCTCACCGGCAACCTGGAGGACTTCCCGGTGGCTACATTGCCCTCCGCGGCGCTGGCGGAGATCGAGGCCGACAGTTTCTGGTGCTTGTCGAAACTGCTGTCGTCCATCCAGAACAACTACACCTTCGCCCAGCCGGGCATCCAGCAGCGCGTATTACAGCTGAAGGATCTGATCCAGCGGGTGGACGGCGAGCTGCACCGGCATCTGGAGCGCTGCACCGTGGAGTATCTGCAGTTCTCCTTCCGGTGAGCGCCGAATCTCAAATTGATTGTAATAAGAAGTTTTTTTTAATTTTTTGTGCTTTAGTATTTGCTGAAATTTGTCTGGTTATTTTATATTAGTTTATTTTTTTAAAAAAAACCTGGATAAAATAAAACAGGAATTCGCGTTTCAGTGAAATTTGAATTTCACACTAATTCATGGAGTTGAGATGGTGCAGTAATCAGATGGCAACAGTACGGTTTACCCTGAAAGCAGAAAACAATTCATAAACAACGTAGAAGATTCTGTAGTGCAATGGCCGGATAATCGTAGATACGTCGAACTTTATTAAATATTTATTGGAACCATTAGAAAATTTTATCTGTAGTTAACTCTGTGCCATTAATCTTTTTTTAATCTTGATGCGTTTGTTTAAATTTTTATAATTTTGTTTTAATTTTGATTAATATGTGCCGGGCCTCTACACTGATTTTGACGATTGATTTGACTTGCGGTATAAGAAACTAGGAAAGCGATATCTGTCCTGTAGTATTTTGAATGCGCAATGAATGTAGTGCCGTGGCAGTTCAATCGCTAATACCGTAGAAGGCATCTTCGGAAAAAAAGGACAATTGTTAAATTCAAAATCCTGCAGGAAAAACTAAATTTGATTTTTGAGCGGACTGGTGCATTACTCATGACGTTCAATAGTAAAAAAATGATTAAATTTAACAAATTCAATTCAAGTTTTAAAAAATCTGGTTTAATTTCATAAAATTTAATTTCGAAAAATTTAGTTTAAGGTTGAATTTTTGAAAAAGTTAATTTATTTTTTAAGCGGAGGGATTCATTACTCGTGATGTTTAATATTAAAAAAATAACTTAATTAAAAAAATAAATTTAATTATAAAAAAATCTGATTTAAATTCCGAAAATTTAGCTTCGAAAAACTTAATTTAAGTTGTGGATTTTGAAAAAGTTAAATTTAATTTATGAGCCAAAATATAACGTCTGTGACGTGACTCGTGACGTCTGTGATTTATAGTGCGTTTTTGTCCTTGGCAGGTGGATGAATAATTTATTAATCCGCGAGCTGCCGTTGAACTGTGTGATCCGTTTATGGGATTCCTACCACAGCGAAGTGGACGGCTTCGCCGGTTTCCACGTGTACGTGTGCGCCAGCTTCCTGCTGTGGTGGTCGGAGGATCTACGCCAGCAGGCCGACTTCCAGCACGCCCTGCTCCTGCTGCAGAATCTCCCGACGCAGAACTGGGGCGAAGATGAAGTGGCGCGGCTGCTGGCGCGCGCCTTCATGCTCAAGTACGCCTTCGCCGATGCGCCGCGCCACCTCAAATCAAATTAGGCAATACTGCGGCCGAAGAACGGTGTGTTTCATGTTTCTACTTGGTGCTTGTTGTTTTTACTAAAATGGATTTTGTAGATTAATTTCGCGTTGGGTTTTCTTCTATTTGATTAGACGTTGGGATCTGAGTTGGGCGTGGTGCTTCATTTATATATGTGTAAAAAATTGATTGCGAAAGCATTAAAAATCCCGGTCATTGTGCACTTTCATACTAGTATTTGAATTTACTACTGGTTGGCTAAAAGTGAGCTTTATTGAATAGTTTCATAAAATTTTTATGTGGATTATTCATTCTCGAAATCAGCCTTGGCCTACCGTAATCAGTAATGGCGCTTAACGGATATAAACATTTTCAAAATAATAATACAGTATTGGTAATTTTTAATTGAAATTTTGTTGTTGATTGCTTCATTATTTAGCGATTTTTCAATTTAAAATTGCAATTCAGAGATGAACACCAGTTCGTCGAAATATTCCCTAATAATTCATAAATCTAGACGATTAAATAAGTGATTTTACGACAATAGTGATTTAGTGACATTAGTGATTAGCACTTAGCAGCAGTATAGAAAGGCGACGTTTGTGTTCAACTGTAAACTGGTTTCGAACGTAGTTAAGTGCCATAAATCGTGGAAAAGCGTTTGTTTTGCCTGTGTGCTAAACGCTAATCACCTAATGCATGAATAGTTGACGCGGTACTCTTATAAAATTTTTCCCAAATCGAAGTTTTGGTCAATTTCATGTTATGCATTTTTTTTTTATTTTTGCATTTGTTTGTAAAATGCAGGTTTAAAAACAAAATTATGTTGCCGGTTTCTACACCCACTCTAATCGCACAGCACAAAAATCTTTAATTGCAGTTTTTAAAACATTTGATTTCTGATTGCAAAGAGAGAGAAAAAGAAGGAAAAAATACCATTACAGAAATACTTAACACAAAATTGTGCCCACAGAAAATTCTATATTTATACGCAAAAACACCATTAATACCGCTTCCTATGTGCTCCAAAAAAAGCAAAAAATGACTAATTCCATGCCGGAAAAAAATACCCCGTACCGACGTACACAATAACCGAAGACACCTATACAAAAGTACAAATCACAGCGGATACACAACCAAAAAAAAACGAGACCACCATTTTTGTGTCGCTAGACGATTATTACAAAAATCGTAATATATTTGGTACGAAATAGATCGACGGATCATATTTTGCCAAAATGCCATTTCCGAGATGTGGACCCGGGGAGAAATGCCGTGGATTCGTGAGAGAAGAGGATTCGCTGTACGTAGATTCACGAATGAGTGAGGAATTTGCGGGCGACAATCAGGCCGACACCGAAGAGGGCCGCGGCGCTCAGTCCGTAGAAGGTGTTGGAGAATTTGTCGCCCCAACTGCGGATGCGCCCCACACTGTCACGGTGACGAGCCAGACCAGCCTGCAAAAAAAAAAATATTAAAAGATATTCTCCAGAAATCGTATCCCCATCTACAATATTTTGTTACAAGCTTGAAATACAGTACATAATCTCCTCACGACAAGCCACAACACTACAATTCCACCGTACAGGACCCGTTATAAAACTATAGTTTACTAAAATCTTCGACGATGGCTGTATGTAGTCATGATACAAGCAGAAATATGTCAAAAAAACGCCGTTTATGATTAATTATGAAAACAATAACTGTAATTTCTGAATCAGAAATACATCCACAATTATGCGAAACAAGTGTACAAAAGCACAGTTCCTGATTGACCTATGAATTATTAGTTAGGAAATCTTTTTTCCGAATATTTTATATTTATTTCAGAAGTGAAATGAAAAATTAATAAATATAATAATAAAAATAAATAGATAAGCATAAATAAAATAAAAATAAGAAAGTATAATAAGAATAAATATTTTAGGAATAAATAGAATAAAAAAAAACGCAACAAGAATTAACGGAAGTTTTCACAAATCTTTACGTAATCGGTTATAAATCGAATAATCGTATTACACAGTATCAGCAATGGACAGCGACTAAACGATTATTAATCACGTTATTCAAAATCTACAGAAACTCTAATACTTTTATTCGAACGATTAATTCATTAAAATTCGGCAATTCACATTACGGGTCAGGCTATCACGTTCGGTATACCTCTGTACACCGTTTAACCATCAAACTCGATTTCTAAATTCCTAATTTAATCGGGGCAAACAAATGTTGAAACTCTCCGGAGAAATTCCTTACCCATCCTCCATGCTGTGTAATCCATCCGCGCAGCTCCCGGCACAGAAACCCGCTCATCCACTGCGCCACCACCCCCTCCATCCCCTCGTGCCCCCTCTCCACTCCCTCCTGCGCCAGTTGCGCCACAAAGAAGAAATGCGCCACAATCCGGCCCCAGGCCACATACCGGCCGTGCACCCGGTGGTCCGTGTACACCTTGGCGGAGATGCTGTCGAAGCGGCACTGCATCCACTCCCACCCGTTCCCCTCGAACCACTCCGTCAGCACCGCCTCCTTCCCGCCCACCTCGGCGTTGTAGTCCTTCTGGAAGTTCTCCACCAACCACAGCAGATCGCGGCACACTCGCTCCAGGGCCTCTTCTTCCGCTAGAGAGGCGCGTCTCACCGCGGACGACTGCAGGGTGAGGCGAAGGCTGTGCGGAGGGGCGGGGGGCGAGGAGGACCCCGGGGAGGGGGTCACCAGGCCTTTCTTCCGTAGGAAGGCATGGAGGAATTTCTCCACTAGATGAAGAGTGAACTGCTGGAAACGTTCCTCCTCCGACAGCTTCAGACGGGGGGTGGGCGTGGTGTAGGGTGTCGAGGGTTCATAGTTAAGGGGAAATCCTTGAAACTGGGGCATCTCGCTGGGGGAGAGCGGGATACGGCGAGGGCGTGAAAAATCCACAACGTCCGCCATCGGAAAATAATTTTTAGGGGATTTTTCACCAAGGAAATAATCAGGATGGTTTCGAAACACACGGTGACCAGTCAAAACTAGGGCCAAAAATAATCCACTTTAACATGTGCGCGTTTATCGGGTGAATTTCTCGGCCGATTTTCCATTCCTCGTTGAGGCCGATGTTTCGTCAAAATAATATATTTCTGATGGGAATTATCCAGGTAGAATGTACGATTACAAATGGGGATCAAAGTAGAAAGGTCTGAAAGGAGATCGATGGTAATGTGATTTCGTGTTACCGAGAAAACGGCGCTCATCGACACTGACTGACTGACTCGATTTTCACGTTTCCCGGGCCAAAGATAAACTAATGATCGATAAGATGCTTGAGAAATATTCCAGGAATGCAGTTGATCAACTAGGCAGAGTTGCTCTGGGCTCTTTCTCCCGCATCAAGGCCATGTTTTCCATTCAAACTGACGTTGCCTGTGTGAACGGTGAAGCGAGAGAGAGAAAAGCTGAAAAGCACAGAGAAAGAGAATCGATCTACGCGACAGCTTTCGTAAATGCTGCATGTTCATTGAGAGAACGCCATGGAGCTGGGGATTCCATTAACAGCCAACTTTCAATTCCATTACTTTGTTCAGTCATGATTCCAGTTGGTATTTCCGGAATTCTGAGTTTTCTGTTTCCTCGCATATTATTGTGCAAGAGTGCAAGACTGCAAGAGCAGCGAATAAATTTCCACATTTTTCTAAATAAAATTTTACCCTTTCGATTGATTTGTAATATTCTGACGTAAAACTGTAAAAGTTGTTACAATTATTTCTGGATCCCATATTGAACAGGGGATTACGTCGTACAATACAAACATTCGTGACTTCGTCCATCTTATTTTGATTATTCCGCGTTAAGCGTATCGCACAATCAGGATGACATTCAGTGGGGATATCACTGAAGCGGACTCTCCCGACCTCCAGGCAGCAACCGTGGCTCTGCAGGCCAAAGCCGTCCAGCTGGAGGCCTGCCTCCAACAAGTCCTGCAAGGGGCCCAGGTGCTAACGGAGGCCATCCAGATGGTAACGGCCGACACCCAGGAGATCCGTCAGCTGACGCAGCAGCTGCAAGGAGACGTCCAGAAACACAGTGCACAAAAGATTGCGGAAATTCTCCCGCTGATCCAGGAGCTGACGGAGGCCGCTGAGAAGGCCAGAGCCGACGTCCTGGACATCGCGCAGCAGATACAGCAGCTGCTGCAGGAGATCCAGAAACGGAACGATGAACCGACCGAGAAGGTGCGGATCGCGGGTCACATCAAGCAGTTAGCGGAGGAGATCGAGCAGCGGGCGGAGAAGCTCAGGGACGAGTGCCAGCGCCTGGCTGACATCGCGGCAGGCTTCGCACCGCTGTTGGCGGAGTATAGTGCGCTGGCGAAGCAGAGTGCCGCTGCTCTAAAGGAGATGGAGAGCGCTGAAGCAACGGAACAAAATCTCGTCTGATGATTTCAGTGAGGTAGCATCGGTACACACCACTACCAGTATACTGTATACCGAACAGATTCTGAATTGTGGCTGAATGGTTCTTCTGATTCATGGAATAATTATTGCGTTAATACCAATTTGGCGTTACTAGGTTTTGTTTTATTTTCTCCAAGCTGAATCTCGTGTCAGTGTTTTCCCGTTAATATTCTGCTGTACGTGTTCTCTTGTGGCATTTTACGGTCGGTTCATATTTATTATTATTTTCCTAGCATCATTTATAAATTAAAAATGTTTATGATTTTATTTGTATGCAACAGTTTGTCGGCTGTCCGCATGCGATTTTTGGGGACTGTTTGTAAGAGGAAGTGGCGTTGATTAAAATTCTGGATTATGAGAACTATCAAAATTTCGACAAGCAAAAAGGAAATGAATTCCGTTATTATTCCTGAAGACAAAATTCGGCTGAGTAAAATGCCGAATTTCCGACACTTGTAGCTAATTTATTCAGCTACAGGGCCAATATTTGCTTTGGAAAGAAAACAAACCTTCATCCTAAAAATTCGAACATATATTTCATTATTTCACTGTAAGAACTACCGTAGAACTAAGAGCAAGTTTCAATTATAAATATTTAACCCAAGTAAAATTCAGCGTGAATATTGTATATGAAGTCAATTTATACAGAAACACCTAAGAGCATAAATTGTCAATAATTCATTAGAGCACAATTTTACTGGCCACTTTCAAATTATTTCAGTCCGTTGAACGCAGCATTTGGTTCCTCGTCGACGTCCTCAAAAATCGAGACCCAGGCAAAACATTATTCAGGTCGCATTTCACTGACTAAATTCCATTTTATCATTCCAGTATTCAAAAACCTTTACGTTTTACCACGACTAAAAATTAGGCCGCAACAACGTTATGGATTTCAGAGTAAATAATTAAGGAATAAAAAACAAAAAATTAGATAACAATCACATCAAGACTAAGCCAATCTGCGCTGGCTCCATTTCTGAGCACTTCCAGTTGTATACGTAATAATTCAGATTCCCGTCGCCGATGCCGAATTTCAGCTGCTGAATAAACTGCATATTGTCCATCAAATCCAGCGCGTTGAACACATCAAATCCATTCTGCAAAACACCGCAAATCATCTTAGAATTGCACAAACCATGTTTTGAACAAAAGCCAATTAAATCAGTATTTCATGATAAATCACGAAACAACGCATAACGCGGAGCGTTTTCGCAAAACAGAATGTTTTGTCGCCGATAGTCGAAATCACGTTGAAAAAGAGCTATTAAAACAAAAATTCAAATTTCGTCCTGCTTTGTAAAATTGTGGGAGAGCTCTCGGTGAACGTTTCAATAAAGTTAACATAAAGCAGCAGAACTTCTGCTGCAGAAGTTCTACAAGTGCCTTTCAACTGGCAAAAAAACTGAAGATTTCCACACAAATTCGCCGGTTATTAATGATTACAGCACGATGAACTTTACAAGTAGCCACTGTGCTACAAAATCGTTCTTTTCTAAATCAGCTAGTTTGCGACAAAAGTACTGTATCCGCAAACAATTTATTGCCAATAAACTACATACGACTTATGGTTAGCTAACGGAATAAAATTAACGGAATTATCGGAAAAACGGTACAAAATATTATAAAACCACGACAATTATGGTTATGAAAAAAGGTCCGCTGAATTTTATGACAGCCTTCAATAAAAAAAAAGATAATTTATTAATTCACCTTTTTGGCCATGATGATCGTATCAAACATCAAATCTTCCCAGGATGTCTTGGTGGCGACATTGTAGAAAGAATAGCCGGCATAAATGGAATCGTGCAGCGTGTGGTTGACCACGGTGGAGGGCAAGGAATAAAAGCTGCTAAAATCCGTGATGGCCTTCCCGTTGTCCACCACGAACGAGTAGACGATTTTCTCCTTGGGAAGGAAATAATGCTCCACTTCCTCCAGCGTGAACTCCGGAGCCAGTTCAAATTTTTGCAAATACTGCGAAATTTAAAAATCAGCAAAAAATTTAACGCATCGGTACTGCAATTTTTCTTCAAGAAACACAATTCAAACCACGAATCAAATCATTCTCCACAGTTTCTGACATGTGACAAAATTAATTTCGAAATTTTATTCTGGATGTACCAATAATAATTCAGAATGAACACTTTAACAACAACTTGTGACATTTTCTTATAACAATTAACAACAATTTGGACGTTTTGTGACGAATTTTTCTCAATTTAAACTGGATATAATGAAGTACCGAGAAAGAAAATACGATTTCAACAAACTGAACAAAACCGGCCTTCTTCATCTTAATAAAGCCGAACTAGCCATGGCCTAAAGTGCCCGGGTATCACCAACATGAATACCCGTAAAAACCCTTTTATTAACTTTAAGCAAAAACCCATTTATTAACTAATTATTCTTACAGACCTACAGTACTATTTTTATCAATCACTGTTTACTTGATTTTCTTAGAGCTAAAATTACATTAAAATCCACGAACGAACGCTATTTTCATTGAATTTATAAAAAAACATTTATTTTATTAACAGTTCCCAAATGACAAAATTTTTAAAGTTAGAAATAGATACTTAATACACACCTCGGTCAAAAGTTTGTGGATCCCAGGAATATCTTTGGCTTGTGTTGGACGAAATCCGGAGGTTTTTGGTTCCTACAGGAAAAATCCGCATGCAACAACACAGCGCTGGAACGAGTGCAACAATGACTTTTCAAATTACATCCGGCAGTCTGTAGAGCTTTTTCATCCGCTGAATGGTCATGTTCTTCCCCACACTGCTGAAGCTGACATCCACCAGTTTCTGCGGATTAAGCGAACGATGCCAGTACCTAACGACAACAATCAAAGGATTAAGATATTTACAACAACATCGATCCACACAAAATACCATAACGCAAAAAAAACCAGTAGAACATTAAATTTTTTAATTATCCACTCCAAAGCAAAAGGACCCGGCATAAAATAAAAATACTGAAAACATTCCCGGGCTATTTCGAAGCGGCGGCGTTGGAAATCGCCGCCTTACCGAAGCAAGTACCATTCAATCGTTTTTTCCTTCCATTAAGAATTTCAAATGATTATTTTTTCTCTCTTTAAAAAAATAATTGCCAAACATTTAACACAATTCAACCGGGCAAATATTATTAAGTACAACGCCAACACCCAATTGTATGAGCATGTCGCATCGTGACACTACTCTATGTCTGTGACTATTAAAACTGGAAACTCAGAAAAGAAAACTGCTGCTGATCAAACCGACGAAATATTATTCAAAAGAACCTTATTTCATTTTTTATCCGTTTTATTTAAAGCACTACTATTAAAACAATGAACAAATTCCGCGCAACAGAATGTTACCCAACGTATTGTCACGAAACCCAACGAATCAGCGAGGCACTCACCGGCAAGTACCCACGGGTTTCGGCAAGACCGCGCCGGCCGTGTACACAGCCTGGAACACGTTGATGACGTTGCAGCGGCGCGTGATCTCCTTGATCAGAATCACCGCCATGCGTTTCTCGCGCAGTTTCTTGTGCACACACAGAAAGTTCACTTCGGACATGGCCAGAGACCTGCAAACCAGACAATCAGCATGCCGTCATCATTTCACTGCGCCAGCGATCATTTCGCACAGCAACGCACTGAAAACTTTTTAAAATAGGAACTGAGTTATATCTGGGCGTACATTTTTAGGCGTGTAAAAATATATTTATTATTATCTATTGAATACCTTTTATTTGCAAGACTGTTCATCAGTTGTAACACGTAGAAATCGCGTCGCGTCATCAGGTCAGCCAGTGCACTACGACTACTCTATGCCGATATTAGTCTTTTTAACACAGACGAATGTTGATTTGTACAATTACCACTCTAATAATAATAGTTTATTTGAGGATTCTGAAGGCAAAAAAAGAAATCACTGATTCATATTTGTTGGTAGATTAATTTTAAAAATAATAATAACCAACGAATGCAATTTTGTCAAGATAAAACAATAATTACCTAAAACAATTTGAGTACGTAATTTTAAAAACGTCATTTATTGACAAAATTATTTAGCGTTACAATAATTTTGAAATTACTGTTAAACTTAAAATGAATGTAGCTGATAAAATACAAATAATCCAAGCCTTGCCGAATTTCGCACGGCCTCAAAGACGTACTTTCCGCGAACACGAATCTGCGCCGGGACAGCGCTGATAAATCCCACCAGTTTCTTCGTCTCGTTCACGCGCACTCCAATATGCCACTGCGGGGTCCAGTGCGGCGGTTTCAGTGCCCTACAACGAAAACAAAACAGTTAATACCACCAATATCATCGTCAAAAACCCGCCGTGGACGGTTCATCTTTCCTAACCCGAAACAGCACAAAATTATACTTTTCAGTCCCATCAGCTAGCAAACAAAAAATCCTTTTACAATTAGTGTTGAAAAAACAAAAGAGGAATACAAAACCATTTTTTAACACCTGTTGAAAACACTAGTAAACCCGTTGCAGATCACAAGACGAGTTTAATATACCCCCCGAGTAGCCAGTGCACTACGATACTGTTCCTCTTAGCACAGCTTTTGCAGGGGTGCCAAATGCCAGTGATTACTGTCATCTTTCCTTACCAGAGCAGAAAATCATGCGAATACCGGAAGCGAAACATGGCATCATCATCCTCCACGTAATTATCGTGCAACAACTGGTATAATTCCTCCAGCTAATTAATGACAGCAATAACATCCCTGATTTACAGCCACAACAGAAGGGACGTGATTTTTACCGTTTCCTTGTTGTTCACATCCATCACATCCCAATAAAATCCCGACGGTAAATTATACGGTTCTTTCCTCACTTCCTCCACGGTTTTTACTTCAATGGCTTCGTTGATGTCGGTGGGAACTTTCTCTTCTGCAGAAAAAAATACAACAATTAAAGAAACGAAAATTTTATGACAAAGAAAATTTAGCCTACTGCAGCAGAATCGCATTTAAAAAAATACGATAATTAATTCTTTTAGGACCGCTAGCTTAATAATATATCACAGAATTTATACGATTTTATGGACTGATTCTTTAAAATCCATTTCATAATAAATAATTATTTTCTGCAGTTTATTTTAAACACAATTAATGAATTAAGGTAAGCAGCTTTTTCCATAACTACGAGTATAATTTCCAAAATAAAATTCCAATCGTCCCCTTTAATTTTTAAAAAATATATAACGGCGAAACACTCATCGCGGTTCATATTATTATTAAGAAATCTGAGAAGCTGCTGCAGTGAATTCGCATAAATGGGTGCGCCGGCGCGGCACGGTAAACATGCAATTAAAAGCCACACTTCCGGTCTAACCCAGAAAATCCAATCATGAAACATCGATTTCGGCTCACTTGATCGGCTTCCAGTAACATCAAGCGCCACACTACGCTGCCGCTACAGAGATCTCAGGTAACGCGCACTCACCGTATTTCGGCATGGGCTGTGTGGACCAGAATTTATGGCTGTCGGTGGTCTCGCGCGACGGCCCATGTCGGCGTCCCGACCGTCCGGCATCGATGGCCTCCTGCATGATGCGCATCAGCTCCGGGTGGGACTGGGCGACGGGCTGGCGGGCGGGGGACTGCGAAGTGCTCGGCTGCAGCGCTGCTGCGTCATTGTTGCTGCTGGAGCTGGAGGCATCACCCGCTGGATGCGCCGCTGATTCCGCGGTGGGGAGGGCATCCTTCACATCATTTAAATCGGCCAAGCGATCATTTTCCAAGGCGGTGGGATGGGAATCGTTTTCCGCTTCTGCTGGCTGAGGAAACAAGAAAAGCAGGTTTAAAACGGGATCGGTGCGATGCGACAGTAATTTCGCCTACTTTCGATTCCATTCTTCGGTCTTTGGTATCGTACAACGGAGCGGAGACTAACGAGGAAATTATAAAAAATTTATTGCCAGGAAATATTAAAAATTTATATTTCTCCACAAAATCTGTGGGACTTTGTTGACAAACTTCAAAATTTTGGGAAGTTTATGAAAAAGTCAGCCAAAGTGGGACAGATTGCAAAATGCAGCGATGGGTTCCATTCCAAGACGTAATGGAATTCTTCTCGTCAACTACACTGTGGCACATTACACGTGGAATTCCCATTCGAGCCCAGTGATAAGTGGTTTGGGCCTTTGGCCGTTTCGTTTAAAAGCGCGCATGGATAACGTTCCCTGTACATTTATAATATTTCCTGCATATGGATGTACAGGTTTCCTCTCATTTTTACCGGTTCTCGGCTCCACGTCGGCTCAACCGGACCGGACCGTCAGGCAGGAATGCAAGCCGACGCTATGTGTAAAACGGCTTGCATGAAATTATGAATAGATCGGAATTTGCTCGCTGGCGTCGACGTCACTCTGTGATTAGCAATTGTCAACTAATCAATCCGTTTGAAAAAATTAATATGGAAAATTTCATCTGACTCAACGAGGCCACCTGCACACCCACACCTACCAGTCGGTTTCTTATGCGCCGCGGACAGTGAAGAAAAGGTGCAGCATAAATTAATTCGCCGAACGAACACGTTCAAAGTGGATCCTGCTCGTGTGTATGTGATATTGCGTTGCAACATCATCGGAGAAAACGCTCGCTGTTCGCATCATCTCAAGTGGCTTATCTCGGTTAAGTTTTGCCCGGAATTGTTTACGCCAGTGTGTGATGAGTGTGGCGCCGATTGGGGGCTGATTTTCGGAGGAGGTTTGTGTATTTTTCAGCACTGGATTGCAACGGGATACGGAAAAAACTCGGAAAATCGAAGCAACAGGTGGGTCTTGGCTTCCGCCGTTTGGCCTTTTTTTTACTGCCCAGGAGTTTTTTCTAATTGATTTTGATGTCGGAGCATTTACGTAAAAATACTATTTTTGCTAGAAATTAATTCGGTGACTGTAGCTATTTAAGTTGTGTTTTCAATGATTTAAACCCGTATTTTTGGTGAAGTCAGCCTGCGAAAACTGATCTGCTGCAGCATAAAATAATTCAGAACCTTTTTTAAAAAAAAAATTTAGTAATTGGGGAAAATTTTGAAAAAAAATCAAGTTCTGGAAACGTTTATTGTAATACTGAAGTAGCCGCTTAATTTTACGGTTAATTTTTAGTTAATTTTGCTAGTGAATTTTGCGAGCTGAATTTTCGGAGTATGCGGAGGTTTTCGTTTAATTTTTCATTGAAAATCTGTGATTGTTTTCCTAGTCGGATCATCGTGTTGCAGAAAAAGTAGAATGGTTGTTGAACATCGGAAAAGAGGCATTTTTTAAAAATTTTTCCAAATATTCAGTGTATTGTGAAGTTGCACGCAGTATGGAAAAGCGTAGTGAAGTGGCTGCTATTTCCGACACCGTTAACGATCGCTGCAACATTACGGTTTTGTTGTTGGAAAATTTATTTCTATATAGCTTGCTTGAATTTATTTTTTATTTCATAAAACGCCGTTACATTAAAGAGAGATATAAAGAGACAGTTTATCACAACAACAAAACTTCGTTTGAATCTTGAATCGAACAAAGCTTGAATTGCATGAATTAGGCTGTACCAAGAACTTACTATAAGTAGGTATAGTAAGTACTTGCTTGGCTGTACCTTTTTTCTCTCATATACCGCGGTTATGTTTACTGCTGAATCATTTTTTAAACTGGTTGTGCTCATTTTTTGGCAGACCGTGTTATGCAGATAATTCGTCCGTAACTGTTCCTCTCGTGCATGGAAATGAACCACAAAGACGTCCTTCCGTCCTTCATCCAGAAGAACGGGCTCCCGCGGAAGACCGGTCTGTCGCGGTCGCAGATTAATCTGAGCGACATCGGCCTGTCGGCGGTGGAGATTGATCTGGGCGACTTACGGCGTAATCTACCGCTTCCGGCGCTTAAGACCACCGTGAATAATCCAGCCAGCGCGGGATTTGGGTATCTCCGGCAGGCCAACCATGTTCCGGTGTCCCTGGCCAACGGCCACCACCGGCCGCACCAGAACGGCTACCATCAACAGCAGAGCCGGTTCAGCTTGGAGCGAGTCAGCTATCAACCGGCGCTGCAAATTCGTAAGTTTGGATTTTATCCGTTTTATTTTGTTTTTGCATGCTTGGATCACTCTTTTACTGCGCGCCGATACTATAAAGTGTAGTAATTGTAGTATACTGGCTCGTATCGACACTGAAAAAGTCGTCTGAAATACGGATGAGAGCTGCAGTTGTGAATTCAGGTTGCTTAGCTTGGAAAAATTTTTCGATTGACAATTCGTCTTGTTATAAGTGTTGCGTGTAGATCGACTTCCATATGATTGCGGTAAGTTGCAGTTTTTCACGCGCTTAATTCACTTTTCACTCGTTTGCTGGCTTCGTATTTACAAGTTAGTGGTTCAACGAAAAGTATACTACTTAAATAAAGTATTTAAAAAATATTAAAGCATTTATAAAAAATAGTCCGTAATATTATAATATCTCGTATTAATCATATCAGTGATTTCAAATTGTCATCAGATGTCGTCGCCAGCTTGTTGTCATTCCATTCCGTATATCAATAGGAGCTCTGGACGATCAGCGCATTCCCTACTCCCACCGGCAGACGGCCTTCCAACCGGCCCCTCCGGCGCCCTACCCCTTCCGCCACGATCCTCTCAAACACCCCCCACCCGACTTCCCCCGCCACCCAGAACTCTCTCTGACCAAACCTTCCTTCCGCCCGGACTACCCGCCCCGGGACTGTGACTGCATGGGCCACCGCACCCCTCCTACCGTTCCTCCGTCAGCTCCGAAGAGAGCGCCGGTTCCCCGCTGCGCCCACCGCCCTTATACGAGAACTCCGTGCGGCAGTCGCCCTTATTCAACAACGTCATCCAATCCCCGCCGGACTACAACGCCCACATGTCCCGGCCCTCGCCGGTCAGCTCCATGCAGGCCACCTCCCCGGCGCTGGCCCTTACCGCGGTCAAAGCCGTGGAGGTCAGCAAACCCTTCGTACAGCACGCCGTCGCCCCGGAGGCGGTGCGCAGCAAGAAGCCCGCCACCCCGGTGTACCAATCCCCCAGTCCCAGCGGGCTGGAGTATCTCCCGCAGGTAGAGCTGAAATTCAGAAAGCGAATTTTCTAAATTTAATTTAAATTAGAAAATTAGAAAACGAATTTTCTGAATTTATTTTTCAAATAATTTATTTTCCAAATACATATTTTTCGGTTGTAAAGAAAGGTATAAATTATAGTATCGGTGTTTTCAGCAGTCATTTTATTCACATTGTATATTACTTCATTGGCACTGAATTTTGGATGAATTTCGTATAATTATAAGAATTCATTATTTAAGAGAATTGAAAATTTTGAAGTTTTTTATTTGAAACCGTTTCAGATTGTCGAAAACCCGTTTAATTTTGAATTGATTGGAAATGCATTGATGAGATTGGAAATTAGAAAATAAATTTCCAAAATTATTTTTTCGAATATTTTTCGGCTGTAAAATGTAAACGAAGGCCTTAAACGAAATATTAATAGTTTCGGTATTTCTACAGTCATTTCATTTTATTTTATTGAACCGGCATTGAATTTGATGAATTGCTTCATATAAACTTATCTACTTAAAAATATAAAAAAAAATTCTGTTTTTAAACCATGTCAAATTCTAGAAAGCCCGCTTGATTCTGAAATGAATTGATTTTTGAAACGTTTGTGACTGATTTCCACCCTTACCGACAGGAACCCGTCGGAGTGCTGGCCACCGGGCGTTGCGAACCCGTCCTCCCGGGGAAACTGCGCTCCGGGACGTTCGGGGTCAACGTCATGACCTCCCCGGAGGTGGAGAAGGACGACAGCCACGAAGTGGTGTCCGGGGAGTTTGTGCGGACCTTCCAGAACCCCTACGCCCACTTCTCCCCGGATGCCTACAAGTTCTACATCGAGCAGCACATCGACTCCATCATGAAGGTGCACGCCAGTCGGGCGCGGCGCCGCATGAAGCTGGAGCGGGAGATGGCGCTGATGCGGCTGTCGGAGACGGCGGCGGAGGAGTGTATTCGCCGGCTGCGCAATCAGGAGTCGAATTATCTGCGGCGCTCGCGGGTAAAGTTGGATAAGGATAATTTTGAGAAGATTCGGAAGATCGGGGTGGGCGCCTTCGGGGAGGTGACGCTGGTGCGCAAGGTGGGTTTAATGACCTTTGTATTTCGATTTCGGTAAGTTCATCCTTTATGCTCGCAGGCGAGCTGTTACTTTTTTGAATTTTTTTTATAATATCGCTTCGAACGTCGTACCTCTATTTCGAATTGATTGATTTGTCGAGGTATTTGAAGGTGGTTTTGCCAAACGTTTCACGTGGGTGAAGTATCTTTATTCCTGCACTGTACGCGTTTTCCCTGTTATTTTCGTTTTTGTTTCGTCATGGTGGTGAACCGGTGATTGACTAATAATTAATAGAATTTTTTTAAATTTTAAAAAGGATTTCCTTGTAGTTGTAATTTTTAATTTTGTTATTCGTAAACTACTGCCTTTTTGCTTGTAGTTGGTACCTTTCGTAGTATAGCGGCGTTTAATCTCGATAGTAGTGCTGTCTGGTTGATGCGTAGTGCTCCGATCTCACTTACCGGTTTGGTTTTATAACGGCGTAAAAATCCAGATATATAGTTTTTGTTTTTCCAGTTTAAATCTGGAAAAGATTGATTGTATAGTTATTTTGTACTGCAGATAGTACATCGATAGCTGATCAAAAGAAATTCCCAAATAAAATAAAAAGAATCGCGGCTTTAGCGGCAAATTGCGATAAATTTTGGAAATATTAGCGCATTTTTATTTATTGCGACCTGCATAATTTGTGTAGTATTATAAAATTAATACATTTATTTTGCGCCGGTATGGAATAGATGGGCACGGATCTGCTGTACGCGATGAAGACACTGCGGAAGAGTCACATCTGGGAGAAGAACCAGCTCGGCCACGTGATGGCCGAGCGGGACATCCTGGCGGAGGCGGACATTGAGTGGGTGGTGAAGCTGTTCTACTCCTTCCAGGACACCGAGTGTCTATACTTCGTCATGGAGTACGTGCCCGGTGGTGATCTCATGAGTCTCCTGGTCAAACTCGGGCAGTTCGACGAGAATCTGGCCCGATTCTACATCGGCGAGCTGGTAGGTGCAGGCTGCCGCTTCCGGCACAGTAATAGCGGGATCCGTGCGTTATCTTCAATAATTCTTTAATGTGTATATGAAATTACAGTTTTTTTGTGCTTTTCTACGCTCTTTTTGTAAATTAATCATCCAAGCTCTTATGATACATATTACGTAGACATATTACATAAGAGTTATCGTAGTGTAGAGTGTCACAGACGAGCCTCCGCCATGCCTTGTGATCGATCGTATTGTGATCACATAAGTTTGCAAGCTTTTGAAGGTTTCCAGTCTTTACAAACAGTTTTTATCGACGATAATACGTACTGATTTTTATGATAATACGACGGTTAAAGCATATAATTTCTATATCGCGTATTTCAGTTTATTTTTAAAATAATTATATTCAGTTGTACTTCGATATCGTTACCATTTATTAGGTAATAGCCAAATAGGCTAATGGTAAATAATAAGATCTGCAAACGCGGCCACACTACTCCACAGTTAAAATTTATTTTTATATTTACTGGTTTAAAACTCTGTTTATTTGTATTTGTATATTATTTTATACACTTTCTAGAATTATTTTTTTGCTGTGTTGAGGCGCATTTGAGCTGTTTAGCACACCGAATAACGCGTTTGCTTTTTCGTCCAGGTGTGCGCCATCGGCAGCGTCCACGCCATCGGTTTCATCCACCGCGACATCAAACCCGACAACATCCTCATCGACCGGCACGGCCACCTCAAACTGACCGATTTCGGCCTGTGCACCGGCTTCCACTGGACCCATCGTTCGCAGAACTACAACTTCATCGGTCCGGGACCCAAACGCGAGCTGGACGATAGCATCCACGTGCGCACGGACTCCCTGGCCTGGCAGAACCGGGAGGCGGTGAAGACGGTGGAGGGCGGGGCCAATCGCAGTCGGAGAGAACCCCGAAGGGGAGCGCTGTCCAGGCGGGGCAGCGGCGGGGATGGGCAGATGCTGAAGCGGCTGTACGCGCATTCCCAGGTGGGGACGCCCAACTACATGGCCCCGGAAGTGCTGCTCAGCAGCGACAATGCCGGTAAGCAGTCGGACAGGTTCGAATACGGCAACAGAATTTTGTAAGCGGGGTTATTCTATGTATTCGGTATTTGTTTATTTATTTATTAATACTTATATGTTGATATTTATCTGTTTTTTTGTTTACTTGCTTATTTGTTATATTTCATTATCTGTGTATTTGCTGTTTATTTCTGCTTATTTCTGTGGGTGAAGAAGCTGTGACATTCAATCGGCGCTTTGCAGTTTTCATTCACTTACAAGCACAACGTACTCACTACAAAGTGCAGATGTTTTGATTGATTTCGTAGTGTTATGTCTTAACATGTCCTTATCGATGAATCCGTTAAAAACCCTGCTCAGATTTTCTTCACTGTGATTGGGTTTGATTCCAAATTTTTTGTATCAGGCAACCGCTTTCCTTTTCCGAGTTTAATTAGGCGTCACACTGCTGTGATCCGACTTCGTGGAACTGACAGAGAGTCAGTCAGTCTCTGTGTAGTCACGGTAATGTGTTGATTTTGCAGGTTACACTCAAGTCTGTGATTGGTGGAGTGTGGGTGTGATACTTTACGAAATGCTCTGCGGTCGGCCGCCGTTCTACGCGAAAACCCCGGAGGAAACCCAGGAAAAGGTTAGTAAAAGGTTCATTAGAAACCCTGACATATTTTATTGTTGGAGAAAATGGTGTTGTCTGTTGCCATTAAATCATACGGGCGCAGCGACACCGGTTATACTTACATAGTGGTGGTAAAATTGTTGCTGCAGAAATTTTCAAAAATTATTCTGCTGATCGGAAATCAAACATTTATCTGACGCCATACATTTATAATTTGCATCTTGAACCATTGTTTGCCACTGCACTGCGAAACCAGTAAAGTCTGTATTTTGTTTCTGCAAGAGTACTTACTAAGATGAAATTCATTGCTGTTTTTTTTTCAAATTTATTACTTTTTTTGGCCGAATCCTACTTCAAGCACAGGATTTATTGCTCGTATATAGATTGTCACTTATTTTGAAATTCAAATCATGGACACGGATTGCATTACTTTTTAAAATGTGCGCCGACTGTGTTTATTGGAAGAAAATTTAAAAATTTCCGTACGCTCATATTTACAAAGTCTGGAAAACTAGTACTGAAATTATTATTATTATTGGAATTGTTTAAAGTGTTCTTGAAATTCTACTTGACCCTTCTGTGTTGTTTTTGATAGGTGATTTACTGGCAGCAGCATCTGGACGTGGACAGCTACCCGTTGTCCGCCGAGGCCCGCGATCTGATCCTGTGCTTGTGTAGCGACGCCGAGGACCGTCTCGGCAACGGTTTCTCCCCCTACGCCCCGTCCCCCGATCCCCTCGTGCCCAGCACGGTGCGCGGCTGCGAGGAGATCAAGAACCATCCCTTCTTCCACGGACTGGACTTGCGGAGTATCCGCAAACAGCTGTCGCCGCATCGGCCGCAGCTGCAGCATGATCTGGACACGTCCAACTTCGAGGATTTCACCGACACGCCCTCCCCGGTGGAAGGGTGGGGCGGGCACAGTGGGGAGGAGGAGAACTGGGCGGGGATTCAGCCGTTCCTGCATTTCACCTTTAGAAGGTGCGTTATGACGTAGAAAATGGTTTTGTCGTTGGTTGGAGTTTTTTCTTACATGAAAGCATTAATTAACATTTTGCGGAATTATTTTATTAATTAATTTAATTGTTTTGTTATCCAATGTAATTAAATTATTCTGAATTCAAACTATTAAGTATTTACTTAATAGTTTGATTTAATGTAGTTCTTCGAATTTAATTAATTTGTTTGTCTGTTAGTTGATTCGAATAATTTGTTTATTTAATTAGGTAATTTGAAATTTTTTTTAGATTTTTAAATTTTTGGTTGAGCGTTTTTGGATGATTTTTTCTTAGGTTTTTCGATAACGGTGGCGAGGAAGAGCGGACGCCGCGGCTGATGCTGAAAGAGCCGCCCAGTTACGAGAAAGCCGTCAGCCCCGCGGAAGGCAGTGAGACGGGGAAGAAGAAGGCCAAAGAGGCCGTTTACGTGTGATGATGCTGTTTTAGGTGGTGTGCGCATTTGTAATTATTAGTGCTAATTACCTAGATCTGATACTAATTGCCCTTGCAAATTGCTGAATGCGGTCTTGTTGATCCTGCTGTGGTTGAAGTGAAATAAGGCTGCGTTACTATACGACAAGAATGCTGCTATACGTACGTATTATTATGTATGGATAATTACCGGGCCTGTCGAGGTGCCTACGATTTTTTTTTGAGGGGAGTCTTGCGGAAAAATAGTATTAAGTACAGTATCAGAGCACGAGTACAAACTAGGTACCAAAACAAAACATGCATCTGCGCTCGGCAATACCCTCTCGATGGATGCGAATATTTGACCATGCCACGCACTTTTTCTCACTTTATGACCACTGGCTATTTCCGCTTTTAATAAATAATTAATTTGGTACATAGCAGGACTCATCCATAAGCGTCACACTTCCAGTATCGTGAAAAATTTGCCCGCCCCTCATGTGTGTTGAGGTTGTCATATAGAGGGGGAAAAGGCAGTCTAGCCGAACCATTCCCCTGTACTGCTGCCGTCAGCCGGCTGGAGTTTTACGTTGTGGCTAAACATGGTGCTTATGTACCGCGCCTGATTTAGCCGCATGTGTACTGCCGTAACGTCACACTCCAGCCGGGTGACGGCAGCAGTGCCGTGAATTGGTTCGACTAACATGGTTTTCCCACCTATATGTACTGCATATGTACATGTAGTATTAAAAACTTGGGGCAAAATAACTTCATTAATGGTTCTGGTGACTCGGTCCATACTCCTTATGAACTATCCCGTTATCTTAAGTACCCAATATCATGGAGATACATATTGCAATGGCAACTTCTAAGCTGCCCCTAGTGGGTTGGGTTAATCCACCCGTACCACGATAAAACGAGGTTCGATGGTTCGTCGGTAATTACCCAGATCTTAAGTAAATCACAATCTTACGTAACGCGCGAATTCAGGAACATCATCATCAATTTAATCAGAATCAGAGCAAGTGCAAGAGCAAGGGCAAGAGCAAGAACATGTGGGAAAGTCAACCGTCTGCCGGTCGAGGCAGTGTGAGCACGTCTACTGATTTCACATCCAGAAAAGTCAGAACATCTCAGAATTCTTCATAACCGATAACATGGATTCACAATTCTACTGAGATAGGCGGTACATCTGTTTCCGGTTGAGTTGTTACCAATGACAATCTGTAGAACATGATTCTACGGCTACATCCCTCACAGTGGCGATAAGATATACGTGTCTTATCAAGATTCAAGGAAAAACGAAACGAATAAGGAAATAGAAAATTAGATCTACTATTAGTAAGCTGCTAATCGTGGGGGATTGAAGGAGGGTTGGTGCTCCGGATGGAAAGTTGCTGCTCCCACGTGTTATTGAGTTACTTCTTCAACACTTCCGGTTATGTAGTTCAGCGGCGCGGATGGCGGTACTGCTGCGGTCCATGGCAATGCTTGTAGGATGTACTCAGAGTTTCCCTCACAGTTGATGTTGCAGTATCGCGAAGTTCACGTGCATGGTTGATACAGTTAGGTGCTTCCATCCGATAGTGGTAAAGTTACTATTTAAAGTTTAAACGGCATAAACGACCACTCCAAATTTAATATACGAAAATCCAATGGTTTACTTGTCTAAGTCGGCGAAGTCGGGTGTAGCGCTCAGTTGCACTGTATCTGTACATACTCGTAGATTTATGCAGTGAAGTAGTGAGCATTAGGGTGGGTCTCACATTCAAAGCGAATCTCGTTATGGTACGGTTACTCAACCGCACGAGGTGGTTGTTTGCAGTGGCCACGCCTACAGATACGGTACGCGAAGCCACCTCGCGAGGTGGAGTTGCTGTATCGCAACTAGATTCGCTTTGAATGTGAGACCCACCCTTAGATTATATGCAGTATGGCGGTAGTTATTGTAATCACATCGGTCGCATACATAACATCAATGTCCGGTGGGAAAAGGTTTCCAAGTTACTCTTTTTGCGAACCAGGACATCCTGTGAGCATGTAGTGGGACGAAGCGATTAGTGATTACCGGTGTGGTGTCCATTCAAGTTACTATGTAGTATGTACTCGTATGCATTAGCGGTACTTTGTACTCATCTGCGGCGCACATTAATTTTATCGAATGTGCTGCTACTCATCAGTGCTGCAGCACATTAGGTGACCACTTGGCACTGTTTTACTATATAGTGCATTCTTTTTTTGTGCTTTGCACTATTTTACTTTTTAACAGTGTTATTCTTTGTTATTTACACTGTGTGTACTATATAGTGCATTGTTTAGTACTTTGCACTATTAATTAGTCTACAGTGTTCTTGTTCCTGTGCTGTACACTGTGTATTTAATTTTAGCAGTATTGCTCTTTTTGTACTGTGCACTGCGGTACTTCTTTGTAGTGCCATTCTTTTATAACTCTGCACTACGTTGCTGGTGAATGGCACTTTCGCCATTATTACTGGTAATAGCACTTTTGCCATTCTTACTGATATTGATATTTTCACCATGGTTAATGTTTATATTGTATACTGTCATATATAATTATTGTATTCAAGTTACTGCTGACCGTTGGTTGTCATCTCGACCACAAGTCGAAGGAGAGCGTGATGAATAAGCGGTCTCCGTTGTAGACAATGCCGGTTTTTTACGCTTCCGTTTCTTTTTATGCTTCCGATTACTTTCTGCAATACTAATTCCTTCCACTGTATTTGAAACTTCCCTGGCGCCGTTACTTGCTGTGGCGGCTGAGTTACTGTTATCACCGTTAGTACGAGGCGCCGTGCTTACCATTTTACTGCTTAATGTATTGGGCAGAAGGGGATCTGCAGATACTTTAGAAGTTCCAACCTGTGTGCTATCTCCAGAAGACTTATTACTTGTACTGCTTGTAGGCGATGTAGTCCGTTTATGTTTTAGAAAACTGCTGTTCGGCGTGTGCGGTGCTAGTAGCGGTTTCTTCATGTCAAACTCTTTTACTGGCAATACTGTACGATTAACAGTAGGAAAAGGTTTACCATTCAAGAAAGCGGTGCCCAACATAATAAAGTTACTTGGTAAATTGGGCAAAACATAAAATGTATGAAAATACTTTTGTGTAGCAAACCGAAATCTGATTACTATTGCATAAGCACCAGCTACTGTGATGTTCTTTCTCAAAAGTCCAATGTTGATTGCAAAATCAATAACAGTGTTTTGCTGTTTATAAACAGAACCGTTCATTTTTAATTCTTTAACAAGACTTTCACTTATGACATTGAAAGTGGAACTGCTGGCTACTTTGGCACTGATTTCTTTTCCGTTTATTTCAATAACAGTGTTTGCCGTGTTACTAATAGGATGAAGGTGTAAACTAAATGACAATTTTTCTTTAGTTGGATACTTCACATCACTGATAACAGCACTGGCTGATTCCGAAGAAAACGTAATGTGCGAGATTTTCGGAAATACAATGTCATCCTCGTTTACTGTAACGTTGTACAGGCGTAGAAAATCAGCACCCAGAATTACTTTATATTCTTTGTTTGCTATTTTAAAAGATCCACTGTCGGGAATCATGAAAAATCGATGGTAAAATGCTCTACCATTTAACAGAAATTTAGTGGCTACTGCTGGACAGTTACTTAGTATTTCTCCATTGCCGGTGAAGTCAGTTAGATCAAGTTTGCTTTTGGTGTTAAAAACTGAAAACGCTAAACCTGAGTCTACTACCGCTGTTTCCGTAATGAAACTATGCTGCTCGTTAGTACTGGCGATGGCACTAAAATATTTACTGTTGATGACTGTACTTGTTGATACTTTAAAATGCTGCTCATCATAGTTATTATTTACGTTGTTATTTTCACTAGAATCATCAGCATTTGCCAAATATTTCGTAAGATTTGATGGAGGTTTATAATATTCGCCATAAATTACTTTGTAGTCTTTACCAGTAAATGGCTTCATTCTATTTCCTCGAAACGTTGACCAAAAGGAAATTTCTTTGCCTTTACGATTTATATACGAGTAATATCGGTTAGCAAATAAATACTCGTAATACTCTCGCTGTACACGTTCCAAGACATCTTTCGGACATATTTGCGCAATTTTATACAAATGTCGAGGTTTAAAACGTGTGCACTCGTTAAATGAATGTGAAAAGTGCAAACAATGCGGACAAAATAATTTTCCGTTTTCGAATCTATAGCTGTCAAATACTATTCTTTCTTTAGGAATTTTAAGTTTACTTGCTGCTGTGCGATACTTTTTGTATTTTAGATACTGTGGGGAAAGGTGTCCACATGCATTGGCGTAACGCACGTTTGAAGCAAATCACATGAAGTAGAGCAAAATGTTATGATTTAAAACTGAAGTAAAACGTTCCGATGAATGTTTTGTTGTGGCGGTTTGAATGGCGATAGTCGACTATATATACTTCATGCCATGAAACATCTGGCACGGCACCCGCCCGGTGTATCGGCAATCCACCCGCCCACGGTAGCGGTAGGCAGCGGTAGCGATTGGCCAGAAAGTTTCATTCATGAATGAAGAGGAAGGATTTCCCCTCCCTCTTCATTCACTGATTTTTTGGATGAATTCACGTGATCGTCATCCAGATTTTTGTTTCCTACATACTTTGAATTCATTCAGTGCATGATGATTTCTACACATAGTTGCTGCTGAATGATAAATTTGAATGAAAAAACGTGCATTCATTCAATGCATGTGGACACCTTAAGGATTCGCTCTAAATTCAGTATGCTGATTGCCGTTGTCATCGATATTGAATGAACTCAAATACTCATAATTATTGCGCTTATTAATACTCCGTATATTTACCATTGCCGGTTGTGCACTTGGCTGCGCATGTGTTGCATTCGACTCTGCCTGCTCAGTGGCCAGCTGGCTGACCAAGTTTTCATGCCTGATATGCACAGCTTTTGACTCGTTCAGCTTGTCATATATTTCGGGAATACGCACTTCGTTCCTGCCTATTCCTGTCTGCGGAAGAGAATTACTGTCTGCATCCTGTGCTGACTTGAGCACAGGCCGTGGTTTACGCGGCATGAGCGACGCGGTGAGTGTCCTCTGGCTATCGCTATTCGCAACTGCGCATATCTGTCTGTTACTGTTCTGGTCTACGCTAGCAGCGGACAACACGTCATCTATGTCCAGAGAGAAACACTTTGTAGTAA